ACGACTCCAATTGCAATATCTGAAGCATCTACTTCAAGGACATATTAGAGAGTAGGATTGGGTTATCTTAGAATAGGGGCAGATATGAAACTGTTTAATGATTCAAAAGAATCCTGTTCCTTTTCACCCCAATGAAATGGTTGATCTTGTTTGTAAGGTTTGTTAGTGGAGAAACAATGTGAGAATATTTTTTAATACATTTTTTGTATTTAGGTTGGGGCCAATTTGTGATAGCCTCAACTCTTTTGGGATCCATACGAATAGAAGAATCAGCTATTATGTAGCCCAAAAGGGAATTTCACTTTTTTTAAAAAGACACTTTTCGGGTTTGGCAAAAAACTTATGATCTCTTAAACGTTGGAGTACCTTTTTTACTTGTTTGATATGAACCTCTTTATCTTGTGAAAATATAAGGATGTCATCTAAATAAACAACCAAAAAATCATTTGAGAACTCCTTGAAAATATCATGTATGAAGGAAGCAGTAGCATTACAAAGGCCGAATGGTATCATTAAAGGACCACTCTAGGCACCCAGACCCCTTCAGCTTAATTAAGTTGTCTGGGTGCCAGGTCCTTCTAGGGTTAACCCATTTTTTTATAAACATAGCAGTTTCAGAGAAACTGCTATGTTTATCAATGGGTTAAGCCTTCCTCCAAATCCTCTAGTGGCTGTCTCATTGACAGCTGCTAGAGGCGCTTGCGTGCTTCTCACTGTGAAAATCACAGTGAGAGCACGCAAGCGTCCATAGGAAAGCATTAAGAATGCTTTCCTATGCGACCAGCTGAATGCGCGTGCAGCTCTTGCCGCGCGTGCGCATTCAGCCGACGGAGCGGATCGGAGGAGGAGAGGAGGCAGAGAACTCCCCGACCAGCGCTGGAAAAAGGTAAGTTTTTACCCCTTTCCCCCTTCCAGAGCCGGGCGGGAGGGGGTCCCTGAGGGTGGGGCACCCTCAGGACACTATATAGTGCCAGGAAAATGAGTATGTGTGCCTAGAGTGGTCCTTTAATGATACCATTCAGCCTTTGTAATGCTACTGCTTCCTTCATATTAGTGGGAGTGGGTAACGATTCTTTATGGTTATTTTATTTAATTGTTGGTATTGATTGATTATTGGTCTGATGGTTCAGTCTTTATTGGTAACAAAACAAAACAAAAACCCTGCTCCTTCAGGAGATGTAGAATGACGTATGAATCCTTTTGACAAGTTAGTATTAAGGTAGTCACGGAGGGTTTTAAGTTCCGGTTCTGATTGAGGATATATATGACTAAAAGGAATTTTTGATCCTTCCAATAAAATCGATAGGACAATCATATGGTCGTTTAGAAGCTTCTTTTTGGTACCGTGCTGTGTGCTGAAGAGCTCTGGCATTAGAAAAAGGCCCTGAATTTGTTCTGCGCAGCGCAAGCAAATGTAATAACATGCTTGCGCTGTGTTTGCTTTTAAATTGTCTCTGGTGTCTCCACAAGTGGGATACCAGAGGACAAAAGGGCCAGGGTTATTTTATATATATATATATATATATATGTGTGTGTGTGTCTCTGGGTGTGCTGTGTGTGTCTGGGGGTGCTGCGTGTGTATCTTGGGGTGCTGTGTGCATGCTGTGTGCGTCTGGGGGTGCTGTGTGTGTCTGGGGGTGCTGTGTGTGTGCTGGGTGCTGTGTGAATTGTGTGTCTGTGCTGTGTGTGTCTGGGTGTGTGTGTGTCTGGGGTGCTGTGTGTGTCTGGGTGTGTGTGTGTCTGGGGCTGCTGTGTGTGTGTCTGGGGTGCTGCTGTGTGTGTCTGGGGCTGCTGTGTGTGTCTGGGGTGCTGTGTGTGTCTGGGGGTGTGTGTCTGGGGGTGCTGTGTGTGTCTGGGGGTGCTGTGTGTTTATTATGTGTCTAGGGGTGCTGTGTGTGTCTGGGGTGCTGTGTGTGTGAGGGGCTGTGTGTGTGTCTGGGTGGGCTGTGTGTGTGTCTGGGGGCTGTGTGTGTGTCTGGGGGCTGTGTGTCTGGGGGGCTGTGTGTGTATCTGGGGTGCTGTGTGTGTCTGGGGTGCTGTGTGTGTCTGGGGGGCTGTGTGTGTGTCTGGGGGGGGGCTGTGTGTGTCTGGGGGTGCTGTTAGGGAATTTATTTTAAATATATATATATTTTTTTTATGAATAATTTTTTTTAAAGTTATGTTTCCCCCTCTCCCCCCTCTTACCTTTAGCCTGGGAGGGGGAGGGAGCCGTTCTGCCATGCTGCCTTCCCTGGTGGTCCAGTGGTGAGAGTGAACTCTAACCTGCAGGTTAGAGTTCACTCTTGCGAGATCTGAGCGTTGCCGCGGTAACCGCAGCAACGCTCAGAATCTCGCGAGAGGACCCGGCAGAGCTGCTGGCTAGAGCTCTGCCGGTCCTCTCTCCTGCCTCCCTCCCTCACCAGCCGGCGGCCGCATCTCCCTGTCTGTGGGCCGGTGAGGGAGATCTTTGATCTCCCCACCGGCCCATGGAGGCACATAGCAGGGCCGGCGCTCGGATAGCGCTGGCCCTGCACGGGCTGGCAGGGGGGATCCTGGCATCTCCCCTGCCGGCCTCGGCCCCACAGCCATCGCGGCCCACCGGGCATTTGCCCGGTATGCCCGATGGCCAGTCCGGGCCTGCATGGGCATTAGGGTGTGCCCAGGCACACCCGGCACACCCCGTGCGCACGCCTATGCCTCTACCTTGTTTTAAGGAATGTAATTGAGCTTCTGCTGTGTCTTTTATTTTCATCTTCATGTAATTCATTCATTTCAATGAGGAATTGATCTAAAGTTAATAAACAAGGATCATTAAATTTCAATTTAATGATAAGCCCATTTGGCAAGGTCCCCATGCAATAAGGAAATTATTGTTTTAACTTTTACATCATCATTAAAGGGATCCTATAGTGCCAGGAAAACAAAGCAGTTTTCCTGGCACTATATGGTTAATAGGTCCCCCCTTGCCTGGCACCCCCCCTTCCGCAGGGAGATGTCCTTCAGCACTGGGTCAGGTTCCACCTACACTCCTCCCCCGCCGTACACACGCACATTAGACAACCCCATAGGAAAGCATTATTCAATGCTTATCTATGGGGAAAATCTGATGCTGGAGGTCCATCTTCACCTGGCGAGGGCTCCGTGCAGAGTGAGCTCTGCAGGGTGAGGGAAGGCTTATAAAGCCTTGCCCCGCCCTGCAGTTAGGCTCAGAGCACTCTGATTGGTGGGTTTAGGCCATCCAATCAGAGTGCTTTGACAGGTAAATGAAGAGACTGACAGGTAAGTCTCTACATTTACCTGTCACAGCACTCTGATTGGTTGGCTTAAAATCTACCAATCAGAGTGCTCTGTGTCATTTTACACAGCGTGGGAAAGTTCTTTGGAACCACTCAGGGGTTGGGGCCAGGGGGGAGGACATTAGGTTCCCCCCTTATTAGTATTCAGGGGCCCCATCCACCGCTCAGGGGTGGGGGCCGGGGGAGGACAATAGGTCCCCCCCCCCCCATCATTTTACTTTAGAGTCCCCACCCGCTGCTCAGGGCTGGGGGCCAGGGGGGCAATAGGTTCCCCCCCCTTATTAGTATTTAGGGCCCCCACCTGATGCTCAGGGGTGGGGGCCAGGGGGAGGACATTAGGCCCCCCCTTATTCCAATTTAGGGCCCCTACCCGCCGCTCAGGGGGAGAACATTAGGTCCCCCCCTTATTAGTATTTAGGGCCCCCACCCGCCGCTCAGGGGTGGGGGCCAGGGGGGAGGACATTAGGACCCCCCCTTATTAGTATTTAGGGACCCCACCGCTCAGGGGTGGGGGCCAGGTGGGGGGACATTAGGTCCCCCCCCTTATTTTACTAAAGGGCCCCCACCCACCGCTCAGGGGTGGGGGCCGGGGGGAGAGGACAATAAGCCCCCCCATATTTTTACTTTAGGGCCCCCACTGTTTAATAGACATGCCCCTACTCGCGGTATAGTGAGTAGGGGCAAAATGTACGAATACTAAGTAATTTTTACTTAGTATTAGTAAATTTGGCTGAAAGACCAATTTAGGTCTTTCAGCCTTTTGGTAGATAACTCCCTAATACCGTGGGAATTAGGGAGTTATCTACTAACCGGCTGCAAGAGAAGTCCCGAAGTGCCGAAGTCCAGAAATTCCAAAGTGTTGAAGTGCCAAATTCCCGAATGCCGAATCGAACCGAAAATTTTCCCCATGCACATGCCTACTTGGTGCCTACAGTCTCCCTTTAAAGTAAGTTCTTGGTTGGAGAAAAAAACTATACGAAGTTCTAGCTCCATTAAATTTTGTAGGAGGTAAATTCTTGGCTCAGGAGTGTGTGCAGTAGCTTGTAATTTAAAAGTATCAACTTGTAATTGAATATCGTTTACTATTAAATGGACTTCTTCAATAGAGTGTGCGAGTAAAGCAACTCTGGTTTGTATGGCTTGAAAAGCCTGTATAGAGGCAGTAGTCTCCATTTAAAAAGGTTTGACAATTTTTGGGGGCACAATTAATCTGTAATATTTTAAACAATAGATTTGTCAAACATATTAAAATACAGACTACTCACCAGTATGAGTACCAGGTCTGGGAGAATAAAGTATAATTACCAGGACTGAGAGCAATATTTAGGTGATAATCCGGTTGCTTTGAATAAAATAGGGAAAATCCAGAAGGTTTGTTGAAGTCCAATCCGGTTTGGCAACAGTAAATCAGTATATAGGAATATCCAGGAGAAGGGTTAAATCCAGTCCGGTTTGGCAACAATTAATAATAAGGAGAATAATAAGGAGAATCCGTAAGAAGTGTCAAAGTCCAATCTGGGTCGGTAACAAGTAAAAGGCAAATAATTTTAACTGGGATTTAACTTGGAGGGGAACTGGTACTTAGTAGAAAGGTACCTGCATTGAAGTTGGAGGTTTAAATAGGTGGATCCATGAACTTTAATTAGACTCTTAAAGATTAAGATAGATTGGAAAGTGAAGTGAACTATTTACCACATTTCTGGCAGAAGGCATTCTCTTCGTGGGTCAGTTCACGGTCCACTCCGGGGACAGTCTTGGGACCTTGGAAGGGTGATGTTGGTGCGCTTCTGGTGTCTGGAGGCCCCAGGATTTTAGCTTGGTGATACCTAGTTCCAGCGTTGGGATGGCGTGTAAGGCATCTCTGTGGTGAATCAGGAGCTTGGCAGGGTATCCCCATCGGTAAGCGATGTTGTGGTCTCGCAGTGTGGATGTAACTGGGGTTAGGTTCTTCCTAAATTGTAGCGTTGCTGCAGATAAGTCCGCAAAGAGCTTGATTCGGCTATAGGGGTCTGGCATGTCTGAGGATCTGCTGGCTTTCATCAGCTGCTCTTTGGTATGATAGAAATGCACTCGGGCGATGACATCTCTCTCGGTCGTTGGAGGGAGATGTTTTGGGCGTCGTAGCATATGTGCCCGGTCTACTATAAGCTGGTCCGGGTGTATTGCGGGGGTTAGGCGTTGAAACATATCCATCAGGTAGTTTTCTAGGTCCTTAGGGGCAACTGTCTCCGGAATACCCCGGATGCGTATATTATTTCTCCTGGACCTGTCTTCAAGATCTGCTAGTTTGAGGTGGTAATTATTAAGGGAGTTTTCAAAGTCCTGCACCCTGTCAGCTAAACTATTGTGAGCCTCTGCGAATTCGTCCATCTTATTTTCCATGTGGGAGGTGCGCTGGCCTACCTCAGTGATATCCTTGCGGAGGTCTGCTGCCAGGGCTTGCAGTTGAGTTTTCATGCTCGTTTGCAAGTTTTCCGTGAGCTCAGCAAGCATAAGCCGCATGGTGCTGATCATGAGGGGTCCTTCTTCTGCTGCAGAGGAGGGTGAGGCAGGTGGTGACACCGAGCCCTCTCGGGTTTCCCTCGCGGCGCCATCTTTGCTCGGGCCGTGTCCGTTCCGCGCTTTCGTTTCGGCGGTCCTCGCCAGAAAGAAGGACTCCCGGTCCGTTTTGGTGGCCTTGCCCTTCAGTCTCTGTGACATGGTAGGGCGTAGTGTACTGTTTATTGCTCGTTAGGTCGGTTATTTTCGCTCCAAAGTGCCTGAACTACGGGAGCTTCACGAGTGTGCGTCCATTCAGTTCAGGCACCAAGCCACGCCCCCGAAGTGAACTATTTAAAGTAACTGTTACACAGTGTGTATAGTGAATGAGAGTGTGTGTTTGTGTAGTGGATGGAGTGTGTGTACAATGAATTCAGAGTGTGTGTTTGTGTGGTGGCTGTAATGTTCGTGTGTATAGTGAATGCAGAGTATGTGTTTGTGTAGTGGATGGAGTGTGTGTACAGTGATTGCAGAGTGTGTAAAGTGAATGCAGAGTGTGTGTTTGTATAGTGGATGTAATGTTTGTGTGTATAGTGAATGCAGAGTATGTGTTTGTGTAGTGGATGGAGTGTGTGTACAGTGAATGCAGAGTGTGTAAAGTGAATACAGAGTGCGTGTTTGTGTAGTGGATGTAATATTTGTGTGTATAGTGAATGCAGGGTGTGTGTTTGTGTAGTGTATGTCATGTTTGTGTGTATTAGATGCAGTGTGTATAGTAAATGCTGAGTGTGTGTATAGTCAATGCAGAATGTGTATGAGAGTGTGTGTTTGTGTAGTGGGTGGAGTGTGTGCACAGCGAATGCAGAGTGTATACAGTGAATGCATAGTGTGCGTTTGTGTAGTGGATGTAATGTTCGTGTGTATAGTGAATGCAGAATGTGTATTTGTGTAGTGGATGTAATGTTTGCGTGTATAGTGAATGCCGAGTGTGTGTTTGTGTAGTGGATGGAGTGTGTGTACACTGAATGCAAAGTGTGTATAGTGGATGGAGTGTGTGTTTGTGTAGCGGATGTCATGTTTGTGTGTATAATAAATGCAGAGTGTGTGTATAGTGAATGCAGAGTGTGTATAGTGAATACAGAGTTTGTATAAGGAATGCAGAGTGTGTGTTTCTTTAGTGGATGTAGTGTGTGTGTATTAGATGCAGCGCGCATAGTGAATGCAGTGTGTGTATTGTGAATGCAAAGTGTGTATAGTGAATGCAGGGTGTGTGTTTGTGTAGTGGAGGCAGTGTGTGTACAGTGAATGCAGAGTGTGTGTTTGTGTAGTGGAGGCAGTGTGTAGAGTGAATGCAGAGTGTGTATTTGTGTAAGGATGTAGTGTGTGTAAGTGTTGTGTAAAATAAGGGGGGTGGGGTGCTGCATTCTGTGGGGGGAAAAGAGCACATGTGTTGTTGCTTTTACAGAAGGCCAGCACACTCCGGTATCTTCACTTTACAGCATATCCTCTCTCTTTCTCCCTAACTGTCGCGAGCCTTGCCTGCGTGCTGCGGAGCGTTGACATGGTATCCAGCGAAATGGATAAAAAAAGTGCCCCATCGATTATTGAGGTTAAAGTAAAAACCACTTAATGGACCAATTAACAGCTGCGAAACACAACTCCCTTACCTTGTTTTATAAAATGTGGGAGCCTTGGCAGGAGTACAAGGACACATACAATCACAAAGTATTGACCCTAATGGGAGTTTTCCATCACGCCGTGGCATCCCTTCATCGCCGTCTCCCCTTCCCTTCTACAGTGTTATTTTTTTCTTGTTATAGAATTTTATGAAGTTGCGTAAAATTAATAAAAAGGCACCGATACAACAGTCAAGAATATTGACATATAAAAATACTTGCAGTATAGGGGGAACAGACGCCATTCTGGCCAGCTCCCAAAAAAAGACTCGAAATCCATTGAAAATCGATCTACCAAAAGCCCATCCAGCCATCTCAAGGTGTCATCTGGACCGAGCAACAAACCTTGTATCACCCAATACCACACGATGCCATTTTTCTTGGCACCCAACCAGCCCAAACGGAGGCGAAAAATTGGGGCCTACCCCACGCTGACCATACCAAACCTGGAAGCACTGCTGGCTAGACCCACAGAGAGGGGAACGGGCACGGAACTGGCACCCACGACATCCCTCCCTCTAACCCACAAGCCAGCTATGGGAAGACGCTCCCAAAAGCCTATCACGGCAGCAGACACCAGGGACATTGGAGCCATGCTGCAAAGGCTTACACAACCAAAGTCCGCTCCAGCGGAAGACCCGCGAAACGCTCCGCATGCCCACCCGCCCGAACAACACACGCTAGAGGAGTCTCCGGTCCCCCTAACAACACCAGCAACATCCCTGGATTCCCCCACAGACTCGACAACTACCACCAAACACGATCTAAAGATCTTACTGGCGGAGATCCAGAAAACGCTGGCAGTGGAACTTGCTCCCATCAGGACAGAGGTAACAGCCATCAAAGACCGGGTGAAAGCCTCAGAAGAGAGCATATCTGACCTACAGGGCCACCTGTCCACCCTACAAGACTCAGTACATCAGGTCTGGACCCAGCAATGAGCCCTGACAGCCCAGGTTACTGCCATAGAGGACAGGCAACGCCGCACTCACATCAAGATAAGGGGAATACCCGCGGCAATCTCAGGGGAGGAATTACCCCACTACATAAGACGCTTGCTGGCAACCATACTACCTCAAGCCATGGCCAAAAAGCTGTCCATAGAGGGGGTATATCGCCTGCCCAGCAACACCAAACTGCCACCCAACAGTGCTCGAGACGTCATTCTCAGATGCCTAACCGTTCCTGACAAAACCCAAATCATGTCGGCACTCAGGGGAAGAACACCTCTGACCTTCAATCTCTTACATTCTTTCAGGACCTAACAAAAGGCACACTCATATGGTGAAAAAAACCCTTGCTCCGGTTACAAGACACCAACAAACAACAGGAATGACCTACAGATGGGGGACAGGAAGATCCATGACGGTGCAACATAACGGAGCCACACACTCCATCTCATCAATGGAGGAAGCACCCACCTTCCTCCTGGCACTGGGACTGAGGACCTCAGACACCGGCCAAACCTCAGAGACATGGGACCCTGAACATGTAGTACCCTTTGTCCCAAAAGCCCAAAGCTCCCAGGCAGCCGCAACATGACAGTGCAGACGGGGCCAGAGCCTCTCGGGCCGGATGTACACACAGCCAAAGGAAGCACACATCTTGCACAGGTAATGGACCTGAAAGTTATAGAGACGCTACAGTTATGCTTTGATACCTCAAGGTTTTCTTTTTGGTTACTTATGCACTCCTTTTCTCTTTTCTTTTTGTTGCCGCTCATTTCAGGCTAATCTATGATGTAAAATGTTATATTATCACCTGAGATCACCAAACCCAACCTGTTATACCTCTCAAGGGCAGTTAGAACCACAGACCCAGCAGGGCAAGTACCTTTCACACCACATTCGTTCCACCCGCCGCCCCCTTGGTTAGGGGTACTCCACTCAATGCATAGCACCCAACTACTCTCTGATCTCACGACTATGCACGCACAATACACATGCTAGATCCTGTTGTGGCACAACACACACATATATGCCAGGGCACACTCCACTCTCCTTGATTCTACCACTCAGAGCATATATGATATCTTAAGTACTAAGTAGGAAACAATCTTGCTTGTAATCAGACACATAGTAGGCCCTCCTGATACTTAGCCTAGATTATACCTGTTATTAAAAAAAAAATGTGCAATGTTTCTCTCTTGTAACGCATGTATACTAAACTTAACTAAATTGTTAATGTACAACGTTTGACTTAAGAAATGCACGGAAAAATAAAGAATTAAAAAAAAAAAATACTTGCAGTATAAACTTCAAGAGACTCCTCAATTTAAGCTTCCTGTGGTCACCTCCAAAGGGGTACCCAGAGTGGATTGATATTTTTCTAAGAATATTGACATGACATGATCATACTGTATACATGGGCATGTTTACCTCATGAGCACATGTATTAATATCTTCAATGTGATCTTATTGCCTCTTTGATAAAGTAATATGACTTGGAAGGTTAAGTGACATTTTTCTTATGCAAAATAAATAAAGAATTTTAAACAAAAATAGTACACGGGGTGTTCCTTTAAGTTTATGATATCCTTTAAAGACCAAAGATCTCCCCAATCATAGGTTTCTCAACCTCTTCCTCCATGTAAGAGAGATATCAACAGATAAAGTGAAATATAAATTGGGAAAAGGGTCAAGCTTCATTTGTATTTTGATAGGAGTTTGGCTTTGTTTGGTGCAAATATTCCATGTTATGAGTAGGAATTAATGCATGTATGCAATGTGCAATAAAAAAAATAAATATATATATATATATAAAAATAGATGTTTCCCCTGCACTCACGCTTACAAGATAGTCCAATGCCGGGGCACCACCAGAGCTCCAAGATATGTAAAAACCAACAAGAAGGAAGGCTGCTCTCCGGACTTAAAACAAAAATGTTTATTCAAATTATATTAAAAAACACGACCAACGTTTCGGTCCCCGTTCGGGACCTTCCTCAGGGTCAAAAATGTTGTCTTGTTGTCCTATTTTTGACCCTGAGGAAGGTCCCGAACGGGGACCGAAACGTTGGTCGTGTTTTTTAATATAATTTGAATAAACTTTTTTGTTTTAAGTCTGGAGAGCAGCCTTCCTTCTTGTTGGTTTATATATATATATATATATATATATAAAGCAATCTTCAAGTAGATAGCACTCCAAGGTCTTTTTTCCAAAGTAAAACTTTTAATGCTCAAATAAAAATCAACATTTCAGTTCAACATTGCAAACTTTCATCATATATATAAATATATAGTGTTTAAGTAGAGATTGTAGCCGTATTAGTCCAGCGATGTAGATGTAAAAAACAGATAAAATTTGTATCTTGTAATACCTTTTTTTTATTGGACTAACAGAATTTTTTAATGACAAGCTTTCGGGAGAACCTCCCTTTCTCAAGATCTTGAGAAAGACCCGAACGGGTTGAAACGTCGATCAAGCTGAATGTAAACTGACATTTGTATTAAAAATAGTATTTTGTTTATAAAAGACCGGAGAGTGCATCTCTTTTCAAGGTATATATATCTGCTAACGTGGGATTGCACCAGAGCATTAAACTACACTGCAGGAGAAAGGGTGAGTGCCAAGCTACTTACCTATTTTTGTATATACAGGTATATTATTATTATGTTATTTATATATATTTATATATGTATATACACACACATATTTATACAGGTTTGTTTGAATGATTACATAGTTTACTGAATAGGAAGTTGGTTGGAAGAAGTCACATTGAATTTAAAGTTAGCTGAATAAGAAGCCAACTATACTTTGACATTTTTTTTTTTTTTAAAGTTTTGCAAATCCCCCATGTTTTTCTGTAGACTTATAACATGTGACTGCTGCTGGTGCACTGACAAGCTTCCATGATTAATTATTAAAGTCCCTGTCTGCAGGGGTATTTACACGGCATCACTTTCCATGTATCTGTATGACAACACGGTGGGCGTGGGTTGGAATCCCTGCTGTGACCTGCCAGGCACTGAGACTGCCTGTCACGTGACTGGCAAGCGAAGCAGTCCCCCTCTGCCCTTACTTCACCGGATCTCCGGGTCCACGTCAAACCCGTGATGTCACCGGGCCATCGCCGCTGTGATTGGCTACGACGCGTTCCATGCCTCCACGTCACACCAGCAGCTGAAAGCCGGAACTGGAAGGCGAGCTGAGCGTGAGTCCGTGGAGCTCGGAGTGGGAAAGCTGCCTGGCAAGACCGGGGATTGTGTAGGCCTTGTCCCTGTGTGATCAGCAGGATGTGCACAGCAGAGGTGTAGCAGCCGCAGAAGGACTCATAGTGTGTGGCCATGGGCTGGTTAACTTTAACACTGGCTGGGCTGAGGAGCTTACTGTTCTCCTTCATATTGTGTGTGGCCGTACTCCGGACTGTACAAGCTGCCATGACCAAGGAAGAGAAAACTCAGCTCAGGTAATTGTTTAACCAGGCTGGGGTAAGGATTCCAGATGGTGCCGAGTTTGGCTTCGCTAAGCATTGTGTGAAATGTAGTCCATGTGAATAGGTGTGCCAGAGATTAGCTACCTCTGCAGTGCTTTAAGGGTTAGCCCTGCCCTGCCTTACTGCCATGGCCCCTTCAGATCTTGGTTACATTTCCTTACATGTTCAGCCATTGTTTGGGTCCAGCTGGTGTGGACATTCTCCTGGGGGTACATGGGAAATGTAGTCCACAACAGCTGGAGGTCCTTCTGAGAAATATCACTCATGTCCTTGGTTAATACAGTGAACACTACCCATGCACACAAATATTTGTGAACTACAATTGACTGTTATTTGTGCTGGAGGCAGGGGAGAGCTGTCTGTATTTGGCTCTGGGATAAAGACAAACAGCCCAATTTGAGAACAAACCAGCACACCCTCATACCATATTTTCTCAGTATAATATGACATGTTTTATACTGATACTGCTTGAACTTAAATACAATAAAAGTACAATGATTCTGTTACATAATATTTTCGAGTATTGTGATGTAATGCAGTAGCCCACAATCCACTCTATCCTAGTGGCTTGATGGGCATATGCCCCCTTTCCAGCAATCCCCTAGTTGGTTGTGCATACTAGGGAATGTAGTTTTACAAATATCTGGGTTGCTAAGGTAAGGTGTAAATGGTTTAATTACGAACGTGACATTTCTGGATTAGTGTTCTGGTGTACCTGTGTAGGAGCCACAAGCACCTGTTTAAATACTAATGATGTTCACAATGGAAATAGGTACTTGCTCTGATACATATAAGAAGATATAAGTCGTCCTAACGGGTATTATTTTGAGCGCAAAGCGTTAAATGTTGCAACATTCTGTTGGTTTCTGTGACGATTGCAACTTATTTAGCATTTTGTGTCATAAATTTTACCCATAGACTGTTGCCCTGTATTTGGGTACATCAACCTTTTTTATAAAAGTATGTTGAATCATAGAATGATGCTTTTTCTTTTCCTTTTCATTTTATTGAAGAAAATAAAGCCGATGCATGAATAATGTAGGCCAAATAGAACAATATATAGTGACAAATCAAAGTGATATATTTTTTTTTTACTTGTCATAATACATTGGATAGTACATATCCATATCATTGGTGTTATCACAGTATGTAGAAAAACATTACCTTGTCATGCATGTTTTCAAGGCACCAAGCAGGGGTAGTAAAGACAGAATATATTTGTAATGATTTGGAATATAACCACATAGATGCCGCTTATGGTCATATATCAGAACGCTATGACGTGGGAGGTGGTTGTAAAGGCGGATGGAAATACTATCCAAGAATGTTAGATCTACCTATATGGGCGATACTTCATCAATATTGCCTGTTTGACTTTCACCAGGACCCCAAAAGATTTTACTTTCTGTATCCATTTTGTACTTAGGGGGGAAAAGTTTATTTCAATTTGACTGCTATAAGAAATTAATTTGTGGTAAGTGAAATAATAACGACTTTAGATTTGGGGCTGGAAATTTCAGTTCGTTGAAGGAGAAATATCTCTGGAGGGAACTCAAAGCAGCTGTGTCACTTTCTGACGTATTCCTAATGACATACTTTTCATGAAAAGCTCTTGCAATGAAGAGATATACATGAAACAAAGTGGTGACAATTAAGGCTTATGTAATTGTCAATCTCTTGCAAAATCTGCTTTAATTACAATTCTGTAACAGTTTTAATGGAATCTGCAATTTTTTGCCATAAAAGGTACAATATGTGGACAGAGGCGCCACATTTGTATGAAGGATCCATCCTTGTTGATTCTACAGTCCCAACAAATTATGGAGAATTAACATATAGAGCGGTTTGTAGTTTTTCCATACATGTGCGCTAGCCTCTCACTGCTTTATTTCAGTCAATCCAAAGCTTTCTCATAATAATCAAATTTGATGAAGTCTGGTTCATCCGCAAAGAGGGCAGTGCGGCATGGGATAAAAGCAAAGTAATTTACCCTTTTAACCATTACAGGATGGGGTGGGGGTGGCTGGTATTCTAGGACACTATAGCATACACGTTTGTATTCCTAGCTCTACAGTGTTCCTTTAAGTAGAAGTGAATTAGAGGGTGCAGTCCTGTGAGGTATATCCAATGTGTAGATTTCATGGGGAGGTTTATCAGTTTGTTTTGCTTGCACGCTCTTTCTCTTTTGAGATGAGAGCCCTGTATAATTTAGTTTGGCTCTCATTTTGTTTTTATGGTAGTCTGACTGTAGATATGGGGACATATCTGAAGAATATCAATTTTTTTTTTTTTTTTCTCTAAACGGATTCTGAATAGAAGGTGAAATCCTGTTGCATCATTACAGAGTATCATTAAAGGCTTGACTTTAGTGGTTTGACATGGCCATGATGATTAGAATCTATGTGCTGCCTTTCACTATGAAACGTTGCATATACAGACTTTAACCCCTCTACTACTGGAAGTGTAATTCCATCACTGGTCGTGTCATTGGTGATTCATTAGCCAGACTGGATCAAGAGTTACGGGTAACTGTGTATTCTGTGGAATTTTCCCATCCCACCAGCACCCCTGCCACTCTGTATATCCCATGTCCTCCATTCAGCCTGATCTCCCTGCCCCTCCAGCAAGATGAGTCTCGTGAGCATTTCAGAACTTAGCTCAGGAGGGCTAAGGTAAGTTCTGGCTGAGGAACTTTCTTCTCTTTGGCCATGGTAACGGAGGTCGTGTGTGGCTCCTGGCAGACCCCAGGTGGAATAACTGTTTGAAAACAGTTTGCTTATATACTCCAGAAACCATAACCATTAAAAGTGGAAGTAGTAAATCAAGGTGCATAACCACTGCATCTATCTGTAGTGGTTATGGTTTCTGGAGTATTCCTTTAATAATTTTAATTGGATAGGGTGTATGATTCACACAAGCTTAAAAGAAACATTAAATTATGTGGGTTTTATTCACTTAACAGTGAATTGAAAGCTGTTGATTTTGGTGGGAAAGTTGCTGTTCAGACTCCTAAAACATGACCCCTCAGCTGCTACCGAGATGAAGAATTCATTATCCATTCATATTTGGGCTACGTCACCACCATTCCCATGTTTAAGGAAAACAGAAGTGACATACATGCTTTTAAAGGGTTATTGTAACCATTACTGATCACTGTAGTGGGTATGATGCCAGAAGTATCCTGGCCCAGTTTACCAAAATGGGGCAAACTGTTTTGCGATAGTTTGCCCTCTTACCTGGCTCCCTGCTGGGTGCCCATAGTCCTACTTCCTCTGATTTGCTGCAGAAGCCAAATGCGATCCCATCCGCACCCATTGGCTTAGATTGTCAGCTGATTGCTCTCTTATTTCACGCTGGCTAATGATGCCCCAGTGATGCTACCAGAGGTGAAGTTACACCTCGGGCAGCAAAGGGGCTAAACTCTGTATGTGCAATGTTTCATAGCGAAATCATACAGACTTCAGGCACCCCGATCACTTCAAAACACTCTAACTAGCACCCAACAACCCACATTTTCCAAACAAAATAGCTATGGATATTACTACTTGCCTTGCTTAGTAGCATGTGTTAAGATTTGCTGTGACATGTGAAATTATATTGACTGTTTCCCTTAAAAGCTATTTATAAGAGAAAAGAAAATTTGTTAAATTATTGCTTCATATAATGCAGCTTTTAAATGAATCATCATAACCCACTCCCAATCAAACCATCTCAAGTAAGTCCCTGGGCAAGACACCTAAAGATATATCCTTCCTATCTTTGTTTGATAATTATAAATTTCTGCAGAGTATGTTGGTGCTATATAAATGCTGATAATAATACTGCTGTCATATAAATTCAAGCAGAATTAAAGGCTGTGTACTTTATCTAACAGTACTTGTTAAAGCGATAAAGAACAGAGCCGGTAAAGGGAAGCCGTCATGTTAACCCTGCATTGAAAAACATTGCTGTTTTTACAAACTAGAACATTATAGTGCCAGGAAAACTTGTTTGTTTTTCTAAAGCTACAGTTATCCTTTAAAACATGAAATATACAGCCATGTTTTTATGCTGAAACTGTGCTGCACTGTTTGAAACAATTTTTTTTTTTTAATGTTTTTAAAGGACCGCTATAGTGCCAGGAAAACAAACTCGTTTTCCTGGCACTATAGTGTTAATAGGACCCCCCCACCTTCAGGGTCCCCCTCCTGCCGACTTCTAAGGGGAGGAAGGTGTTAAATGCTTACCTTTCTCCAGTGCCGGGTTCCCTCGGCACTGGAGACTCTCCTCCCTCTTCCGACATCATCTGCTGAATGCGCATGCGCAGCTACAGCCGTGCATTCAGTCAGTCCAATGGAAAGGATTTCTCAATGCTTTCCTATGGACGCTGGTGTCTTCTCACTGTGAAAATCACAGTGAGAAGTGCCTCTAGCGGCTGTCAATGAGACTAGAGGCTGGATTAACCGATATGTAAACATAGCAGGGTTAAACCTAGATGGACCTGGCAGGCAGAGTTAAACCTAGATGGACCTGGCATCCAGACCACTTCATTAAGCTGAAGTGGTCTGGATGCCTATAGTGGTCCTTTAAAGATATGGTGTTGATCAGGAGTGCCCAAAAGGTAGATCCCCAGACGGATCACGGAAGTTGTAGTTTTCAAACATCTGGGGATCTATCTTTTGGGCATCCCTGGTGTAGATTTTTTCCATGCTGTATGTGGATTCCAAAGTGTCATTTTATCTAGATGGGTTAGACATCCAACATTGCAGAGTACCCTTCCAAAATACTACTACTAAGTGCATAGCTCTAGTTGGGTTTCTTTTTAATTAAAATATTTTTGCAGACTGTTAATAAAGAGACTTTTATATCGTGCACGAAAATCATAAAGTTACATGGGGGCATTGGTTCTGCATCTTAAACGGTAGCAACTTCCACTAGCAGGAAATATAACTAATCACGATTTGCGAGTTATGTGTCAGTAGTCTTTGTACGCAAACAAGACTATACATCGGACACAAGGTCATGTATTTAGACTGGAAGAAAGAAGATTTAGTCTAAGGCAAAGAAAAGGTTTTGTTTACCAAAAAAACAATAAGGATGTGAAATTTTCTGCCTGAAGAAGTTGTTTTCTCAGAGTCCGTACTGATGTTTAAACAGCAACTATATGCATATACTTGCAAAAACGTAATATTCAAGGATATCATTTTTCAACTGTAGGGTAATAGCTTCCTGATCCAAGGATAAATCTGGCTGCTATTCTGGGATCAAGAAGGTGTGTGTTTTTTTGTTTTTTGTTTTTTTTACTAGTTTGTTGAAAAATTGGAAGTGCCTCAAACTGTTTCTTTTTTTTTTTTGCCTTCTTTTTTGTGTGGCTAAATTACTCCGTATTCCCTTTACGTGAAGTGTCCTTTGTAGGAGGAGGGAAAATGCATTAAAAATGTGAAATAAAATGAACATATTGAAAGATACGTTTGCACCCACTGAATTTGCTGCAACCTGCGTGTTGTCAGCCATGCCTGCCCTCCATTATTTCACTGGAGGTGCTAATACACATGTAACACATGATTATTTTGTAGCTTTTTTTTATTTTTTTATCTTTGCAGCTATAAGGAATAACTTTATACTGAGACAATGATTGAGACCCCCTTACACTGATGTGATGAGCATGGGTACTAATGCTATATATCCGTGCCTAGTGAACAGCAGTGCCCACTTTATGCAAACTACGACTTCACAGCATAAATACATATACGCATTCCCCCACCCCCCTTTTTTGTGATAGTTCTTACTTTCTGTATGTGTTGTTTGATATGTATTTGTATATTGGATAACCTTGACAGTCACAGCTGTTTGATTTCACACATTTATGCACACATGCTTTAGTTTCACATTATTGAAAACGTGGTAAGACTCAATGAGTAACGTGTACAATACTTTGTCATTGAATTCAGTCTCCTGAACAGTGCCATGAAAATGGGAACAATAAGACACATCATAAATATTAATAAATACAGTAAGGTTAAAACTGCAGTGGGCAATTCAGGACAGGAATCTTGCAGATGGTGTCAAGTTGTCATGTATCCTTGAAAATGTTGGCTGTTTTTTGCTGAATTTGAACATTTTGAAATGACACCGAAGAACACAAACGCAAGCTCATTTCAAGCCAAATCCAGCCATTCTTTTAGACTTTAAGGGGTAATCTAGGCATCCACATGTTGGATCATAATGTTTTATTGTGTGTGAGGTTTATGGCTTAGTTTTTATTTAACAATTTTTTTAAAAATTTTTTTTTTTAATTTAAAGTTGAATATTAAAACTTGTGTTGTTGACTTATCTTAAAACTGTTTAAAAGTATATAAGCACTATTTACAGCAGACTTCATTACATCATTGGTATGTTTGTATAACAGTGGGCTCCGCATTGTTAATGCTGTTCCGATTACATAGTAGTAACAATTACGAAACTCTGAAAATAATAAATGGGGATATCCTTCCAGTTATGCATTTGCAAGGAATTTGGCAAGCACATTGTATAGATAGATAGTTACATAGGCCGAAAAGAGAACTGTTTCCATCATGTGTAGCCTTCCGCACATCGTTTTTTGCTGTTGATTCAAAAGAAGGCAAAAAAACAAGTTTAAAGCACTTACAATTTTGCAACAAACTAGGGTGAAAAATTCCTTCTTGACCCCAGAATGGCAGTCAGATTTATCCTTTTATCAATAAGCTATTACCCTACAGTTGAAAAATTATATTATTGAATATTATGTTTTTGCAAGTATGCATCTAGTTGCTGTTTAAACATCTGCACAGACTCTGATAAAACCACTTCTTCAGGCAGAGAATTCCACATTCTTATTGTTCTTACAATAAAAAACACCTTTTCTTTGCCTTAGACAAAATCTTCTTTCTTCCAGTTTAAACGCATGACCTCGTGTCCTATGTAAAGTCCGGTTTGTGAATAGGTTTCCACACAATGGTTTGTATTGGCCCTGGATATATTTTTATAATGTTATTTATTTTCTCTGAGGCAAGATTTTTTTCTAAACTAAAGAGGTTTAAACGTGTTATTAGAACAAATTGTCTATACTAAAAGAGATCTACTAGGCAATTTGATGGTTTTAAGATTAAAGGAACCCTTCACACACAAAGTTTGCTGAAATGCTTTATGTATTAGAATATGTTCATTTAGTGCTGATTAGTGTTTCAAATCTGCACTTTCACAAATAATTGCAGAAACACCTCCCTGACTGTCACTCAGAAAGCTTGGTTGGTTATCTTTGGATTCTGTTAGCTCCACAGAGCTAATGGAAGTGGTATGCCTTTCCCCCAGCCTGTGAGTCCATCAGTGTGCAGTTTACCTCTGCTTCCCTGGCTAAGAACTGGCATGCGGCTCTAAATCAGAGGCTACTATGAGATTGTCAGTCTGTGAAGGGGGAAAAAAAGGGAAAGCTACCAAAGGTTTGCAAGCTGTTTTTAGGTTTACCCCAAATTAAAAAATGCATACTTAAATACCTGCATGTTTTAGTAGGGTATATCTACTAAATAGGTATTGTATTTTTTTTTTTTTTTATATATTTGGGTAGTGGAGTGTCCCTTTAAAGAAACAGAGAAATTTTAAAGGGACACTATAGTCACCAGAACTACAGCTTATTGTATTTGTTCTGGTGAGTGTAATCATTCCCTTCAGACTTTTTTTGCAGTAAACATGGTCTTTTCACACTGTGCAGCATTGACAGTCAGTGTTTCCACCCTCTGCATAGAGACACAGAACTTTACTCATAGAGATGCATTAATTCAATGCATCTCTATGAGGAGATGCTGATTGGCCAGGGCTGTGTTTGACTTGTGCTGGCTCTGCCTCTGATCTACCTCGTTGACAGTCTCAGCCAATCCTATGGAAAAGCATTGTGATCGACTCAGAACACCACTTCTGATGATGCCAGTCAAGCAGGCAGATCAGGGGTAGAGCCAGCAGCAGTAGACTAGAATAAAATATATTTAGAGAGGCATGGGGAGAGGGAAAGGGGGAAGCGCTAGATGGGGGTTTTAACACTATAGGGTCAGGAAAACATTTTTGTGTTACTGACCCTATGGTGTTCCTTTAAGAAGTTAATAGAGATTAAACAAAAATCACAAAGTATTAAAGGGGGGAGGGTTATTTTATGAAGAACACAACTGCATTGTTAGTCAAAGTGAGGTTATGAAACCAATATGTGAGTAAATATATGTACATTTTTATTTATTTTTTGGCTGCCCATTGATGCTCATTTGAATGCTTCCACATTTGCCAAAATGTAGAGGAGAGACATAGCGATGGGTGTCTAGGGAGGCCACTTCTTTTTTTATTATTCATTTATTTTACCATTCAAAATTGCCTTTGAAAAGCTTTTAATGAACCATAATAGGCAAAGTCAGCCCAACTATTTTTTTTGTTACATTTAAGAAACATGTTATCAATGGTCATGTGGCTTAGTTATAATTACTATATATAGGCATTGCATTAACACTGTAAAAAAAAAAAAAATTATTTCTGTTTAAATACATATTTATTTTTATATTTTTTGTAACAGGAGTCAAGTGCTGGAAATGTTTGATCACGCATATGGAAATTATATGGTATGTATAAATTGGTTGTTTTGTGTTTTTTTTTTATCTGCAAAAGTTTAATTTAGTGAAAAACAAACTTGATAATTGTGTAAATGGTGCTCTTTTCCCCCCACACAAATAAAATTTTCAAACAGCAGCTTGTGGACTCATGTGGACTTTCCCCCTATATACCACGCACAAAAAGTATTTATTTAATTACAGTGGTGCGCGTGTGTAAATGTGCATGTCAATAAATATATATAATTCTCATGAGTTAGAACCACTCGCATACATTGGAGCCTGATATGATGGCTTGGATCTTTTGCACCTCTGTCTTTAAGGTAGTACACTACCTAAACGGCAGCCCTTTGGCTTAGTAAATCCAAAAACACAGATAAAAGAAATTTAGACAAGAGCTAGTGTATTAACTTTGGTATTATTATTTTATTATTTATATAGCGCCATCACATTCCGTAGCGCTGTACATTGGGTGGACTAACAGACATGTAATTTTAACCAGACAGTTGGACGTACAGGAACAGAGAGGTGGAAGGCCCTGCTCAATGAGCTTACATTCTAATAGCGTAATACTTAAAGCACTATATATTGTGCTCACCTGGTACACAGAAAAAGATAATCAATACGTGCAACATATTTGTAAATCAAAACAAAAACACAATCACCAGTGTATGTATTCTCCCTCAATACACAATACAATAATTGCCAACAACAAGTCTTAATCATAAAACATAAAGTGTGGTCTGTGATTAGAAAGGTACTGAATGCTACCTATTTGACAGGAAATATATATATATATATATATATACTATCCACATACTTCAGGTGGAAGGGGTTTTCAATCACAATTTTTCCCCACCATAACCTAATTATATTTATATATATATATATATATATATATATATATATATATTCTCAAAAAAAGAACAAAAATACATTATTTTCTAGCCCCTTGCCTTGTAGTCCAGTCTTCAACGCTACAAGGGAGTGTTACCCCTAGTAACACAAAGTGGATACATCACGAGCCTGATCCTTGGGCTCTACCCCACGTGAGTGTTATTCTTCAGTAAATTTATACTCATAATTGTGACACCTCTGTCATTTCTGTATCAGCTGCTCAGAGATAGCCAAAGAAGAAGATATCGAAATGGACATGGTGAAAAAGCTTACACATTTATTTACTTAAAACCAATAATATTGCAGTATCCAAAATGCATTTTACCCCACGGCTTTACCAGTTGGAAATGTATCACAGTAAGCCTCCAGGTAAAACGTGTTTCCAAGAGTTTTCTAATGCACTGCTCTTAAAGCGCTGATTGTTAGACTTCCATTGCAACCAGGAATTGTTAAATACTTGTAATTATTGCCCTAGCAATTTATATGATATACCCATAATTCTATAGACACTGGATCTTTACAAATATGGATTTTATTTTATTTTTATTTCTTTTTTTATTGTGGTGACAATATTGTCACTTTTCGATCACATGTCCTGTTCTGTTTTGATACCCGGCATTCTATAAATCACATACAATTTCTATTGAAATGACTGTGAAGCTGGACTTATTTTCTATTGGCATTTAAAACCACCTATAGTGTTCAAATGTCTATTCTATTACTGGCAAGCTGTGAAGGTGCGACTTTTCCATACCTCGAAGGGAAAGCTCTAAGCACTCTAATCATTACAGCATCATCTAGTGATTATGGTGCCAGAATCCACTGGCACTCTCCTACAGTAATTGGTCAAACTATTTTGGAATGGTTTTATACTCCATTATGTCCTCCAGGTACCTGCAGTCCAGCTGCTTCTTCTGATATCACTAAACTGGAAGTCCTTGTATCAATTTTATCCCTATGTTAATGGAATTTATTGGTTGAGAGTGTTGGCTGATGCTCTCAGCCAATTAATTCTGTCCACATATGTGATCCATCTAATGTGAAAGGGGAACTTCTGTTTTACAAAATAATATGCAAATGTTGGCACTCAACTGGCTGATGGTGCTCGTATTGAGGCAACCCACCATTCAAACTAAAATGAAATGTTCTAACCCAATAATACAGTACTCAAAAAAGTTTGTAAATCAAAGAGATTTTAGATTGCAGTCCTTATGTATATGTATGTGAATGTATTACTTTTATTCTTTTCTAGCTCACATTGCTGATGGTTTCCACAAACCTTTGAATAATTTCACCCCATGTTTGCTCACAAACAGTTTTGCCCATAAGTTTTATGTACTTTTATTTTTTGGAACTTATTTTAACATAATTATGTTAATCTTTAAAATTATTATTTATTTATTTTTTTACATTTCTTATTTTTGTAGTGCAAAGCAAACAAGTAAAAACATTGAGACATCACACATGTGTATAAATGCAGAGACAAAGGTGTATATGCAATATGGAATGTAAAGAATACTGCACAATTTTTTATTTATTTTTTTGTAGGTATAACACTGACAGGTCAGTAGAAATACAGAGTAGTATATTGGTATGAACAGCTACACAGATTTGTTTATGTGTGCGCTAGAGGAATCGGAGCTGGGGGTGGGAGGAATGTTAACTTGGATCTAGTGTAGCCGGGATGTACCCGGGTCGACCAATGTAGGTTGTGTAATCATTGCATAGGGAATTAAAAGTAAAAGGCAACATTAACAGAAAGCAATTCAATAAAATAAAAAGAACCACAGTAGAACAGTTCCTTTGTTCTGGATCAGCTAAGTTCAGGTGACCGCCACTATTGTTGCACCATTAGCTGCAGGGGTGAATGGGACAATGTTGGCTGGATCCCAAAAGGCGGAAGTGGACTGAGATGGTCGACTGAGGCCCAAGCCGGACAAGACTGCATCAATCTCCGAGGCTTCGGTGACTTTATGCTCAGCTTTGTTGTGGTAAACAATGAGGGTTCGTGGGTAGCCCCATTTATATTTCAGGCCATGGGAAGACAACGCCAACGTTAAGGGTCAGAGGGATTTCCTCCACTGCACCGCAAAAAAGGTGAGTTCCATCTCTTCAAAGCAGTATGGGGTCTCTCCCCTGGTTGCTTGCAAGAAGGCAGTCTTATCCTGCTCGTTCTGAAACTTTATGAGAAGGTCGCCAGCGGCCGAATCCTTGCTAGGCTGTGATGTTGGCAGGTGGAACATGCTGTCTAGCTGAATGCTCTTCGCCTGCCTAGGAGGCAGCAGGACCAAAAACGGCCTACAGAGAAAATGTGGTAACTCAGCTGGAGTGATGCTCTCAGAGATGCCTCTGATCTTCAGTTGCTTCCATTTCCTCTTGTCCTCCAGGGCTGCAAGTTGGTGATCAAAGTTGGCCTGGGCCGAGGCAAGTTCCCCCCAACTGCCTCTTTAACTCTGTGAGGTGAGTGGAGTGATTCTGTGTCACTTGCTCCACTGCAGCCATTCGGGCAGTAAAGCCCCTGGCATCCTCTAGTACCTGAGTAATTGCAGCTGTTTTTGCCTGAGATCTGCCAAAAGGCTAGTGAGGATGGCAGCAGTGACAGGTGGAGAAGTGTCCTCTTCCTGTTTAGAGGGAGTAGAAGGTTTAGGGGTGAAAACCTTGGTAACTCAGATCCTCACTGCTGTGTAGAGGGAGATCCTCTGAGACATTGGAGAAATCAACTAGGTCTGCCGCCATGTTTGGCCTACCTGTGCCATGCGGCCTCTGAAATAGATCCCCAATGTCAACATAATATCCAGACCGATCCAGTCTCGGCTTTTTAGTTTTGTGCCCCATCGTCTGTGGTGCATTGTGCCGAGGTCTGCCAAGTAAGTGCCCTCCTTCTGCAGCTCTTTTATCTGAGAACACACTCTTTGCCAGAGGAGCACCACGGACATGTGACTGCTTCGATTGGGCGCTAGCTCCACCCCTCCCCCTTTATTATTTAAATGCCTTTACACCTTTTGCAATATAAGTGCATCACACTATATAATCTATTTTTTATTTTATTTTATTTTATTTATTTTTTTCAACCTTTTCTAATCAACAAATAAATAATCTATTCTTAGATTTCAAACTATTTTGAGTGTGGTGTTATTAGTTTATAATATAACTTCTGTTTTAGCTGTATTTGAAGAACAGTCTTGACGTCAGGTACTGGGCAAGCCAGCTAAGTGCCATACTGTTTAGAAATGTTGACTACTTTGTGGGATATAGTTAAGAGGCTCCTCGTACCATTACCACTAGTGACGTAACTTAAGTTATAACATTAATAACATTGTTCCTCACAATTAGACACATGCATACCCAGCTGATGAACTGATGCCTTTGACGTGTCGAGGAAGAATACGTGGCCAAGAACCAAGCAGGGGTGATGTGGATGATGCATTGGGAAAGTAAGCCTGTGATCGTCTTAAGTTTATTTTGTCTGTTTGCAAATGTTCTGTTTTATTTACTTTAAATATGTCTCTTCCAATGGCACAAAACTTTGTGTTTGGTCACTAAGCTTAAATAACCATCAAGTTTTATAAAAGATTTTGTGCATGGTGTTTTCTCCTAGAACATACCTTTTTTCCAGAGCTGTTTGCTTATGGTAAGCCAAGTCTTAACAACCAACAGACCGTACTTTATTTGCTTCAGAAAAATTTCCATTGCTTTTCTGTTGTAGAGAAAAGAAGGGCCTGATACTCTTCTACAGTAAGCTTATTTTGACTTTAAAAAAAATAACAAAATGATAGGATAAATAATTTATTGAGCTAACTTTTAAATACTTAGCCATATTATCGTAAAAGGGGCAGGCAACTTTGAGCACTCCAAATGTTGTGGACTACATTTATACTGATGCTTTGCCAGCATTATGGGTGTAAGCGCATTATGGAAGATGTAGCCCCAACATCTGGAGTGCTGAAGTTGCCTATCCCTGCCCTAGAATTTTCTAGGTACACCCATTATACTCCAGTTTAACCGTTCTGTCATCACATGGCTCTACCCCTAAAATAATCTCTGCCTTCTTTTCAGTCAATACCATTCCCTTTAGTCTCATGCAGAAATTGGATCTTAAAGCTCAATGTGGCTTAGTCACAAAAAAAATCCAACTTCGCTATTTTGGCCTAAAGTTGGTAACACTAAAAGTAATGGCAGTGGTGAGACTGAAAGGGATGTAAGAACATGTCCCAGTTGCCATGGTCATAACCAATATGTAATGCCGTACAACCTACACGACTGCCGGAAGCTAAATTATTGTATATATTAATTGTGAATAACAAGTTTGCATTAAAGGGACACGATACTCACACAAACAATTTTAGCTTAATGAAGCAGTTTTTGTGTATAGATCATATCCCTGCAGTCTCACTGCTCAATTATCTGCCATTTAGGAGTTAACCCCTTAGTGACCAGACCGTTTTTCAATTTTCTTACCGTTAAGGACCAGGGCTGTGTTTACATTTCTGCGGTGTTGGTGTTTTGCTGTAATTTTCTTCTTACTCATTTACTGTACCCACACATTATGTTCTGTTTTTCTCGCCAATAAATGGTCTTTCTAAAGATACCATTATTTTCGTCATATCATGAAATTTACTATAAGACAAATTTGTAAAAATATGATGAATTTTTTTTTTTTTTTTTAAAACTACAACTTTTCTAACTTTAACCCCCAAAATCTGGTACGCATATACAACCGCCAAAAAACACCCGTGCTAAATAGTTTCAAAATTTTGTCCGGAGTTTAGAAATACCCAATGTTAACAGGTTCTTAGCTTTTTTGGAAAGTTATGGTGCTTTAAGTACAAGTAGGACATCGTTGTTTCAAAATATATATTTTCCAAATGTATCAATAGTGACATTGTAACACGGTTATCTGTCGTAAATCTCTGAATCTCACCTCACATGTACATTTTATTTATTTATTTATTTTTTAAAGTAGACAGCACAGGGTATTCAATATGGGGTATGTCCAGTCTTTTTTTTTTAGTAACCACTTAGAAACAAACACTGGCCAAAGTTAGCATTTATATTTGTGTGTGAAAAATGCAAAAAAAACTATTATGAACGCTAACTTTGGCCAGTGTTTGTGACTAAGTGGCTACCAAAAAAGTCTAAACATTATCCCATTTGCAATACCTTGGGTTTTCTTCTTTTGCAAATGGTATGCCATCATGGGGGTAATTCTCATTCCTGGGCTACCATATGCTCGCAAAGGCAACATAACCAATCTGGCAAATTTAAATGTGAAAAAACAGAAAATCAAGCCTTATATTTGACCCTGTAACTTTCAAAAACACTACAAAAAATCTGTACATGGGGGGTACTGTTATATTCGGAGACTTTGCTGAACACAAATATTAGTGTTTCATAGCAGTAAAATGTATCACAACAATGATATCATTAGTGAAAGTGCTGTTTGTGTGCAAGAAAATGCATTGCTGTGATATGTTTTACTGTTTTTAAACACTAATATTTGTGCTTAGCGATGTCTACCGAGTAAAACAGTACCCTCTATGTACAGGTTTTACGGTGTCATGGAAAGTTACAGGGTTAAAAAATGCTAGCAAATTAAATTCTCTGGACTTTCGGCCTGGGTTGTCAGTTGTCAATAAAACAGAAATTTTACTTACCATAAATTATTTTTTGCTTAATATAGTGGCAGTACCTGTAGGTTTGATGGACAAGAAAACTGTAAATAAGTAAATAAAGATGTTTAAATAGTCCCTCCTACTTCAACTTAAAAACTTACCCCAGGACCGTCCATAAATGAAAAGAAAAGACACAATAGGCCATATCATGCTAAATATAAATTTATTAAAAGAGGGAGGGATTCGTACTGCCACTATATTAAGGAAAAAATAATTTAAGGTAAGTAAAATTTTGTTTTTCCTGGCATATAGTGGCAGTACCTGTGGGATATAACAAGCAACAGCTACAAGGAAATACATTTTGAACTAAACATGAAGACATTAACATATCGAAGGTCCTCATCTAGAGGTGTAGTTTAGGAAAATGTTAAAGATTGTAATTTCTCTGAAAATGCAATGTTTTAAATTGCCAAGAAAAAAAAAAAACCAGTGTCTCTTTAAATGGCAATATATCAGAGATATTGTTGAACAGAATGATGATGACATGGAAAGCCCCGCACAAGCAGCCGAGATTAGGAAATCCATCATGTTCTGCTGGCAAATAAAGTACCAGACAGCAAGGCAACACTCAGTGGGATTGCTAATTTAATTCCATTCAGTCTGCACAAAACAGGGAATTTTGCAGTCCCTTATCAATTTGCCCTCCCTCGTTGAACTTTTTTTTTGGGAAGAAAAGGAACTTTAACTCGACTAGCAGTAAACCTTAACATTTGCTATGTTAGTCTTGGGGGAGGGGGAGGGGGGGGGGCAATTTTCAATAATTGAGGGATATACCTTTTATATGGTACGCTGGTTTTATTTTGTTTTTACTTGGCACTGACCTACTAAAATACCATAAATTTAACCTGACATGTATTTGCAGTCACTTCTGTAAGTAAACATTTAGATGTACGCAAACAATGTTGGTTCAAAATGTTTCTTTTCTTTTTCATTCCAGATTTTCTTTGACCTTAATTGATACTCTGGATACTCTAGTGGTAATTACAAATGTGTTTTTTTTTTTTGTTTGTTTTTTTGACATGTCATAATTGTGTAATACTGTATTAAAGTTCAAATGATGCTCTGTTCGTAGTGTGCATGGATTTAAGATTTAACATTAAGATTGTTTATTGTATGTGATATGTGTAGCATGATAGGTACTCACAGCATCTCAGATACTAGTGTACTAGTTTGCAGTTTAATTTTTTTTTATTTATATACAAAAACACAAACAGAAAATCGCCATCCCCAATCTACTTACACATTGTAGCTGCTAATAAAGGCGATGTAAGAATCCACTTCTGTGTTTAGTGGTGTTTTAGTTAAGGACATAATCAACTAAACTGGTACATTTTGTTCCCTGTTCTCTCATGTATCAGAAGGCACTGACAACCATCTTTTGAAAAACAGTTGATGAAGTCCAGAATGCCCTAATATTCTTGCATTTTATAAAAATTTCTACTCTATTAGAAATAGTTTATTTGCTGCTGTATCAGCTTTTTACAAGTATAGTTAACTTAAAGGATCACTATAGTCAACATATAAAAGCAAAAAAGACAGTTCCCCCAGCCTTCTTTCTTGCTTTTATATGAACTTGCCCCATTAAAAAAATAAATCCAAGCACTTTTTATCATTAAAACTTACCTCCATTCCAGCGCCGAGCTCCCCGCCAGGCCACGGCTCCTTTTTCGTAAAAATTACTAAATCGTAGGGCTCAATCAGACGCTTATCTTTGAGAAGCGTCATCGCTCCCTGGTGCGCATGCACGGCTTTGCGCTGCACCAATCAGGTTCTTCATAGAGCAGCATTGAATGCCGCGCTATGAAAAAACTGAGCGCTCCACCGCGCATCTGCGCGGTATGCGCATTCGCTAGCTTAGCTGACTTACTTAGCTGTCTATGCCAGCCCTACTCCTGTGGCCACCCAAAGTAAGTATGCAAAATATACATATATATATATATATATATATATATAATGTGTGTGTGTATATATATATATGTGTATATGTATGTCCAGCGTCAAATAAGATCCCCATAGGAAAGCATTGAGTAATGTGGATTTGAATGCGCGTGCGCCTCTGGCAGCGCATGCGCATTCGGCTCCACTCGAGAGCCGATGTCGGCAGAGGGAGGAGAGGTCACCAGCGCTGAGGGAACTCAGTGCTAAAATAAGGTAAGTGGCTGAAGGGGCTTTAACCCCTTCAAGCCAGCGGAAGGGGGGGCCCCATGGGAGGGCGAGACCTATACGGGTTTGTTTTCCTGGCACTATAGGATCCCTTTAATCCCTAAAATATAGCCGCAAAATTTTTATTTTTAACCTTGGCGTTCTCCTTTAAATATATATATTTAAAAAAAAATAAAAAATTATTATATATTTTTAGGTGTTGAACAAAACCAAGTTGTTCGAAGAAGCTGTTCGAAAAGTAATCAATGATGTAAACTTAGATAATGATATTGTGGTGTCCGTTTTTGAAACAAACATCAGAGTATTGGGGTAAGTACTTATGAAGCAAGCCTTGAGAATTGTGTGTATTGTAACGGTCACTGCTTATATATTTTTAATTTTTTGTTCTACAAGAGAAAGGATTAATGTTTATACAATATTTTCTTTGCAAATGTTGAGGATTACATCAAGGTTAAAAACAATAAAATAAAAATGTTTTCCTATTATCTGTGAACAATGGCAGGCAGAATATATTTTGAATATTTGTGCACCCCCCACTAGCAGCTAGGGCATTTTGCTTAGCTCATACCTGACTTAGTATCATGTATGGTTAGCACACACAGCTGTTTAATTAAAATTTAGGAAATAACAGTTATTAGTTCTGAAAAATGGGAGATATTTTCATTGTGGAAACCATTTTAGATTCAAGTATGTGTTTTGTGCACAGAGAAGGTTTTCATGGATTTTTGTAGCTAGGTCTACAGATCTACCCAGCTGCACATTATCATACATTTCATTACTCTACCCTGTAATATACTTGTCATTGTGGGCGGACACTGATGTTCTGTATTGGTGTTCTTTTTCAAATATTCTGGTTTATTGACGAAATTCAAAGCTTGGACTTTGTAACACTTTAATCTCTAGATTATTAGCACCCTGCAAAAGCTATTCAAATTCACTATCTTCTAAAGTAGGGCATGTTAGACAGATGTAAATCTCTGCATATTAGACAGAAAGACTTTAAAAAAAAAAAAAAAAAGATCCTCTTGTTAAATTGGCTCTGTTATTCTCTGGGGTCTTAATGCTATTGTACACGCTACGGAATTTGTTGGCGCTTTTATCAATAATTATAATAACATTTATCCCAGTATCTACTTTGTCTCGGAATATCTTTTGACTGGGTTGAAATGTCAGTGAATTTCCACACAGTCATTCTGAAATCTTTACGAAATACTCATTCTTGAAGAGGAGATGGCAGAGCCGCTTTAATCAGAATTGTATATTTTCTGCCTTAGCTAAATTAGATGCCATTTAAACTGGAGTAAAATAAATTGTTGCAGACCCGATAAGTCTGAATTCTTTTTTCAAAAGTGGAATAACCTACAGAAATATGCTATTGGTTTCTGTGGTGATTTTTGTCTCATTTTTCTATTGCATTGACATTTCAAGAGAACCAAGGGTTCACCTTGTGTACACCCCCTTTTTTTTTCTCATCAGAACAATCTAGATTTTAAGGTTAGAAATTCCAGAAATTATAAACATTATTTCATTGTTCTAGCATTAGCTTTTTGGTCGTAGCTAAATGCATTCTTAAAAAAATAAAATAAAAAAAATTGCACAAAGACCAGTTTTAAGTCCGTAGGTGAGAGTCTGTTTAAGCTATGTAAAGCTACCTTGTTTATTTTAGTTGAAGTTTAAACACTGAAGAAATTCTTACTTTTACCACGAGTCCTAGTCTGATCATTAGAATAGTTAATTAAGGGAAACCCAGACCAACAGAATAGAATCTGCTAAACACTAGGCTAAATTTGTCATATTTAATCCTTGCACCTAGGGGGATTACACAGATCATGAGTAGAATTTTACTAGAAATATATTTTTATAAATGTTAATAGTTTGTGGTCTTTCATGTTTTGAAATGACTGTATAGGCAGCTGAAAATTTTACATTTGTTTTTGTTAAAAAATTAATCTGAATCGTTAACACTTCAAAAGTCATTTTATGCAAAATAACCACCTGCTCGGTTCTGAGATTTGTATGGACTCATAATACAGAAAGTACAGAAAGCTTTCTGAAGCGTGAAAAAATACTTGTCTTTGCGTAAACCCCGGGACAGTCTTTTGAAACAACCTGTGTACAAGCTTTTACTCTTCCTTATAGATACCGAAGGGGGAAAAGTAACGTATTTGTTATCTATTGCTAAAGAGAGACTCTGTAAAAAAACATTACTTCATTTTAATTTTACAACCTATTTAGATTTTAGAGTAATGGGCGCTGTAAGTGGAATGACACTGATAACTATAGCCACATTCAGGCTCTTTTTCAGCAAATAGCTGTCATTTCCCTGCTTCCAGTAGTCCATGAACATTGATATAATTGCACTTATCATTGGTAACTATATTTTATTATTAATAATATTGGAAGTAATTAGCTTTTCCACTTGTAGCATACTACCGCTCCTCCCTTTACTTAATTTATTAATTTTTTTTTGGGGAACATTTGTCCATTTTTAATTATGATAGAATACATCAATCTATGTCTCAGGGTTCCTTCATGTGATTAATAGCATTTAATATAACACTTGTGCTTAAACCCCTAGTGGTCTCCTTGGAGGGCATTCACTTGCCATAATGCTGAAAGAAAGTGGTGAGCGAATGGATTGGTACAATGATGAACTGTTACATATGGCTAAGGAGCTCGGCTACAAACTTCTCCCCGCATTCAACACAACTAGTGGCCTCCCCTATCCAAGAGTATGTTGAAGTGTCCAATGAATTATCCTTGTCTTAAACCAGTTATGGTTTACCATGCTTACTAGGCATTAAATGGTTTTTCTAAATATTACTTGAAATCTTGTTCAATTGGTTTTTGATGCCAATGATCCTTTGCCAATTGGTACATGCTTTTTTGGAAATAGCACAATAAATGATATTCCTCCTTTGTTTTAACCAATAAGTGTTGCTTGTTTAGTAAGGGATATATTGGTGTTCATTGTAAATGTGTATCCATGGCCATTAGAAGTCCAACTCTTTCATTGCTAGGTCACGGATTCTAAGACTGTCTTGTCGTCTTAAAGGGAAACTGTCATTTTTCCAGGATTTTTAATATTCGGTTTATGTATTCCTATAGTCAACAAATATGTTAACTATAACTAAAATATCTTTATAAAATGTAATTTAAATGGAGAAATTCACATCTTTTATCCTGCAACCCGACCCTTCCATCTTAGTTCCCTGTCAATCTTTTATACGCACTATCTATTGTAACTGGCAGTCAGCATTCTAGAGGGGAGATGTAACAATGTTTCTATTTCCCCTCTTCATTTGTAATATATGCCCTGGCTTTCTTTGCTTTGTTTGAACTGGATTATGATGTAGTTTGCTTAATCTTTATAATACATATTAAAGTAAACCGAGTCTAATAAGAACAAAATAGGTTAACACATTTTACAAGTCATTTTCAGTGTTTTAACCCCTTAAGGACCAAACTTCTGGAATAAAAGGGAATCATGACATGTCACACATGTCATGTGTCCTTAAGGGGTTAATCAATGGTGTAAATTCAGAGAAGTGACAGTTGCCTTTTAAGAATATGTGCCTATTAAAGCAATACTCCAAACACCATAAGCATTTTTTTTCATTAAAAAAAATATGCAGTTTTCAATAGAAATTTGCACTTTTATAAATTAGTTAGCATTATGCAGTTTTATAGCCTTTTGTGAATAATCAAACACTTATTCATCACCCCAGACCTTGAATACTGTAGCAAAGCAGTTTCGTGGGTGAGGTCATTTTTTTTTTTTTCGTGATTGACTCGTGATTGTTTTATTTCTGTACATACAATATAAAAATGCCACTTTTTAGATTTATGAAGAACTTACCCCTTAAACTGTGTGATTTTTCATCTATGTTTAGATTTATGTAGTGTATAAACAAAGCCAACCTGGTTAATGGGAACTACAGTACATATGTCAAAGTTTTCACTACTTTAGAATCAGTCTTCCTTTTTTATGTTTTCTGTTCTTTAAAGGGATATTATAGTCACCAGAACTACAGCTTATTGAATTTGTTCTGGTGAGTAGAATCATTACCTTCAGGCTTTTTGCTGTAAACACTGCCTTTTCAGAGAAAATGCAGTGTTTATATTACATCCTAGTGATAAATTCACTCTTAGATGGCTGTTAGAAATCCTTCCTGGGTCAAGGCCACCTAAAATGCATCCAAACATTCAGTGTCTCCACCCTCTGCATGCAGAAACTGAACTTTCCTCATAGAGATTCATTGATTCAATTCATCTCTGTGAGGAGATGCTGATTGGCCAGGGCTGTGTTTGAATTGTGCTGGCTCTGCCCCTGATTTGCCTCTTTGACAGTCCCTGTCAATCCTATGGGGAAGCATTGTGATTGGATCAGGCCACCACTTCTGATGAGGTCAGAGGAAGTTCACAGGCAGAGGCAGCTGCTTCAGACTTGAATACAAGTAAGATTGTACTATCTTTAGGGAGGGAAAGGGGTTAGATAGTGGTTTTAACACTATAGGGTCAGGAATACATGTTTGTGTTCCTGACCCTATAGTGCTCCTTTAACCTTCTACCTTAATGTGTTAAATATACATAATTGCATAATCTAATCTTTTATATAACATTTAATTCAGGTTAACTTAAAGTTTGGGATCAGACGTCCAGAAGCCCGCACAGGAACGGAGACAGATACGTGCACAGCTTGTGCGGGGACCTTAATCTTAGAATTTGCTGCTCTTAGCCGATTTACAGGGATATCAATATTTGAGGTTGGTGAAAAATGTATTTCTGTGCCATCTAAGTAAAGGTTTTTCATACATTCCTATACTGATTGTGTTACATTATAAACTTAGTAATGCCTTCATTATGTTATGTACCATGCTTGCCAGAAATCTACTCCTGGTCAGTGACTAGAAAATTCACAGATATATATATTAACTATTAGCAGCTTCTTTGTGTGCTGCAAAATACAGATTTCTTGACTAAAACGTTCAAGTAAACCAAATATTTACATAAATATTTTCTTATTTAAAGGGTTACCCAAGCACCATAACCACTTCAATGACTAGCGAATGATTCCCCTATGAAGCTGTCGGAGGTGAACTTACACCTCCAGCAGTAGTGAAGTTAAACGCCAAGTGTGCATCCTTTCAAAATGAAACACTGACAAAGTCTCCAGACACCGTGACCACTTCCAATCACTGAAGTGGTCCTGATGCTTGGAGACTTTGTCAGCGTTTCATTTTGAAAGGACTTTAGGCTAGCTAAAGTTAATTCTATGCATACTCCTATGGTCAGCTGACGCTCTCAGCCAATGAATGGAGACTGGATTGGCGTCTGACTTCTGAAGCTTAGCAGAAGCTGGAAGCATATCAGCGGGCTGTAGTGGTTATAATTCTTGGAGAAACTCTTTAAGAGGCTTTCGAATTAAAGCATTGCTGTTCATGTAAAGCAAGAAGCATGCCTAATCGCTAAAAGCAACCCAAATGGGCTTTGTCCTATGTCAAATACTAGTAGTTTATATGTATTGCTCGACTCCTTTTGGCTTATGGCAAAGTTATTTAGTGGATGCTATAAATTGTAATATTTTTTAGCCTTCATTTGTTTAACAAAAGGGAAATATATGTGAATTTAAAGGGACACTCCAGGCACCCAGACCACTTCTGCCTATTGGAGTGGTCTGGGTGCCAACTCCCACTACCCTTAACCCTGCAAGTGTAATTATTGCAGTTTTTTATAGTTTTTTTTTTATAGTGGCTGTCTACTAGAAAACCTGTGCTAGACCGTCGCTGGACGTCCTCACGCTGTGTGAGGACCTCCAGCGTCGCTCAATTCCCCATAGGAAAGCATTGAAAAGAATTTTCAATGCTTTCCTATGGGGAGCTCTAATGCACATGCGCATCAGGTCTCCCCGGCCGGTGGGCGGGATCAGTCTCGCCCACCGGCCGACGTAAAGACTGGGAGGAGCTGCGGCGAGAAGGATGGGGGGTGGGAGGGAGAGGGGACCTGCAGTGCCAGGAAAACGGATTTTGTTCCTGGCACTGGAGTTTCCCTTTAAGAAAGTCAATATACTATTCTACTTTTCAGTCTAAGGACCATAGCCACTACCTGCTATTGTAGTGATTATGGTGCTAGTGCCCTTTTAACAGACTATGTAAATTTGGATATAGCTGAATATTAGCTCAAAGCCTTTCAGAGTGGTTATGGTGGCACCTGGACTCTCCTGCCCCAATAACATCTAAAATGTTTGAATCACTGTTAATATCATTCTTTATTGCAGGAGTATGCACGAAAGGCCCTAGATTTTCTATGGGAGAAACGTCAGCGCAGTAGTAATTTGGTTGGTGTAACGATAAATATCCATACCGGAGACTGGGTACGCAAAGGTATGCATTGAGTCTGGAAGAGTGCTCATTCCTAGTCTACAAACATAATGATTGTGTGTGTACACCAGGCATACAAAAGTAAGTTCAGATGCCTAGTTGCCAGACGTCCCATTTTTGCATGGATAGTACACTTCTGAACTGAAATCCGCTCAGTATTTCACTTTGCCATGTTGTTAGAGAGACACTGCTCTCTGTCATGCCAAAGGTTATCTGTGTGTATCTTTGGGATGCTACAAATATTTATATCTTTTCATTGGTTATATGAAAGGGTGCCTTTATCCTGTCCCTTCCCAGAGGGATAGATGAACTATGGGAGGGATGTGGCTGTGGGGACATAAAGCATGGGACAGGATATGGCTGTGGAGACTTGTACAGGGGGTGAACTAACTTTTCCAACCCAAAAAGCACCACACAACACTCAAAGCGTACAGAGCTTTGAAAACTATGGGTAGTCTTAGAAAACACTCTCTTAAAATGCTTATTTGGGTCTTAATTGCAAAGTGTCCCTACATTTTTGGCAACTATTGTAGTCTACATATATTCCTCCGCCACTCCCTCTCCAGTCACTTCTGGACCTTGTTTTGGAGAAATGCACACATTGATCCTTGCAAGCTGTGAAGGGGGAAGAGAAAGAGTGTGGCATAATTTACTGTTCCTCTGTTTGAATTAGCAGTGGTGAAGGTAAGAGAGTTGACTGTAATATTTAACATATTTATAATCGTGATATAAAAGAAACCCATTACCTTGCATAAATGCTGTTGGTTTATGAAGGGGTTAAGGAAAACAAATGTATTGAATATGTGACTGGTAAATTCTATTACTTGCTTTGGGAATTTATGTTAAAAAAAGAAAGAAATGTTGGAAATGACGTGGTACTTAGTAACTTGAGCATATATGCTTTGAAATGTGTTCTCTCCCAGAATTACGAGGAGAACAATCTAAATATGAAAAATGTGTTTAGAAATGTTTGTGTCTCTCTCTTCAAGACAGTGGTGTGGGCGCAGGGATTGATTCATATTATGAGTATTTATTGAAGGCCTACGTACTGCTTGGAGATGACAACTACCTTAAAAGATTTAACACGGTAGGCTTTTTTATTTTTTATTTTTTTTAATAAACACTTTTTGTTTGCACAAATAAACTAAATTAAAAAAAACAAAACAATCGTTAACATAAAAAAATTGGCATCCAAAAATCTGTTTTGATCTATTTGTAATATGTCTACTTTTCCTGTGTACAGCATTATGACGCCATCATGCGCTATATCAGTCAGCCTCCTCTATTGCTCGATGTACATATTCACAAACCAATGCTGACAGCCCGAACCTGGATGGATTCCCTCCTTGCATTTTTCCCAGGACTTCAGGTGAGAATCTGCACAACCTGTGTGGTTCATATATTAAATATCTAATTGTAGTGAATTTTAAACGTAATCGCAATAATATCCAAATACATAGCTGAGTTGGCGATTATTCCCCTCTTCCCATTTTTAGCTCACCCACATTTTGTACATGATTTTTTTAGCTCACTGCACTTTTTTTGTTTAGTGAATAAACCTGGTTGATTAAAATGCATTTGCCGCAGGAAACTAAACTGTGCTTTAAAGAAAGGCCATTTTAATTTCTGTAAAGCAAACTCACAGGAAGTCCTTTTATTTTAAGTAAACGTTAAAGTTTACCTCACATGCCATTGACATAAGATTCCGTTTAGATAAATGCTGCCTACCCAGATTGCACCACTTGTGTCCCCAATCTGCATTGCTTGCATTACGTTCCACCTGTTCATGGAACGGAGAGAACATTTCAGCAAAGGATTGTCATTCTAATCTTTGTTTGCCTAGTACACTGCATTGCTTCATTGACATTATGGGACCAGTTCCAATGTAATCATAATGCTTAAAATACTGCGATTTCATCTAGAACCAAGCTGCTGCTGATGGGCATTAGATACGGGTATGTAGATCTCATACCCAACCAACCAATCTATAACATCACTCTTACTTGCAACCTTACCTTATATAATCTGGATGGAGGCATCAGTTCACCCACATCATCCTGCAAGAAACTGCTCATCATATTTTGATTTCTTATTTAAGGATTACCCCAGGGACTCTCATCATGGAGAGCAATGAGTTGTCTTCTATAAGGGGATACTATGGCAGATTTAACTTTTTTTTTTTTTTTTTCATCTTCTTCTAAAAGACATAATCATATTTTAATCAACGTTAAAACAGAGCTTTGTATCGTTTCAATATTTCTTACTTTAGTTAGTACACTCTATCTGCCTACTGATGTAATGTCTTACATCTCACTGTTGCTTTTATCCTGCTGCATAATAGGTCTTAAAGGGAGACATAAGACCTGCGATAGAGACCCATGAAATGTTGTACCAGGTGATCAAAAAGCACAATTTTCTCCCAGAGGTAAGTGGCTGTGTTTCCATTTGTTTGAGTGGTTTTCCTACATGTTAGGTAAACATGTTAAGCTGTACATTGGCAATAAAAGTGCAATACAATAGATTATTTTTGTATCAAAGTGAAAAGGAGTATAGTCTGCATTCATAGGCACACTTTAAAGCGGCCTATGTATATTTTGCATACCACCCCAAATGTGAATGCTCCACTTGCTGTGGCCTGGAGGTGTAGCTGATGTTGCCATCTTCTTCCGAGATGTACTTTTGTACTCCTGATGCTTCATCTGCCAGAAGTTGATGTCTGTGATGTGCTGCGAGAAAAGAGTCTATGGAAGCTCCTGCAAGGCCGCGGGATCCTCAATATACAGAATCTTTTTACACTGATCTGTCACTAGTATGACAAAGCTTGATGTCGGTAGCTGGGCTTTTTTGACAAGCTTTGTCAAACATAGGAAAAATACTCTATCTTTTGATAGAGTTGAAATTTTTGTGAAATATCCAACACCGTTTTAATGAGCATTCCATGAATATTAAATCTTTATGAAATGCTTGATTGTTTGTGGGGGGAGGAGAGGGGACAGGGGGTCAGAGTCACTTTAGTGAAGGGTGAGCAACTTGTTCCATTACTGCTGCTAAGGACTACATTAGAGCATCTTATAAAGGTGTGTCAGGGGCTACATAATCGCAGACCAGTCAGAGTGCCCATGGTGGCCTCCTGTCCACCACTAAAAACACCTTCACTGGTGGTGTGAGTGTCAATGGATCACAGCATTTGAACAAGGTTGCCTGGTCTGATGAATTACTTTTTCTTTTAGATCAAGTGGATGGCAGGATAGCCGGCTCAGCTATGGGAAGGAGGTAGGGCAGCAGAAACAGTGCTATGCTCTGGGCAATGTTGGGAAACCTTGGGTCCTGGCATTCATTGTTGGTGGTACATGTTACTTTGATATATACCAACAACCTAGAGATTGTTGCAGACCATTTACACCCCTTCGGGCCAGCGGGGGGTGATCCCGGCCCACAAGTCGATCTCCGGGGACTCGGGGCAGAAGGTCCACACATGGCGGAGCCCTTTCCCACGTGGAGCTAAGATGGCCGCGGCACACTCAAGTCACGCGGGGTCGCCAGGGCCCACTGAGGTGACGGATCCCACAGACAGACCCCTCCGAGCGGTAGAATGGTCGGCGTGGAGCCGGTCCTAACCCCTGGATTTGCTGGTGGTCCAGGGAGACCTACACCCAACTCTGTGAGTCCTATGGCGTCGGGGTAGGCTGGGGGACAAACACTGGCGACATGCAAGAGGCCGGAGAAAGGTGAGGCCTACCGGGGCTGGAGCTCCAAGGGGGAACTGCAGGTGTTGGGGAGGTGCAGGGGACGGGGGGCCCGAGGACTTTTCGGGGAGGAGGGAGGGAGTCTACCGGACTACTGATGTCTCTGAGTGCCCACAGCACTGTAGGACCCTAGGACGGCCGGCCGGAGCAGGCTTGGAAGGGAACAGAGGGGATTGGTTGCACCGGGGGAGCTGGAGAGACCCTGCAATAAACGACCAGCTTGGCATAAAGATGCACCCTTGGCATAAGCCTGCATGAGGCCACGTAGAGGGAAGCCCGTTCAGATACCTTACAGGAGGCCATTAACCCCACGCTGGACATTTCTTCTCACCAGGCATTACAACACCATCTCCAGTGGAGAGACTCACATATTATTGTTTCACAGATCCAGATCAGGATATACCTTGTTGCTGCAATAATTATTTCTAATATCGACACTTAATTCATGGCATGCCTATTTCACAATTAACTAGACGCTGCTATAATGTTAAAGATATGATTTATCATTGCTTCGCGATGCCTGACTAATATACTATTTCTGCCATATATGTTTACCGCACCATACATTTAGGCGGTTATTTGAGCCTAACGAAGCCCTTCATGCTGAACATGGACAGTGCTTAGTATTAGCATTTGTTTGCTTCTATATTCTTTCACCAGTAGATTCTAAACATGTTATGCATTATTGGATTGTTTTTGCATATATCTATTTTTAATTCTGTTTAAAACTGAATGTGAGGTTAATGTCACAGTGCTTCAAAGGGCTAAAGTACACTGTCATAGATTGTTGCCTACTCAATAGATACAGACCGGATACATATCACGATAAACATTTTCACATGGGTACCCGACTGAATGGACGCAATGCCTACTGATACGAGGACTCTTAATCACGCCCAGATTACATAAGGCCGCGCTCACACCGCATGCTAGGCACACTAGGAATACCTACGTGAACTTAACATAAGACATAGGCACATGGCCACACAGGCTGAACTAAACCTTATTTTTTCCTGAGAATATGTAGCTTGACCCATGATATACACGTGCGCTTGTGTGTAATACTCGCATCGATTTCATGTATATACATTGACAAACCAGCCCAGGCATACACAGCACTTTTAAATGTAATTAACCTGAATTATACATTTTGTCAGGCATAGCTGTACACACGCGACAATAACACCAGTGCACGGCACTATGATGCCCAATCAACGCCTTTGACATATCTAACTTTGTGAAGCCCGTGCAAACTTGATTACGATCATTGCGTGATCACTCCGACTGTTATGCCTCTGCACAGGCAACCATATGTTACTTTGATCAATCTGTCCGATGTTAGCCCTCAAGTTATTTACTCAATAAGCACGCTGTGTAGGCGATTATTTGCTTCAACGATTATATGTTTGATATCCGCGTTTATCTTGAGATGACAATAAAAATATTTAAAACAAAGATGGGAAGAAAGAAAAACAAACTTCAAAAACCATTTAACAGCCGTCGTTTATATTGATTATAAGGACTCTCTTACAGGGTTATTCACTAAACTGAGAATTCAAAGTAAATTTCAAATTTAATGTCAAATTCTAACTTTAGTAAATAACCCCTGATAATGTCCAGGCAGCAGTAAAGGAAAATAATTGTTTATTATTTTATTTTATTTTCATGTGTAGCAGTTTTGTGTGCATCAGTCATCTTCTGATTCTTGTTTTTTATTTTGTTTTTGTTTTTTTTTTAAATCTGGATTTTTGGTTTTTCTTTCAAGGCTTTTACAACAGATTTCAGAGTACACTGGGCTCAGCATCCATTAAGACCAGAATTTGCAGAAAGTACATATTTCTTGTATAAAGTAAGAAACCACCTTGTTTCTATTCCTTCGTTATTTAATAGAATGTCTTGAGTATAAAACTACCTTAAAGGAAACATAACTTTAATAATTAACTTTTGTGAAATGTTGCTCTTTGTCACAATGGTATTGGTACTATGATAATCCTTTTCTGTTCATTAATGTTACTTGTACACATGGCCCTTAGAGGTCTTGTATCACATCTTAGGGGATGTTTAATAAACCATTTTAATGTTAGATACAATTGAATTTCATTGTGCATGGACAACTAGTGTTCTCTATACATTTGTTTTTACCTATATTGAAACATTTACATCTGCCTATCTACATATTGCATTTGTGTTTTATATATCTGACAATCTGCCAAACATTTTATTCTTGCACAGGCTACAGGTGATCCCTACTATCTGGAGGTTGGAAAAACCCTCATTGACAATCTGAATAAATATGCACGAGTGCCGTGTGGCTTTGCCGCAGTTAAAGATGTGCGCACAGGAAGCCACGAGGATAGGTTTGTCTTTTTTGATTCCATGCTGTATTCCTGGCACTATAGCTCAATCTGCCTCACCCCACCCTCCCTGGTAAATAAAGGGTTAAAAACCCTTTACTGACCTGATCCGCCCTCTCCAAAGTTTCTCGATGAGTAGGTGCTAATGCGCATGTGCGGCAAATGCCGCGCATTTATTAGATCTTGCCATTGGAAAGCATTGAATCAATAGGAATTCATGATTTCCTATGGGGGAAAAACTCTGACGCTGGGTGTCCTCATGCAAAGCGTGAGGACGTCCAGCGTCAGATACCGGACCAAAGGTCCGTTTTAATCCAGGAAGCACTCTAGTGGATTCCTTTTTTGAGAACAGTTACTGTATCAGGCACTAATAACGCTTGTGTCATACCAATTCTCTTGTTCTACAAGCACTTAATTTGCTGTTTTCTTCTTATCCTTTGCAGTTAGTAGGATGTTAATACATTTTGACAGTAATTAAACCATTTTCTTACTGACAACTTTAATTTACGAGGTGGGAAAAAACCCCCCCACAGAATAAAATCATTTTTATATGTGTGTACATTGATCTGAGATTTCCAAGCTTATTGAACATTTTCATTTTTTTTTTTTATTTTGTTTAAAGGATGGATTCCTTCTTCCTGGCTGAAATGTTTAAATATCTGTACTTGTTGTTTTCGGAGCGAGAAGACCTTATCTTTGATATAGAGGATTATATTTTTACTACAGAAGCCCACCTCTTACCCCTCTGGCTTTCTACGGCGAATCAAACCAAGCCTAAGAAAAACACGGTGTGTATTTGTTATCATAGTTCTAATAGTTGGTGCCAAACTTATGATTAATTATGTAATATTTTTAATGCTTTTCACATATCCACTTCCCTTTCTGTCTGTCACCTTTTAGCAATGATATATTTGTTTTCTCTCTTAAACCAGCCTGTCATTCATCCAAATTCCAAATAGGACACATGAATGTATGGCATTATGCCCAAGCATCCAAGTCCTTAAAGAAGAAGACACCTAATCATGCTATATTAACCTACAACATTATGCCATAAGATATCCTTTTGCTCTTAAAGGGACTCTCCAGTGCCAGGAAAACAATCCATTTTCCTGGCACTGCAGTTCCCCTCTTCCTCCCACCACCCATTCCCGGTTGCTGAAGGGGTGAAAACCCATTTAGTTACTTACCGGAGACCCCCACCGATTTCCCTCAGCGGTGGTTTCTGCTCGCCGCCGCTCCTCCTCTTCCTTACGTCAGCCGAGACTGATCCCGCACGCAGGCTGAGGAGACCTAATGCGCATGCGCGGCAATGTTTTCAATGCTTTCCTATGGGGAATTGAGCGACGCTGGAGATCCTCACACAGTGTGAGGACGTCCAGCAACGCTCTAGCACAGAAAACCTGTACTATAGACACGGAAGTGCCCTCTAGTGGCTTTCCAGTAGACAGCCACTAGAGGAGGAGTTAACCCTGCAAGGTAATTATTGCAGTTTATAAAAAAACTAATTACACTTGCAGGGTTAAAGGGTAGTGGGAGTTGGCACCCAGACCACTCCAATGGGCAGAAGTGGTCTGGGTGCCTACAGTGTCCCTTTAAGGCGCCAAAATTTCCTTAAAAAGAGTCCAAAATGAGTATCAAGTATAACTTACATTCAGATTTCATATCTAATAATCTCCTTGTACAGCTCAATGCTGCCTTCCCTACTAATTATAGCATATTTGTTGACATTTACCGATATGTGTATAAAGATTTGCCTTGCATTGAGAGAAGTGACAGAAGAGGTTTCGCCCCTCCCCAATAGGTGAAGCAATGCATATTAAAATGTATTGTATTTTGTATACATACAAAATGTTTGAGGATTTGTTTCAAGACAATTTCAGGTTTGTAATAAAAATAATTCACATTCTGCTTTACAAAATCTCCAAAATATGTAGAGTAAAAAGATGTATACGAAAATTGCTTTTGCCATCGGAGATATAAGCCATGACATGTCAGGGCTGATTGATGCTGTCTAAGCTGGCTTTACATTCTTGAGCCTGCTCTTTCTCACGAACACTGTTTATCGATATGAAGTGTTACTCTATGCATCAAATCTGAGGTTTGCAAGGCTATGGAAGCATCTGTACTCCTAGTGACTCCTGCATAGCAATTATATTAAGCTCTTGTGAGTTTCTTTCTTGGAAATCTATTATTCACAGTAAGCTCACTGCCCTGTATTAGGGATACTACGATCTTTAATGACATTGAGAAATATGCCATTCTCCACTCAACACCAACACATGCTGGTCTTTCCAGTTCTGATACCTTCTGGGTTAGTCTACTTCCTCCTCCCTTTGGTAAATAGCCGTTGACCGTACAAACTATAAATTATGTAAATTTAATGACTACTTTATATCATTGGTTTTGCTTCCTTGTAGCACTCTAAGGCTATTCATTGTCTTACTCTGCTGCACTGTTTATCTTAAAGGAAAACATTACTTTTATTTTGTAAAATAATATATTAGATGTATTCTCGCCCCTGTGTGTATATCTTTGTATTGTTTCTTTTTAATTATATCTCCTCACGTAGCCTTGCTCTATGGATCCAGGTATCCAAAATCTTCTTTGGTCAGAAACTCTGATTATCTGACTTAAAATTAAGATAATTCAGAATTTGATCTTTCACAAATCCTTACATCCCCCATAAGCACTGGGTATCTCAACATGCACGCTTTGACTTGATCAGACATTCCAATTATTCATAGCATTAGTATATAAATGGTGCTTCTGTCCTTAGTGGTAGCTGACCCATGTTACGAGGTAGTGCACAGGAGACGCACTGCAAAGAGTTAACATCTGTGTCCAGTGTAAAATAACACAAAATAATGCAATCTTCCGTGTGTTTGGGGTCCAAGGTGTTATCAGTACGAATTTAAAAAAAAAATAAAAAAAATATGACTTTCCATTAATTGAGAGACCGGTTCTCGCAGCAATCCAGTGATGGCTAAGACAAAGAAACACTGTAGTCACAAGACCACTTCATCTCAATGTTCTGTTATTTTAATCCTGAAATGTTAAACCATTGCAGTTTTTCAGTTACTGCGCCGTATACCATACTTACACCATAGGGTTAAATCCTCTTCCAGGTAAAGTAAAATTTTTATCTGGAAAGCAAATGCTGCTGATAGCCAGAAGGAAGTGGAAAGATTTTATTTTGCAAAAAGAATAGTTCTGTTCAAAGTAAAGTCTGCATCATGGTAATTTGATACTATTTCACGTGTCTGCAGTGCCAAGTGAAAAGATTTACCATGTATATTAAAGGGAAACTATATAGCTTCCCCCTGTGCCCTCCCCCCCCTTCTCTCGCTTACCTGGGTCCAATGCTAATGCCATTTGGCCCTGGCTCTGCTCCTCCCTGCCGACATCAGCCGGCATGGGAGACCTAATGCCCATGCGTGGCAATGGCCATGTTTGCAATAGGATTTCCCCATAGGAAAGCATTATTCAGTGCTTTCATATGGGGATTCCGGTGACGCTGAAAGTCCTCATGCAAAGTCGCCTTAGTGCCCGGAAGTCCCTCTGGTGGCTATCTGGTAGACAGCTACTACAGGAGGAGTTAACCCTAGCAGGTAATTATTGCTGTTTATAAAACCTGCAATCGTTACATGCTCAGGGTTAAGGGTGATAGAACATTGCATTAAGACCACTTCAATGAGCTGAAGTGGCCTGGGTGCCTACAGTGTCCCTTTAATTGTGTAGCACAGCTTTTCATAGTTGTCTTGTTTTAGGAATATGTGTGTGTTGACCATGCATTGTTTTTCCAAATAATGTAAATGATGGAATGTAAGGAAGATTTAGGATCTTTAGTTCTCAGGGATTGCTTGTAATAAATGTATGCTTTGTATGCTTACTCCAACTTTTCCACATCGGATGACTGCATGTAAAAATATTTATTTCTTATGGTATATGTGTATTAAAAAGATTCAATTTATTTCAACATAATAATGAAATTCTTGCAACTACCGTTACCCTTTTAACATTGTCTCTGCAGACAACTCAGTACACAGAGTTGGATGATAGCAACTTTGATTGGTCGTGCCCAAATACGCAGATTCTTTTTCGAAATGACCCAATGTATGCACAGAGCATTCGCGAACCCTTAAAAAATGTGGTTGATAAGACTTGCCCACGAAGTTCATCAAGAGTGTAAGTGACCAAGTTTTAAATACATTTTATATGTGTGAAAAATATTTAGATTTTATTCTGTGTACAATTTGCAGAACAAATTTTTAGGGTTTTTTGGGGCTATAAAGCGGTGACACTACCTACCAATTTGTGGATTTTTTTTTTTCCTTACACAAATTGTGAACTTTTTTCTTTTGTATTGGGTGGGGATTTATGAGCTATTTTTTTTTATTTTTTTTTTATTTATTTATTTTTTTGTCCGGTAAAAAAGGCCAGCCAGGATTTTGGATATATGCACAACAAGCATGTCAAACTTGCGGCCCACAATGGATATATTTGCGGCCCACCTGCCTTGGGGCCACTTTGTGTTGTGGCTGCTACCAGCTGCAAAACCGGAAAGATATTTCCTGTCTGATTCTTGTCTTTTCTCCCACGGCCATGCTCTCGAAGGCCAGCCACTACCCTTCCCTCCTGCTTACAGTGCCAGAGGAACATCTGGCCTGCTTGAGCAGATCTCATCTTAAGGTAGGGGAAGAGGGACTTGGAGGACTGCATGGAGGCACTGAACACTCCCCATGGAGATGCTGATTGGCCGCGCAGCTTTTTGCCACACATGCACAATAGCCTCCCAATGCTTTCCTATGGAAAAGCATTGGATTGGCTGATATCTTCAAGTTTGATCTCAGCCAAAGTGGAGAACACAGTCCTAGGACTTCAAAATCAAAAAGATAACTCAATTTGTTTTTTACAGCTATGCAACAGCATACATTCACCATTTTTTAGTCTTATTACCAAACTTTTCTTTATATGTCAAGGTAGTTGGACTGAAACATTGGTTATATGCAAATGCGCGTCTTATATGCAAATTTGCTCTTTTGTTTACTTTGAAGCCCTACGAGTATGAGGACGTCCAGTGTCAGGCAGCATTTTTATACTGTACTTTTCTAAATAAACCTGCGTTTCTATGAAAACTGAACTTTTAGTTTTTTTGCGGCCCACATCAGCTTAAACCTTGTTTATTTAGACCGTGTTTGTCTTTGAGTTTGACATATTTGATGTACAAGAACAATATCATTACGACGTCACTTGATATAATACATGCATCTAATTAAAAATATTATTTGTTTTTTTGGAAGGGATGAGACCTCTGGGGGTGGGAACAGGCCGCCACTTCGTGCCAGAGATTTTATGGCAAGTAATCCAGAACATTTGGACATCCTGAAGAAAATGGGAGTGAGTCTCATTCACCTTAAAGATGGACGGGTCCAGCTGGTTCAACATGCCAACCAGGTAAGAGAACTCCTCTGTCTACAGGACTATGCTTTAATCTTGGTAATGTGTCCTTACATTTAAGGTGAGGATATCCTTTGCGTAATATTAACACAAAATCACCTTTCAGGTTTTGTTTGTTTGTTTTTTTTATTTAAAAATTAGTTGATCCTCATGTGCAAATATCTGCTTGCTCGTGCATCTTATTCCCAATTAAATAGACTGTAGCTTCTTTGGACTTGTCACCAGTGGGGTACCTCAGGGATCTGTACTTGGACCCATTCTCTTTAATATTTTTATTAGTGATATTGCAGAAGGTCTTGATGGTAAGGTATGTCTTTTTGCTGATGATACTAAGATATGTAACAGGGTTGATGTTCCAGGAGGGATAAGCCAAATGACAAATGATTTAGGTAAAGTAGAAAAATGGTCAGAATTGTGGCAACTGACATTTAATGTGGATAAGTGCAAGATAATGCATCTTGGACGTAAAAACCCAAGGGCAGAGTACAGAATATTTGATAGAGTCCTAACCTCAACATATGAGGAAAGGGATTTAGGGGTGATTATTTCTGATGACTTAAAGGTAGGCAGACAATGTAATAGAGCAGCAGGAAATGCTAGCAGAATGCTTGGTTGTATAGGGAGAGGTATTAGCAGTAGAAAGAGGGAAGTGCTCATGCCATTGTACAGAACACTGGTGAGACCTCACTTGGAGTATTGTACACAGTACTGGAGACCGTATCTTCAGAAGGATATTGATACCTTAGAGAGGGTTCAGAGAAGGGCTACTAAACTGGTTCATGGATTGCGGGATAAAACTTACCAGGAAAGGTTAAAGGATCTTAACATGTATAGCTTGGAGGAAAGACGAGACAGGGGGGATATGATAGAAACATTTAAATATATAAAGGGAATCAACACAGTAAAGGAGGAGACTATATTTAAAAGAAGAAAAACTACCACAACAAGAGGACATAGTCTTAAATTAGAGGGACAAAGGTTTAAAAATAATATCAGGAAGTATTACTTTACTGAGAGGGTAGTGGATGCATGGAATAGCCTTCCAGCTGAAGTGGTAGAGGTTAACACAGTAAAGGAGTTTAAGCATGCGTGGGATAGGCATAAGGCTATCCTAACTATAAGATAGGGCTAGGGACTAATGAAAGTATTTAGAAAATTGGGCAGACTAGATGGGCCGAATGGTTCTTATCTGCTGTCACATTCTATGTTTCTATGTTTAGTTATAAATTTTATGTGCCTGCTGTTTCTGAAAACCAAAATGAAAAGGACAATATTATGAACCCCAGTAATATGTGTACACCACTGCTTGCGTGACTTGTTGCAGTTTTAGGAATGGAGAGGAACTTGTGTGAAATGCTGGAGGCAAATTTGCTTGACTGAAGCTATAAAAAAGCACTTTGAAATGTTCTGCAGGCTGCAAGTTCTGTGGATGCAGAGGACGGTTTGCGTTTTATGCAGGAAATGATTGAATTGTCCAGCCAGCAACAGAAAGAGCAACAACTGCCTCCACGTGCTGTCCAAATAGTTTCCCACCCATTTTACGGAAGAGTGGTATTGACTGCTGGGCCTGCCCAGTTTGGAATGGACCTTTCCAAGAATGTAGCAGGGGTATGTTGGCTTAATGACATGAAACATTTTATACCTTTTTATCTATGTAATTTCTTTACTAAACCAAATAGTGACGTGGTATTTAAAAGGTTTTGGCCAGTTAAACAGACACATGCTCAAATGCTGCAGCTTTTCCAGCTGTACTATTTGGGCTTGGCTTTGCAGTTCCATTGTCTGTTCTTAGCAATTCCTGGTTTAGTAAATGAATCCTTTAAGGTTTTTGTAACATATATCTTAGTGTAGTGATGATATTGTTGGCTATTTTCTTCTTCTGACCCTATAGGACAAAAACTGCCTATAATGTTTTAAAATCAGAGTTAATAACTTTCTACTTCCTGGGCATAGTGACCCTCAGCAGCTGCATCATGATGTTTAAAGTCTAGTTTACTCTTCTTTGCAGAGTGGAACAACTCCTTTATTAGGATTCGAATTGGTTGTTGAGATCACATGCTCAGATCTTGGGGACTGTAGCAAAAAGGCTAGTGTGATTAAAATAAACAGCTTTTGGCAACAAATAGGTGAATAATAATGGCCGTGCATTGCATAGGTTGCAGTGTCTGGGTGATGGAATACAAATTGTCCCAAATAAAGCTTTCAGTTGCCTGTTTCATTGTTGTAAGTGTCCTACTGCTGGACCAGGAGTAAATGCATACCGTTTCTGAAGACACACTGATAAGGTTAGTTATGAAAATGAATTTCAAATTTAAGGCCAAAGTGAATGAACTTGAACCATAGCTAACTTGGAGAATTTTTCCAGTTTGGCCTTAAGTTTGAATTTTACTTTGAATGACCCATTTTCATTAATAACCTTGTGAGTGTGTCTTCAGCAACTGTATATATACCCAAGCTTTAAATTCACATGAATTTCTGACCATTCTCCCTTTAGTAAATAACCCTGCAGTGCTTTATGGGAGTCTGGCATGTGATCTCTCGTCCCTTTCACATGGTAACCTCATTCTCCATGCACAATAAACCTGCAGGAGAACCAATGAGAGCTGGACAAACAGAGCAACATGATAGAAATGGCAGCTATGAAAGGTACATGGAATGGAGAAAATTAAATGGGAGATAAAATCCGAGAGAAGGAGATGTCAGAATAGGAAAGTGTGAAGGAGATGGAATGGAGGGGTAGGATATAAATGGGAATTCAAGAGATGGAATGCGTAGTAGAGCAGGAAAATTAAGATCAAACGGGCAGATGAGGTTGAAAGAGAAAATTAATGCGAAGTAGACCTGTTATGCCAGTATGATCCTTGGTTTAATAATTAACTTTTCTTTTTTTTTTTTGGTCTGTAATCTAATGCTTAGATTCTTAAGCAGTATTGCCATGTATTCCAGTACAGGTGTATGAGCAAGGGGAAAAAGACATAGATGTGTTGCTTTTCATATTTCCAACAGGCTAGAGGCTTTGTAGCCAGGACTGAGCCATACAGCGGCTGCTCTGACGTTACAAATGCTGAATCGATAAAGGGGAAAATAGCACTCATGCAAAGGGGTCAGTGTATGTTTGCTGAGAAGGCCCGCAATGTCCAGAAATCCGGGGCTATTGGAGGAATTGTCATTGGTAAGTTGTGTTGTAACGCTGCTTATGTAGTCATCTTACTTTATTTAAATTTGTAATGATTTGACCTCTTGGGTACTTGACTCTGGAGCATTCTTGTTAGATGGACCATTTTCAGATTACTATACCATAAGGATTAACTATCTCACTAGAACTCAGTGACTTCCGTTTCAGACTTTAGATCCCTTATTTTTAAATGAATTGAAAGAACGATGAAGGAAATAAATCATGACCTTTACTGTGCTTTGGCAAATAAAATTGTACCTGTAGCACGTTCTAAATTTACTTTATATGTAACGGTTGTAGCCTTTACATTCAGAGTGCTTTTCTATTAGACACCAACCCTGCGAGTTGCATGTTTGTGCCTAGACTAGAGCGAGCATAATTTCAAAAAGCCCTGAGTCTGCTTCATTATCCAGCGACTTACTACTTCCTTTAACAGTCAATAGTTAATTATGTACGTGGATAATGTTTAAATACTTGGAGCATTGAGTGACAAAGTAAAACAACAAACTCTTCCCCCCTCCTTTTTCCCCACAAGGCTCAACTGTAAACCCCAAGTAACGAAATATTAACCTAATAATTAATCAAATATTAATATGTTGTTTTTTTTTAATCATTATATCACTCCTACAAGCTTGATCTATCTGTCTAAATACCTTAAGGCTTTTTTACAGCTTTTTTAGGGGAGGTAAAAAATCAAATTGTCTTTTTTATTGTCACCTGCAATTTGTATTGTAAAGACCATTGGCATAAATTAACAACAGAGCCTAGCAAATACTGGCCCTGTGCAGACCATGCTAGAAACCAAGGATGTATTATACCTACAGTGTGTTTCTTGGCCTGTTGTTAATGCGAATAGACTTGTGTGTGTATTCATGTACATGTATGTATATGTGTGTGGGTTTACCACACAGTAGGCAGGACACACGGCAAGTGCAGTAATTACACAGTGTATGTACATAGTTAATTTATATAGTAAAAAAACAACAGGTGTAGTAAAGGTGTAACTTAAAGGTACACTAAAGCATTGTTAATACAGGTTTGTATTCCTAACACTTTAGCTTCCCTGTCCCCCTCCATGTGTATATTAAAAATAATAAAATAAAGGTTTTTACTTTCCTTTTTCCAGTCCCGAGGCTTCCTCTGTGCTGCTTACCTATCCCACTCCCATGAGGTCATTGAAGAGCTTCTCATGGAGTGGTTTAATCCAATGCTCCTAATAGAGGTGCACTGGGGACCTGATGTACATGCGCGGTGAGTGCCATGCACGAATCCAAACTTCCCAATAGAAAAGCATTGATTCAGTGCTTTCCTGTGGGGGCTTTCACATCATGTGACTGCGTTTTACTAGAAGATGATTTAACCCTGCAATGTAAGCGTTTCAGTTTCTAAATAATAAAAACGGTGCTTTGCATTGCAGGGTTAAAATAACAGGACCTCTGCACCCAGGCCTCTTTACTGAGATGAAGTGGTGTGGGTGTCTGAGTGGTTTTTTTAACAGATTACATTGCAATAGAGGGAGGTGCAGTGTTTATGTACTTGTATAGCACTAACAGGTGTATTTCGCACTTAACCAGATACATTAAAGTAGAGGAGAAGTGGTGTAAATTCAGTAGTTATACAGTGTATGTGTGTTTACATAGCACCTACAGGTATATTTAGCTAACGACAGTAAATGCAGTATATTTTATATGACCAGTGCTATATGAATGACTTCTCACTTTGCATGTTACATTGCAGTAGATGGAGGTGCATTAAGGGCAGTGTTTATTTTATTTATATAGCACTAACAGGTTTACTGAGCACTTCATAAGAAATAGACAAAATGGTAACGAGTTCCATACTTGAGCAAATATTACAATAGAGGGATATCTTGCCACTAGTAAATGCCTGGAAAGATGAAGAGTATTCTAATGTGTGAAAAGAATATACCTTGTAGTGTTTATTTAAATGTGTGAATAGGGTCTATTTTTCTTCTCTTTATAGATGATAATGATGGCAGCAGCAGTGACACAGCCCCCCTTTTCCAAATGGCTGGAGATGGGAAGAATACAGATGACATTACAATTCCTATGTTGTTTCTGTTCAGCAAGGAGGGGAATATTATTCTAGATGCCATCCAAGAGTACCAGGAAGTGGAGGTTCTCCTGTCGGATAAAGCCAAAGACAGAGGTGAGCAGTATTTGATTAATGAAGGGATGGTCAAAGTGACATGACGCAGAGGGCGGGGGTGGGGGTCAAGGGGTAGTTCTGTAATAACTGAAAGGTTTCCTTTTGGGCATTCCTGTTAGTTGTGGCCTTTGTTCTTCCACTACTTGCCCAAAAATGGTTCTATAAAATTTACTTAAAAGGTTACTCCAAGCACTGTGATCACTTCAGTGTTTTGAAGTGGTCATGGTGCAAGGATCCAGTTTGTACAACTTTTCACTATGAAGCGCTGCAAATACAGAGATCTTAAAGCGATCTGCCAAAGCGTGTTACTTCACCTCCAGCAGCGTGATTAGCCAGCCCATAACGAGCGTGTATAGAATGTACAGATCTGAAAATCACAAATAGGAGGTGCACCTCATAAGGTCTTTTAAGGACTAGATAATGATATTTAGAACATTCCCACAATTCCTTAAAGGAAAATTTCAACCACCATAACCACTACATACACAATTATTTGTCAAAATATAAGTTGGTAAAACCAAAAAGCAGCCTTACATGTTTGTTGGCTCAGACTCTTTTGGGGATCAGTAACGTACCAAATGATAGTTACAGTGCTGGGATAGATTGCCATGTGTCTTAAAAATGTGCAAGGGCATTGCCACTAATGCTCCCTACACCAACCATGCGCGACTTGGTTCTGGTGGTTAAAGGGTTAAACTTCACTCTTTGTCTGAAATAATTATAGAAATCCCCCTTAGCAGCACCCACACTTAATTATAATATAAACATTAATATTTTATAACACTGTCGCCACGAAGACAATTTTATAAATGGGGGGGCAAAATCCAATTTAGCACAATATTTATGTGATTTCGAATGACCAATAAATTGTTCTAAGACAAAGGCAGAACTTAATCAAGGAATATTTATTATGAGCAAATTATTCGCACCACCGCCAACAGATAATCATAAAAAGTAGAAATTAACAATGTCCTTAGCATTTTAAAAATAACGATGTCTTCTGCCCCACACCATTGAATCTATACCTCCTGTATTCATCGCAAGTTTCCAAGCTGCCCCAGAGGTGGAGCAAAGGCATGCCTTTAGGAAGTATAACTAACCACCCTTTGTGTTTCACACCATAACCAATCCAAACCCACTTTTGATTTTATTTTAACCTTTGTGCTGGTCACAGAAATAATTATTGTATCTATAAATTCGTTATAATTTTTCAGTTCAATACGTATGTCACATTTCCTACTTATGACCTAATACCTTGGACTTCACAGTTTCTTCAAAACGGCTTAAGCTGCGCTAGCCATTTTCATACTCTTTTTGTAGGGTGTGCTTTCCCCCTTCTGAGTATGCACTATATTTATTGTAGCTATTAGTCTGTGGGTTATTATTAATGTTTCTTAATGACTTGGAGGCGGCTCATGTGTAACATTTCACACTTTGCAAAAGAACTCTGGTTGAAGTCACCGCTTAAAAAGAGGAATTCATGTTGTAAACCTTCTCACATCTATCACATTCTTATACAATGAAATGAACTCCTCTCATGCTGAAATAGCAGATTCATGTAGGCACTACACAAATGACTGGCATTTTATTAATATTTTTAAGGGCTACGTAAAATCTTGTTTTAAAAGAAAAAACAGACTGACATTTTCAGTGGCTCTTTAATTTATGAAATCGGTGGCAGTTTTATACCAATACAAAACTGAGCGCATCAGTGGTATTACAATATTACAAAAAGGTAGTTTGGGGACCTTATGTGCACACTTATTTTCTTTTTTTTTTGTTGCCAAATGTTTTGAACTCCCTCTCCTCCCCTGCTTCCCCTCCCTTACGTTCAGCGGATGATGATTCCTGGTGTTTGTGGTAGTCTAGTTGGGACTAGATAACTTATTACCCCATGTTCATTATGTATCTCTCTTTTCTCAAAATGTTCCTCTGTAATTTAATTATCACACTATCATCTAATATAAATAACCTAATATGTCTTTATTGTGGTACAGTGTACAGTGCAATAATTGTATATTTTCACCATGTATTTTTTTTTTTTGTCTTATTTGTGCCAATCCTGGATTTTCAGCGACCATTTTTAAAGGTAAAATAGTACCAAACTACATTATTGATAGCAGTAAGTATTTGTTTACACATGGCAGAGTGACAACGTAAATGAGAATGATGGCCCTAAATTAGCAGTTTCAATGTCTAACCACTTTTTTTTTTTTTTTTCCTCTCTCTTCCTCTCAATTCAAGGACAGACTATTTAACTGCTATCCATAAAACATAAGTACTCCTTGTTCTGCAACTTACCACAACCCCAGCCTTGATTCCATTCAATCGGGTGAAAATGGTTGATAAATATCACATTTCGATTAGATTTAATGCCAGCTGAAATTCTAGTAGCCAAACCAGATAAATCGGCTGGCTGAGCGATATTGTCTAGTAAATGTGTTTCGGCAGCACATTTATCAAGCTTTAAAAAAAAAAAAAAAAAAAAATTTTTGTGTGCTAGCGATGAAATCGTAAAAAAGTGGGGAAAAAGGCATATAATTTTTTTTTCCCCACACAGTTTTTTGATATTGGTATGTTAAAGGCCATTTATGAGGATTATCTTTGATAAATGGCATGTATCATCAAATCTGATCATTTCAATATTAATATTGATTTTTGATCTTTTTCCAAACTCTGTATTATTCAAAGCGATATTTCTCAGTTGCAGATAAGCCTTTAGGGGCCGGATTTAAAGGGACACTATAGTCTCCAAAACAGCTTTATCTTAATGAAGCAGTTTTGGTGTATAGATTATGCCCCTGCAGTCTCACTATTCAATTCAGTTTGTTTATGCATTCCTAGTCACACCTCCCTACTTGCGACTTGCACAGCCCTTCTCTAAACCAGGGGTAGTCAACCTGGTCTTTACTGCCTACTAGTGGGCGGTTTGAGATTTTAGGTGGGCAGTGGTGGGTTCTACAGAAAATGCCCAGTGGGCCTTGATGGCCACAGACCAAGGCCGGCAAGGGAGATCCTTTCATCTCCCCTGCCGGCCCATGCAGAGCCAGTCTTGCTGTAAGCGCTCCCTACTTAGTTCCAGCATAGGGAGGGAAGGGCCTTGGATGCTCTGTGTTCCTCCCGTGCGTTACTATGGCAACGCTCTAATACAGTGCTGTGCTCTCAGGAGGACAGGAGAGTCACCCTGCAGCCGGAGGAGCTGCAGGCTAAAGTGAAGATTCCACCACTGGACCACCAGGGCTTGCAGCATAATGTCCCCCCTCCCTGGTAAAAGGTAAGAAGAAGGGAGGGGGAGACATTAAGATAGATTTTCACATATTACTCACACACAAACACACACACACACAGACTACCCCCTCACGAACACTGCCCACTCACACACACAGACTGCCCTACGACACGCACTACATCCCTCACACACACACTACACCCCTTACACAGGCACTGCCCTCTCACACACGCACAGCATCCTTCACACACGCACAGCAACCTTCACACAGCACCTTTCACCCAAATAGAGCACACTGCCTCCTCACACACATTGCACCTCACTCACACACTACACCATTCACACACAAACACGCACAGAGCCCTTCACACACACAGCACCTCACAGACAAAGAGTAGAATAGAAAATAGAAAAAAAATATACATTTAAGTACATTTTACATTTTAAAAAAAAAATAACCTCCTTTGTAAAAAATGTTAGAATAAATTTAATTTTTCCTTTAAAATTAGTTACTGCAGCACTGTTGGGCGGTAAGGACATTTTACCATTAAAACAGATACAGAAGTGGCCGGTAGGCATTAAAAGGTTGACTACCCCTGCTCTAAACACTCTAAAAACTTCTAAAGTGTGTTACCATCTGATTTAAAATGAAACCATGTATTTCATGCAGGCTGTGAGAGTCCCAGCCAGGGGAAGTGTGGCTACAGCTGTATGGACAGAAACAAACGTGATTTGACTCCTAAATGACGGAGAATTGTGTAGTGACACTGCAAGGGTATGCTCTATACACCAAAACTGCTTTATAAAAATAGTTGCTTTGGTGACTATAGTGTTCCTATAAATAGATTGTAGCTGATAAAATGCTTATTTAATAAACTGCTGATATTATGTAGGCCCCAATTGACTATATATTGAGCTTTTTATAGTAAACAGTCACATGACTGCATTATGACATAGCCTGAAGTTTGGATTTATGGCTACTGTCCTCAACCTTGAGTGACCAGCAAATTTTTTAGGGAATGCGAAACATTCTTTGTCAATGGTATTTGTTAGGGTAAAGGAAAAGTGTTGCATAAAACATGGTCAAAAGGTTGTTTTGGCTTGTTTAAACTCTACATTAAAGAGCCACTAAATGTTTTTAATCATGGCCTTTTATTGAAACCAGTGTTTAAACGTAGTGGAATCCAGAGTGGGAATAAAACAGTATATACTTTCAGTGATGCCAGCCATTTTGTCATGTTCAGGGTGCCATCATATATTAGTCTAGGTGTAGGCAACCTTTGGCACAATTTCTATATGGAACCTGTAGATGGGATCATAACCAACAGTGACAGAAATTCATATTATGGTTTCACTGACAGCTGATTGGCTGGAGCATGTACTGATGATGTCAGCCCCTTCATCATCTGTTAGGTGGCAGGTAGTATAAAACGACAAAAAACAAAACAAAAAAAAATTCTACACTATAACAAGTTGCTCTGTTTTTGGTTTTCACTTATTATTAGAGTAAAAAAAGTCTCGTTGGGGATGGCGTTATGTAACTTTTTATCTTTATTATTCAGCACACAAAATATAGTTGTTGTTATTTTTTTTTTCTGTTTGTAGGACAAAACATATTTTAAATTGCAAAAAATTGAAAAGGAACCGCACTCAATTCACTAAAGACAGGGTGCTTAGCTGGACCAAAGGCCAGCACAAGCCAAGAAGATAATAAATAACCAGTATTCGAAAAAAGGGGGCCAGGCACCCCAATGGCTTCAGACACCTTTATTAGAACAAGTGGGAACAGTGCAACGTTTCAACTCCCAATGGAGTCTTTGTCAAGCTTAACAAAGACTCCACTGGGAGTCAAAACGTTGCACTTTTCCACTTGTAATAAAGGTGCCTGAAGACATTGGAGTACTTGGACCTTTTTTTTTCTTGGCTTTTACTTGCCCAATTTCCATGGTAATGCTGTGTGACTTTTGGGGTTACTTTATCTTATGATGATCTCTTCCTGGTGGTGATGTGACAGTGTTTAAAATTCCCAAATAAGAGGAATTGTCCTTTTTGTAGGTTTAACCTGATTCCTCGATATGCTGTTTAAAGTGTTTACTGGAGTGAGATGTGCAGTAGAGATATAAGTACAAACAAACCACTTCTGCATTTCTTGTGAATAGCGCCGAAGGCTTGCCACATGGCATGGACAGCCTGTCTCTCTTGTTCATGTGCGCACTCACTCTATGCATTACATCACAGGAAGATTTGTCTGTGTCACATGTCAGACTGTGCCCTACATATTTATTTTTTTTTAAATCATTTTCCTTCTTTTGGCTATTAAAGTGTGCCATTTCCTCCAAATTCACAGCTCCTAAAGAGTCTCCATACTTTTTCTAAGCCTTTACTTAGAAGTGGCTCACCATGTTATGCATAGAGATAGAAGTCCCTTACATGTAGGATTCAGTCATAGGTTCTCATAATCATGCTTTTTGTACAGTACATATTTTGCCAACGTAAGCTCAGTTTACATACAGCAAGAAAAAAGTAGTAGGGCATAATCATGAGAAGCAAAATTTTATATATTTTCCAAAATAGCTTGAAAACAGGACACATTTGTGAAAAAGTGTTATAATGTATCACCAGCTGTAGTATCCCAAAATTGCAGCCACAAAAATAAACTTGAAATGTGCAGCTTCAAGTGCAAAAGAAAAAGCAATTGTCACTTGGCTTTCTTTTTTTTTTTTTTTTTATAATTTATTTATTTCATTTTTCTTATATAGACATACAGGACATTAGCATCATCCATACTAATATAAAAAACATAAAAATGTAAACATTTAACACTGATTGGATAAGACATATGATATTACATTTATACATACACATTTAATATTGCTCACTATCTTGTATTTAAAATATTATTGCTTATTCCCCATTTCTTTACTCAATAATATTATTTCCTTAAACTAATCCAAATACCATAATAACCAAAACAATGTGCATGACAAAATTTTCATCCAACAATCCTTCTAAAATTAAGGTTTCATCTCCCATAATAGTCATCCTTCTTCACTATCTATTGTTACTTTTATTAAATAAATAGCTTTACTGGCTTCATTAGTATGATGTACTTGACAAACATACAAAAACAAACAAGCATTGCAGACTCTACTTGGGGTATATCAGTGGCACCTCTATTTCACTACCTTAAAATAATAAAAAAAAAGGAAAAAGATGTAAAAAACACAAACACTTGGCTTTCTTATTGATCTTATGTGTTAGTGCGTTAGTTTAGTGCAATGAAATGTTAATACCATAACTCTGGCCATGGATATTCTTTACCATTGAATTTCCATTGGGGTTTATGTTCCGCACTTGGCTTGCTGGGGTGGTTGCGCTCGAATTCCTTACATTTATGAAGCTTTGAAGTGCTACATTGGTCCAGTGTTGTGTCATACCTAGAGATATTTTGTGTGAACATTTATCACCTACCTTTTAATGATAATCTCTCTTCTCTTTGTGACCTAGATTTAGAAGGTGAAACTGGAGAGCAGAAACCATCTGAAAATAATTCCCAAAAACAAATTCTAGAAGAAACTTCTATACCTCAAGACAGGATCACGGACTCTGAAGATGATGCGTCAGTATCTTCCCAACCAGGGTTGACCAGTTCCTCTAACAGTGAGGATTCTTCTAGTCCAGAGGAGGACAGTGGTTCATTAGAAAGTAGTGAGTTTAATGATAAGAATATTAAGGACTCAGAAGACCATCTACAGGAATCAATGGAAACATTAGAAGATCCCAAAGTTAATAAATGGGACAAAAAAAGGGTTCAGCCAATAGAGTCGATATTGGCAGATTGGAAGGAGGACATTGAAGCATTTGAACTGATGGAAAAGGATGAACTATGACCAAGAACTCAAAAATAAAAATTTTGTCCACAAAACCAGATTTCTTCTGAAATATCCATGGTGTTGCAAGACTTTTTCTGAAGGTCAGAAGTATACATGTGAACTTAACATTATTTTCTGCAGATTTCTAATGGGTCCTTACCTCCAAGGCATGCCCGTTTCATGTTGTGGATGGATCCTCTGAATTTGTCAGATATTCATGGATTCTAGGAACAAATTTAAATTCTATTTTTATGAAGATCGACCAGGGAGGGGCTTCATCAAAATAAGACAAAATGTTTAAGAGCTTGCAAAACTCTATCTTTACTATAACTGAGAAAAGAAAATCCTTTAATTTATTAAATCATTTTAAAGATTTTTTTTTTGTTTTTATGTACAAGAAAAGAGAAAACCTGATTTAAAACCTAACAAACTTACATTTAGATATGGACCTAAGATTGACTTGACTCACAATTGTTCTTTGATCAAAAGTATGTTTGGGTTTTTGTTTTCCCCCTTCCTGTCTCACGTCAGAGGATTCTGTAGAATCCACTACAGTGTCCACTTGTACAGTTGGCAGTATATGGTTCATAGAAGTCTCCTTTAGTTTCAGTTGGAGATTAATTTAATTGGTCATTTATTTAGTTTTTGTTACTGGGTCAAAAAAATATTTTTTGCCATAATTTGAAATGGCAGATTTGAGACTTTAAAATTGGTTTAATACGAATTCTAACTGTATTTACAATCAGTAGAAAATATATTCTGTTTTAAATTCTGAGAGAAGGAGACGTTGCTTGAATACTTTATTTGCAAAATAGCTTTTAATATCAGTCATGACCAAGTCTGGTGTCATTAATTTTACAAACAACTCATAAATCCGTTCAGGGTTTTTTCGGTTTTGAAAGAAAAGGAAAAAAAAATGTAAACCACTCAAATGTAATTTTTTCATTATATAAAGAAACATTGTAACAGTCAAATCCTTAAGCAAAAACTAAAACCAAATATATAAAGTATTAATAAAATGGGATATGTAGTAACTAGAGGATAAATAAATCTGAAAGCCCTGCATAAAAAGGCTAATCTGCATTTAACGGAGCACCCCTAAAAGCTGTGATCAGAAAATGTTTGTTAAACTATAGAATTATGTATATTTTATATATAATATATATATAACAATTTTGTGCTTTTTTTTTTTTAATTATTGTTCATTTGGATATGTACGTTTTAAAGCATCTTAAAAATTATAAGCCTATAAAAGCATGTCCTGATAATATACAACTGCCAAGACCATAGTTGGCAGTTAACCAATGGATTCATAGTTCCAGCAACAAAATTCGACATCCACGGAGTAGGGTTCTATTCCCAACTTTTATCATCTGATCTCTCCGATTCACTAATAAGCATTTTGACTGGTCTTTAAAGCAGGATTATTGGGACCTGTAAGTGAATTTGTGATGGAAAACACGTAACCTGGTTATTTTATTTAAGGCTCATTCGGCAGGGAATAAAGATGCACCTCTTGTTCCTACCTCGGTTGACTTAAGTGAAGAATACGTTTGTTTAAGGTAATATTTGGCTGCTATGAGTCTTGAGACTTCAAGATGCATCCATAAAAACACATTAAGGGCTTTACATTTCCAATACTGTGTTAGAATTGTGCAAACTGCTAACTCTGTTATTTTATTGCGGTTTCTGTTAATTGCTTTATATATGTTAATAAGGAATCCATGGCCTGTTGTCTTAAAGATTGTTGATGGTTTAGGTGAGTAAAGAACAGTGGGGAAACCAAGGCTGGAGCAGTGGATGTCATAGGTAACTGTGACTGCACTACAAAATCTGTTCTTATCAGGATGTCTCAAAAGAGACAGCAGTCTTCATTATTCAGAGTTAAGCCCCACAAAGTGTTTCCAAACCATAAAAAAGACATTGTTTTATTGGGTAGGGGAGTTTGTGATTTTGCTCAAAACAGATACAAAAATGTTGTCCAGAAAACTAAACATTCAGTAGATGTGATAAGACTGCTATTATGCAATAAAATGATGGCGTTTAGTTTCTATTTAATATCTTCATACACTTTTAAAAAAATAAAATAAAAAAATGTATGAGTAATTTTTGTTTTAAGAGCAAATGTCTAATGGAACTTTATCACTGCCACAAATGCCATCTATATTGTTTTTTTTTTTTGTTTTGTTGCTTCAAGAATAGGTTTTATTTGGAAGAAAACATTTTACATTATACAAAATAAAAGGCACTATGTTTAAGTACTTAACCAATTATATATGTACATGAGTCTGTTGAGTTAGTAACTTGGTAATTAAAATTTACCAAAAAAAAAAAAAAATTACATTAATCAGAGTAAAACAAGTCTAAAACCATTCAGCATTTATATATTTTAACAACAAATGTCTCGTGTGCTATTTACACTATGACTTTACTGTGATTGGTAACTAGTTTTGGTGCTGTAATTTCGGTCTTCCTGGCAGATTTTCTAACCATTGTGTAGGAACCAGGAGACAGAGTGTCTTTACAGAAACAATAACTATGTGGGTGACACCTATTACTGGAAATAGTTGAAACACACAGACTATTTCAGTTTTAGGTTATGGCCTGTGTGATATGTGAACCAGAAATGTAACAAAGGAACTCTTTTTCATAAGTAATCTACCTCAAATGGTTTAGTTGGAAAAAGAGTTAATCTTTGTTTTTGTGAGACTGGTATTAACTTAAAGTAAACTGTCATTTTTATCCTGTTTACATGATATCATTCAGTAATCTACTAAAATAAGAGGTAAAAATCGTATCTGACAAAGTCCATTAAGACAATCTGTAATTCATCTAATCAAATACCAATAAACCCCTATTTATTGCAATTCTAACATTTGCTAAACTTTAAATTGTGTACAATGTGTGTTTCTCTCTGTAAAGAACACCGTGCACTAATGGTATCCTAGAGTGTACATGTCATACATAATCATATATTTGCAAATGACTACCCTGTCTTACTCTGACAGTACTGAAATGTGTAGCTTATGAAAAGTTAATTTATGTTTGATCACTCCCTTTAGTTAAGCAGTAAACAGGGATTCTGGGTATATACACGTGTCACTTGTTATTGCCAAAATAAAACAATTTGATATGCAGGCAAATGTAGCTCCCATTACTGTTGCTTCTGGTTACACATCAAGCACCATAACCACTGTGCTTGGAGTGTTCTTTGGTGTTCGTTGCCTCATTCATTATGTAAGTAAACGATTTGCTAATGGTTTGACTTCCTGTCTGGGGTTTGCCAGTGAGCAACTTCTGACTCTTCATAATAAAGGGGAGCTGTAGGGACAGCCACTTGGTGTATAGCAGATAAGAAGTTAAACCGTTCAGAAATATTCTAACTACTTATATGAGGTATTCCTAGCACTATAACCACTAGAGCAGTCAGTGGAGTCCTCCATAAATTCTCAAACTTGCAATAAAATATTATAGGCTTCACATGAGAAAACACTTATTCCCATTGAACTAGATTAATGGCAGAGGAATTAAACTCCTATTCTTATTCGTTCCCCCCTCAATTTGCATATCACAGTTCAGCATTAAAGAATTTTAAATGCTGCATCTTTACAATTAACGAAGTGTTGCAATTAAATGGAATGTACATTTTAGTTCATGTGGCTTATTTCTTTCTCCATGGCAGACTATGGTCCAGCAAATTGGCTCAATCATACTCAAGTATAACTGGCAAAGTCCATTACGTAAAAGACTGACGTTTTCCCTGTGATTTAGTTTTTTGACGTGTGCCTAGACTTGCCAGAGCTCAGTTTGAATATCATTAACGTGATTTAAAAAAAAAAAAAAATCCTTTTGGAGTTACATTTTGAACACATGAAATATGTACTTTTCATAGGTATCCCTGATCTAGCAAACCTTAGAGCAGTGGTTTCCAAAACAGTTCTCAAGCATGCCTACCCGTCCAGGATTTAGAGATTACCCAGTCGTGTCTAAGGTTTTTTTTTGTTTTTTTTCTTTTTCTAAAAACACCTTTAGACACATTTGGGTAATCCCTAAATCCTGGACTGGTTGGGGAAACCACTGCCTTAGAGGCTTATACTTGAGATTGGTGAAGAAATTTTTTTAAATAAAACGTCCCATCAATTTTACGTAGAACTGGGATTATTTAAATTCAGTTCAGTAATGTTGTACATGTGGTATAATCTCAATGAATGCATCATATTTAGTTACTTTTGTACAATAACCGGGGGAATCAGCCTTTTCACCATCCATTTCTGAAACGCCTTTCGGTTTCAGTTGGCTACTTTAACATAAAGCATATTTGAGGCATTTTATATTACTTTTGTACTGCTAAATTATGCTCTTCACTTATCCACCTATGGCATGTATCTACACAAAATGTTTGGCTTACAATTGTCTAATTAAAATATCCGATATTTGCACTTTTAAAACATCCCCATCCAACTCTATGGATATTGTATGTTAAATTTTAATGTTTTTCATACTAATTCACTTTTTTTTAATTATAATATATAATGGTATGCATTATGTTTTGGTATACATCTACACCCACACAATACTGTTGTAACTCTGTTTATGTACTGTAAAAGCCTGAATTTACTGTATATAATCTTTGTGTACATATATAAATTGTGAATTTGACATGATTGTAAAAATTTAATAAAACTGTAAATATTGTAGTTGGATTTGAATTAAACGATTCAGTTCTTTCTTTTTTTTTTTTTTATTGTTGGAGATAGAACATATCAATATTATCTTTGTAAAGCCTACATGGCTATACAATTCTCTAGTATGCTTGGTAAGGAAAACTTTATGAAATGTTGGAAATAAATTTGAGGAATGGTGAAACCTTGTAGACCATATCAGAATCAAAAGGTTTTGTTGACATGCAAACATTTTGTTATATGATTTGTAACATGATCACTGAATGTTAGTTTCATGCTGTATAATGGGCCGTACTTCCGGTCTCCAAAGAGGGCCAGTTGTATTTTATTTATTTTTAATTTTATTGGGAAGGGGTTTTGATCTTTTTATATATAAGATTTATTAAAGACTAGGCCAAATCAGGTATTATTCACTACTGGTGGGCAAAAAGGTCTGGTTTAGTTTTGTCCCGAACGGTTCGCCACGGACTCATCATTGAGTAAATTTTGACCCTGTACCTCAGTCAGCAGACACATTCCAGCCAATCAGCAGCAGACCCTCCCTTCCAGACCCTCCCACCTCCTGGACATTTTACTAAGAATGCAGCTTCACAATAAATGTAAAATGGATGCTGTCCAGGAGGTGGGAGGGTCTGCTGCTGATTGGCTGGAATGTGTTTGCTGCCTGTGAGGTACAGGGTCAAAGTTTACTCAGTGATGAGTCCGCGGCGAACCGTTCGGGACATCACTAGTCTGGTTCTTATTTATTATAAAACCATAATCACTGGCGCATGCAAAAGGGTACACCATGCTGCACAATGGAGGATCCCACAAAATCTTAATCACGCTTTTATAAGCAGTGGTGACACTGGCAGCTTTGCTCTATTGCACTTTTTTGTGCAATAGACAATCACTTTTCCATGAGCTGGAATGTTTGCCTTGTTACAGGGTTATTGAATAAAGTGAGAATTCAAAGTGAACTTAAAATCTTAGCCCAACTAGAAGCATAGCTGGCTTAGATACTTTTTCCTGTTTGGCCATTTTGGTCTTAAAGAGACACTATATGCTCTAAAACAACTAGCGTAATGATGCCGTCTTGGTGTATAGAACATGCCCCTGCAATCTCATTGCTCAATTCTCTGCCATTTAGGAGCTAAATCACTTGTTTCTGTCCATACAGCCACACCTCCCCAGGCTGTGACTGACCGCCTACATGGAAAAAGAAAAAAATAACTTTCAATCAAATGTTAACTTGCTTTAGAAGTTTTTATCTCCTGCTCTATAAAATTTAATCACACAGAGGAGGCTCCTGCAGGGACTAGAAGCTTATTAACAGAGCAGAAGATAAATTCTAAATGACCAGAATGTGCAATGAAGGAAGTTGAAATATAAGATCTCTTTTAACAGGAAGTGTTTAGGAAGGTTGTGTAAGTCACATGCAGAGAGGTGTGATTAGAGCTGTTAAAAACATGTGATTTAACTCCTAAATTAAGCAGTGAGACTTCAGGGGCACGTTTAGGTTGCAATAAAAAAAAAAAAAATTTCTAAAAAGCATAATGTGTTGTCTGTGTTTGGTAGAGAAGACATAACCTTAAATGAAAACTAAGCGGTATAACCTCTACAGCATACAGTTGTGGTTACCCCACTATATATTACCTTAAAGGGCAATTGTCACCTAAAAATGTTTTAATATAATAATCCTTTCATCAATGTTTCATTTATAAAAATATATACTTTTAGTTTCTGCCATATACATACATCTTGTGTCGGACAGTGTTTGAAAACCGACAGTGTTTATGGTCTCCCCTGATTATGTTCCCAGAGTGAAGCAAGGAAGACCATAGAGACTGAATCTTGGTTTTCAAACACTGACGCATATTCATGGCAGAAGGATCCTGTCAGATATTTAATGAAAGTATTATTGTATTAAAATAAAATTTTGAGGTGACATTTGTCCTATAATGTGGGTGGATGTCCATAGAGTAAATTATATGGTCCATCTACTTAGCATGGTTATCTAGTGTGTGTCTCTGAATTGCATCAGAAAGTTTCAAAATGACAGTAATTAGTTAAAGGGACCCTTGAGCTCCAGAACTACAAAATCCTAATTTTGGTGCAAGGACTCTATTTCCTGTGGTCTGACAAACATAGGCATTCCTTGTTTGTGAGAAACTGCAATGTTTACCTTCAGCATGTCTATAGTGGCTGTTAATGAGAAACTTCCTTGAATTGCAATAACTGAAAGTGTGTGTGTTTGTCATTGCATTGCTTCTTATAGAGAAATAATGAGCTGCACACATGCCCTCTTAGGCATTGGATGGCTCAAGGTCATCCAAAAGGATGATCTCAGAAGATAATTTTCTTTTAAACCAAAAATGTAAATAAATGAATAGGGGGGCATTAACATTCTGAATAAATATTTATAATCGTGTATTTTTTTTTGAGTATGCAACAAACCACGATTTAGATTCAAACAGCTGATAATCTAACTAGCTCCCTGTTTGGAGAAGAGGAAATGAGTGATTGTGTCGATGTCCTATGGGGGAGGAGGGTTGCGGTGAGCCCATTAATCAGCTGTAATAGTAGAGATATATATATATATATATATATATATAATCTGCTGGACAGATTTTCGAAGCATTATCCAGAAGATGCGGGCCAATTTTACACTAATAAAGAATAACAATTAAACAGTTGTTCAAATAAGACCCAAACTCCATGAAAAACATACAAAGCAAGTAGGATTTTATTTTAAAGTAACTCTTCAAAAACAAAATAGATGGTTTAAATTCTGCTTTATGAAAGCAAAATAGCTGTCAGATTTTCAGGAATACATTTTATATGCAGTTACTATCTGTATATAATCCGATGTACTGCAATGAATAAAAATACACTAAATAAAATATCACAGTGCAATTAAATGTACAAGACAGTCCATACAAATAGTGCAGTAAATGGAAGATCGGAATACAAAATATTACAAGATTATTTTTTTTTTTTTTTTTTTAAACTTAAGTCTTTTCCATCCTAACGCTTTCAGGTTATTTATAATTTATATATATATTAAAATATATAATTGTTTATATATAAATTTTATTATGCCTGAATTTAACACCAGCATCGGTGTGCCTCAATCAACACTTATTTCGCCCTTTTCATTATTTGCACATTAAAGTAACACTCCAAGCACCACAACCACTACAGCATCCTGTAGTGGTTGTGGTTGCAGGGCTTAGTTCAGGACAGCAGTTCCAAAGCAGGAGGTTCTAAACTACTGTTATGATGCTAGGTGGTCTTGGTCAAGCTGCGCGCACTCTTGGCTGAGAAGCAGCTGCAAAGGCTGCAAGCATAAGAACTGCGACTTTTGCAAGCTACTTTTTGTTGTACCCCCAATGTTAAAAAGCATGCATGTTTTCATTGGCGTTATAACTACTCAATAGTTATTTATTTTTTCATTTAGTGTGGAGTGTTCCTTTAAGGAATTAATCCATTTACCAATACTTTAACACCTAAAATGTGAAGACGTCTCCTGTCTGCTCTGTCCCCTGGTTTCTGGCTATGTCATTGAGATAAAGTTATGGCGCTTGGAAGGTACCTTTAAAGTAGAATAGGCTACTAGGCTCCACATTCTGCAGACGATCATGTACTTTCCGTGGGAGAAAAGGGGTTCCAGCATAAGCATACTACCTGGACATATTACTCGTTTAACCTGTGTGTAGGAAATTAATCTATTGCAGTAAATATGACATAAGTAGTCTAATAAATTTGGTGATAGGTGATTTTCTTTCTTATAGAGGGAGTGCGTGAGCGAAAATGTCATACAAGTAGTTCAGGTTTTCTGAGCTTTCTGTGAGAGCCTGTATATATATAGCAGACATAGCGTTCAAAGGTTTCATTCATGAAAAAGCATGAATGAAACTGCACAGTGGATAGAATATTGACTAGTGCAACAAGCATGAGTTTAAGGAACCTGAATTGAACTTCCGCTGAGAATCTCAATCACTTCCAGGTTCCTACAAAATAGAATGGTTTGCACAGATAATTCAGTGGTGTCTCTTAAAAACTTATTTTTTTTTTTACATTTAATGAATAATATATATATATTTTTATCTCTATAATGCATTCCTATGATGGCATTACTGCAACTTGTACTGTTCCACTAAAACAGCAATATGCAGTGTAATTCATAAAGTGATTTTCTTCTTTTGAGGATACAATTAACCACTGTATAAAATACTTCCACAATTTCAAATGCTAAATTACTCTTTCCTAAGCAAAATATGATGTAGCTGTTTAAATACTAACAGAGGAAGGGCATAAGATATTTTGGTAACAGATGTATTATCAATAATGAATCAGTGAAGAATCAAATATAGAAATATAAACTAAGTTAAGCAATGTAAATTACTGTTGCCGAAAGTCTCATAATAGCTTAAAAGCAGGATACCTATTCTCTACCCAAGAGGTAGATCTGCAGATATTTTAAAACTACAGCTTCCATGATGCTTTCACACTCTAAGCCAGGCTTCCCCAAACTCCGGCCCTCCAGATGTTGCTGAACTAGATTACCCATTATCCTCAGCCTATTTCATTCATAGAATCAGCAACATCTGGAGGACCAGAGTTTGGGAAAGCCTGCTCTAAGCACTACAACCACTACAGCTTAATGTAATGCTTCTGGTGCAAAGAGACTGTTCCTGTAGTCCCAGCAATGCAAACGGTAATCATTCCGTGAAAAGTATTAACATTGCTTACTAATGCAACCTCTAACGGCTGTCACTTACAACTAGAGGGTCTTCCTGGTGCTGTCCTATAATGGTTCCAGAACCAATGTTCAGCATCTCCATGCTATAATGAAGCATCAGATCGATTGAGATCATCAGCGGTTGTTATGTTGGGAGCAGTCTAAATAAAGGGACACTATAGTCACCATAGTTGTTCTGGTGAGTATAGTCAGTCCCTGCAGGCTTATTAATGAAAAGGCATTGTTTACATTACATCCTAGTAACACCTCTAGTGGCCACTAGAGGTGCTTCCTGGATCAGTGCTGCACAACGTGCAACACTGCCATTCAGCTTCTCCATGTTTCCCCATAGAGATGCAGTGAATCAATGCATCTCTATGAGGTGATGCGGATTGGAGCAGCATGGCGTTTTTCTGTTCATACGCAATAACCTGTTTTTTAATCCTAGGTGCATTTCAAAAATACCAACAATAACCAGGATCACCTTGTACACACAAGACAAAAGAGCTCTATCAGCAAGTTATTCCATTCACATTAAAGTTAGCAAATGTTGGCTTTCATTTTCTGGTTGTTATGTAAAGGGTTTAAGCTTTTCTTATATTTGTTTTCAGTCGCACCGTTCCATCTGTCTCTGATCTAAACAGCTGCAAGCTATACAGTCTATGTAGGTTTCTGGACTATATTAGACATCCCCACTCCAACATACCTATACTTGGAAAACTGACACTACTGTGTCAGAGGAACAGCCAATAGAAAGGGGGAGTCCAGCATAAGTGCACGATTCATTTCACCTTCATTCACTATTCAGGTTTTCAATTCACTATTAAACAGTGATTTGAAAACAATCTTGTAAAATTCAGACTATAATCGTCAAGCTGTGAATATAGGGAAGCTGTAGATTTTTTTCAGTACAGCTATTTTAGCCTTAAAGGACCACTATAGTGCCAGGAAAAAAACATACTTGTTTTCCTGGCACTATAGTGCCCTGAGGGTGCCCTCACCCTGAGGGTCCCCCTCCCGCCAGGCTCTAGGGGGTGGAAGGAGTTAAACTTACCTCTTTCTCCAGCGCCGGGTGGGGAGCTCTCTATCAATGCTTTCCTATGGACGCTGGCGTCACAGTGAGAAGTGCGGAAGCCCTCTAGCAGCTGTCAATGAGACAGCCACTAGAGGCTGGATTAAATCATAGGTAAACATAGCAGTTTCTCTGAAACTGCTATGTTTACAGAAAAAAGGGTTAATCCTAGCTGGACCTGGCACCCAGACCACGTCATTAAGCTGAAGTGGTCTGGGTGCCTATAGTGGTCCTTTAATGTGCCAGTGTTATAGTTGCTGCATTTTACTGAATAGATGTACAGTTGAGATTTGGTGAACCAAAGTTAAAAGTTAATGGTGATCTAACAAATACCAAAAACTAAAATGAGTTAAATTTTAATTTAACTTAAATTACTTAATTGAATAACGTTTGGCCATATTTGGCCATTTGCCAGTCTAGATCCAAGTAAAAGATCACTTGATGTCAACCTCTTTATGACAAAAGGTTAAAGGAACACTATAGGGTCATGTATTCATGACCCTATAATGTTTAACATATCATCTAGCTCCCCCCTCCCACCCTCTTACATATAGTAAAGCCTTACTTTTATTCAACTCTGCTGTTTCTGGCCCTGCCCCTGATCTGCCTGCTTGACTGACATCATCAGAAGTGTTGATCAAAGCCAATCAAGAGACTTTCAAGGAGGCAGATCAAGGCCAGAGCCAGCACAAATCAAACAGAGCCCTGGCCAATCAGCATCTCCTCATAGAGATGATTTGAATCAATGCATCTCTATGAGGAATGTTCAGTGTCTCCATGCAGAGGGGGAAGACACTGCATGGCGCACTGTGCAGCACTGCCCCAGGAAGCACCTCTGGTAGTCATGTTAGGAGTGATCAGTGGCTGTAATGTAAACACTGCACTTTCTATGAAAAAACAGTGTTTACAGCAAAAAGCCTGAAGGGGATGATTATACTCACCAGAACAAATAGAAAAAGCTGTAGTTTTTCTGGTGACTGTAGTGTTCCTTTAAGTATTTCATACCATGACATTCTTGTTCAAATTCCTGTCGTTTGTAAAAGTTTTTAAAAACTGTTTAAATATTAAACACAAAAAAAGAAAACACAGCATATACTTTCTAATTAAAAGCAATAAAACATTTTGTCTATGTACAGTCTCTATATACACTCTCAAGTTAGTAACTGTAATATACATATATATTTGATATTTGCTGCAAAAAAAGTATTTTAAAACTGAATGATCATTTTTACACAAATTTGAACAGTAATTAATAATAAACCAAAAAAAACCACAAAAAAACCCGCTCTTATGAAAATAGACCTGAATGGTTGTTGGAGCTGAAAGGATTAAAAGGAACACTATAATGCTAGAAATACAAAACTGTATTCCTACTACAATATAGTGTTCCTCTGCCCCTTTCCTCCCAGGCAGCAAATAAAGGGTTAAAAATGTATTACACTTTCCTAATTCCACAGCCAAGATCCCTGGCACTAGTTTGGGCTCCTCCTCCTTCGACTTCAGCCAATGAGGGGAGCCTAATGCACATTACGACATCCCCATAAAAAAAACCTAATTTTAATCAATGCTTTCCTATGTGGATTTAGATGCTAGTGTCATTTCAACGAAAAGGTCAGGAAGCGCCTCTAGTGGCTGTGTGGTAGACTGCCACTAGAAGCAGGCTTAACCTGCAATGTAAACATTGCAGTTTCTCTAAAACTACGTTTGTAGCTGCAGGTCTAAAATGACAAGGACACTGCAACCAGACTACTTCAATGAGATTACGTGCTCTGGGTGTCTATAGTGTCCCTTTAAACATTCATCAAACCAACCCCAACAGACCTGGGATCAATTACATTTAATTTATTGAGGTCTTTCTAACGTTCTTAGGCACAGGGGTTACATAGCTACAGTTTTCCCCTTCCTACAACCATGATCGCGCATACCAAAACCAGATTAGTGTTTTTTTCCCCCCCTTTTTCAAACTCGTTTTAAAAATACATTTGACTTCTAAATATATTGACTAGATACAAAATATAAAATAAATGTTTACAGATATAAAAAATATTTAATTCACAGGCCAAAAAAATCTTGATGTTCTATTGAACTGTGTATGTGTTAAAGGTAGGTTTTATAAAACACAAAAATGGCTGGACTGTCCTTCTGATGCCTTGCCTCTACATTCACAAGTTAGCACTGCACCTGCAAACATTTTGGAAATAACATATATACACACACACATTGACTGTATTCGTGCACATATACACATTTACATATACATGTGTAGTAATTTTGATATACATTTAGGTGCAGGAAATTACATATATGTTACACAACAACACTGTTCTTACTGTACGTGTAAAATATATATACATAATAAATAAAAGGCAAGGACTCACAAAAACATAAAAACTCACAAACTTTTATTTTAGTAGAAAAAAAGGGAGGATTCAAATGGTCGCGGACACTTGTATGTGCAAACAGAACAAGCTGCAGGTCAAACATCATCAGTATAACATCCTATGTGTACACCTCTTCCTAAAACAGGGGGGGAGGACCAAAAAAAAGAGAGAAAGAAAGAAAAAGAGAATCCACCACAGTCCTATTGATAACTGGACTAAAAATAAAGTTTGGCTCAGCCAAGTCAAGTCACCACTCACTCCCATAATTCATTGCACAGCCATCTATTAACGCCCCATTCTGCCAGCAATGCTTGCAAAGAGGGCCCCTTGAGCACTGAAGGGATTAAGTTTTGGAAGCAATTAAATCTCTTACCACAGTATGCCAGCTGCTTTGTCAGGACAGCCATATCGAAGATCCAAATCAATAAGCGTTTGCAAAGATATAGCATTAAAGTCAGCAGCAAAATGATTATAGAAGTCCAATGTTCATTTGTTTTTTTTTTGTTTTGAATACTGCATTTTATGATGGTAAGTGAGATCTATTTGTTGTTTATTGTCTTATAGAAAATATCTAGCGTCATTCATCAGATTATTTCACCGTAAATCGAAGCTATGTGATATCTTCCTCTTCTGAGCAGTAATCCCGACCCTTTAAAAAAATGAAATAAAAGAAAAAGAAACATTGGTTTATTTTGTAAAAAAATAAAATAAAATGTCCACAACATAGCGTCTGCTACAAAAAAAAAAAAAAAACTAATTTTTTTTATTATTTTTTTAAAACTGAGCCTTTAGAGTCATAGCCTTTTTTCTTCAGCTGACACTAGCTAGCTCTATCTTATGTTTTCCTACTCTAGACAAAGCTTGACAAAAAGGCAAGTTTTAAAGGGACACTATAGTCACCTGAACAACTTCAGCTTAATGAAGTTGTTCAGGTGAGTATTCATCACATTTGACGACATCAAACGTGCTTTCAGGACACAGGAGGCCTACGGTGTCCTGTAGTAGCCCGGAGCCTTTCAGCAATCAGAGCTGACAGTGTGAGAGATAAGGATCTCCTGCACACAGCATGGGCTCTGGCAGACAGGCTGACAGGCTGAAGGCAAGAGACCGAGCAGGAGGATCTACTGACATCAAACAGTAAGTAAACCTTTTTTAAAAATTGAGGGTGAGTGTGAGAGAGAGTGAGTGTGAGACAGAAAGTGAGTGTGAGAGAGTGAGTGAGAGTAGATCGAGATAGATAGATAGAAATAGATAGAAAGATAGAAATAGATAGATAGAAAGAAATAGATAAAGATACATATAGATGGAGTGTGTGTGTTTACAATATTTATTTTCAATGTGTGTTTGTGTACAAACACTATAGAGATATCTCTTTATATAGTGTTTGTATACAAACCTTGGGCTGAAGGGTTGCTGAAGGAGGGGGCGGGCATAGACGGCGAGCTGAGCTCTCAGTCAGATCAGCTCAGCTGGCGAACACCGCGCATATGCGCGGTAGAGCGTTCAGTGTTCATTCATATGGCGGCATTCAATGCCACTCTATGAAGAATGCGACTGGTGCAGCGTGAAGTCACACGTGCGCACCAGATCGCTATGACGCTTCTCTAAGAGAAGCGTCTGATTGAGCCCTACTACTTTGTCATTTTGACGAAAAAGGGGGCGCAGCCTGCCAAGGATCTCAGCGCTGGAACGGAGGTAAGTTTTAGCTATAATAAAGACTCAAAAATATTTTTGATTAAGGGGAAATATATTATATATAAAAGCAAGATAGAAGGCTAGGGGACCTGTCTTATTTGCAATAGTGTTCCTTTAATGTGAATTAGGGATTTAATGGAACAGCATTTCAAAAATTAAATAATGGGCTAAGACGGACAATGTTATTTACCAAATCAAAAACAGTCAGGAAATGACCAGGAATTGCAAGTTTTAGGTCAAAATAGCTGCGCTGGAAAAATACTCTGCACACCTCTCAACAGTGGAGGTTTGCTGATTGTGAAGGTATGCCAATGGGGTGGGGTGCCTGCTCAGAAAGGAAAGCATGTTAGCCTGGCATTAAGGCGCATGCCAGGCTCACTGACAGCCTCCAGGCCGACCTCACTCACAGAAGACCATGCTCAGAGCACTATTGAAGCACTCCACTCATGGTCCTGGTGCCCGTCATACAGTGCAAGCACGTCTAATGATGTTGTGACGGCAAACAGTTTCCTGGTGTTCACAGAAGTGGGACAGCGGGGAACAAAACAAGGACAGCAGGAAAGAACCTTGAAAAATTTGGGAGGGCTTTTCTTTAGCGAAGCTATGTTTACAGCACAGATATTTTGGTCAAGAATTTGCAATTTCCAGTGCTTTGAATAACCGTGCAATTGCCCATACAGTTATGAATCAGGAAGTGGCCTATATGTCAGGAAGTGTTCATGCCCGATGATAAACTATAGTCAACATACCAATGTCGTTTTGCAAACAGTTCCTATTAGCAGTCCACACTATATGTGTTCCTGCTTGTCACACTACCTGGAAGAACAGAAATCTATACAATTTCTGCATTAATGCTGCTCAGGCCTGTTTCTGTTGATCAGGCTAATGCTTCCACATGAGCCAAGCAGGAATGGTTGGCAGTGATAGATTCCCATAACTGCTATGAGTTGGTATGACTAAGGCGAATGGTCTTAATTTGTCTTAATCCAAACTCTAGTGGGACCAAGCTGCAGGTAGTGGGGGACAATTATTCAATTAAACTGCTCACCGTTTATAATCAATTTAATAGTTAACTGTGGGACAGAGCCATGGGACACCAGGAGCCATAAACTCTTCAATGAGATGTGACTTCATGATATACTGATAACCATTAATGTAACAGATAGTGGAATTTAAAACAATCTTATTATCTTATTTCTGAGCACATCACTGTCAAGGTTATTCATTAAACTGCCAATTGCTGTAAATATTTTTCCATATTGACTCTATGGATCTAAAATGTTAAATTTGTAATAACTTTGTATGAGGAATACTGCTGCTCTGTTATACCCTCAGACACACCAAGAAAGTGGAGCTCGTAGGATAGGAAAGCAAGATTTGGGTCAAAAATGAGGATTATTTATACAAAAGGTAGAAACCTGGTAAATGTAAAAGGTTTTCTTGATACGTTAACACCAAAACAATATTGCAGTAATTTTTTTTTACCTTATCCTCTCTCAATCCCTTGTGTGCGTCTCTCCATGATGGGTCTCTTTTTACCCCCTCACTCACAATGTTTCCCCATTTTCCCTTTGCCTAATTGTGTTGCCCCAACCCATATTGTAGGGTGGAGAGCAAGGCCGGGCCACTGGGTCTTTTTGTTCCTCTGCCAGGACTCTCAGGGCTGCAACAGGTTCAGAAGAACAAGCAGCATACAAGGTAATTGGAGAGAGAGAGAGGGCAGGACAAGATCCTCTGCCTTGGTCCTGCTGTCCATGCTGCAAAGAGGGAGAGGTTGGGAGTGGTTGCTCTGTGCACCCCGTCCTGTGTCAACTGGGAAGACCCCCCATCCCCAATTTGTGCACTACTGGTTTGCTTGCACGGCTAATTTGTGTGTTTATTTGCTTTTGTGTTTTACATAGCCTTGTTTATCATGCTTTCTCTATTTTAAGACGTTTGTGAGGATACCCACTTAGAAATTGAAAGCAGCAAATAATATTGTCCGAGTAGGACTCCTCTAAGAAGTTTGCCTTGATATTGGCAGATGAGTTCACACTTTAATTACCAACTGATGTTATTAAAGTGTGTATGGGGTTTGGAATAGTGTGCAGCTAGTGGGAGGATTATATACAGTTATGTTTAGGAATTTACCTTTTCAATTTTCTCATCCAGCATTCTGAAAAACTCCTGCTGACTCTCCGAGATGTGTATGCTGGAGAAAAATAATTACAAGAAACGTCACAGAGTGTTTTTCCTTTCATTATTGAATTACAGTCAGCCAGACACAGCAAAAGTATGTTTTAGTGATATTGGTGTCAGAGTTAATAAGTCTTGCACAGATAAAAGGTTCCCAGTTCACAAGAAGTACATGATTCATTTACAAACTGATGAGACATAACCAACATGACTTTAAATCAGCAACCTATTTGTGAAGCATGAAGAACGTTAATTTGTTTAAAAGGAAAAGGGCAAACGCATTATACAAAATAGAGAGCTTTAAAAGAACACGCTTATTCTTTTTGTTGGGAATATCTGCTGAATGTTTAAAGCTAGTGATTGGACAGCCGTGCTCCGACCGGTGGGCGTCAAGTGGGAAACTTTAAAAAAAAAAAAAAATAATGGGGGTGGACAGCTATCCCCACCCATGGCTAGTGGATGGGGCTATTTAATACAAGAAAACAGAGATCATTCTAATGTCACAAAATTAGGAATTAAAGTTTTGTAAATATACACAATTTTAATTTGCAGGACACCCCTGACCTGTAATCTACATGTACACACAAACAAACAAAATTAAAGGAACCTATAGTCTCAAAAATGATATTCTTCTTTTAAGCACTACAGGTTTCCTTCCATTACAGTGACCGCTGTCCACCCCTTTTCTGCTGAAAAATAAGTTTAATATATTTTTACTCACCTTGTTGCCAGTGCTGAGACACTGTTGTTGCAGCCGCTCACTCCTCCACCTTTATAATCAGCAAGCATGCGGATGTCTTCCATCTTCTCGTCCAATCCAATGCTTCTCGAAGAAAAGCATGGAGGATAAGAATGGCCTCATTCCTCCAATCAAATCTCTCCATGAGAAGAAATGAGTGAAGAACTAAATCAGACTATTGCAGTGGAGGCGACCTCTTGTTGTTATCTGGAAGAGGATTGTTTCTCCTTGCAATGAAAACATTGCTATATATACACATGGCAATGTTTTACACTGCGGGACTAAAACTACATGGCCACTGAACCTAGACCGTTTCATTGAGATGAAATGGTCCTGGGGCCTTTAGTATTCCTTAAACTTGCGATTTGTAAATCAAAAGAATGGTGATTCATTAAACGTTACCATGCAAGTTAAATTATTATTTTAGGGCAAATTCTACAGATTGAATTAATTACAAAAGTTTAGAACATATGTATTCATTTATTTCATACTGGTGCTTATCTTAGGTACTTATGAAGTTGAAGATAAGAAAAACTGAGATTTATTTTTCCATTCTCTGAAATGTCCTTTTGGATGCAAGACCTTGAGCTCCCATGAGATGGCGTCAGGGAATCATCAAAGAAGTCTATTCTGAAAAAGTACTTTTTTTTTGTACACATACCAAAAAAGCTTAAGGTAAAAATATTAACAAAAAAGTATTTTAATTTTTTTTTTTTTTTTTTCAATACAACAATACCTTATTTTAAACCAGTGATGACTAACTTGGAAACATGAATGTTTTGTTAACTATGTTTTCAATGAAGGTCAGCCAGCCAGAAGGGTTAGTATTTACAGGACCACAAAATGCACCCAGTCCACGATGATGTGGTCTGGGTCCAGTAGTTCTGTAGGTTTAATCGTGCAATGTAAAGCAATGTTTACGTTGCAGGATGAAGTCACTAGAGGTGCATCCTCTGCATCAATATACACATGAACAAATGCAGCTGATATAAAGCACTGAGGGCAGCACAACCAAGGGAGTCTACACTGAATAAAAGGTAAGCAAAACCTTTTATTTTTATTTTTTGTGAATAATGGTTAATGTGTTATCTGGGGGAACCTAAATCTAATTAGGGACAATGGCACCGTAGCATTGGGAATACAGGTAATGTCATAGTATTCCTTGAACATATCAGAAGATAGTAAACTACACATACCCTTGAGAAAAGGCTAAATTAACAAACCTATTTCGGTTTTATGATGGTGGCTTAAATTTAGAAATAAATGTCTGTACCATCTGTGTGCATGGAATTCACTGTTGGAGAGTAACAAATGTATCGAGCATGAAGGCAGAAGCCTGACACAGTTTTCTCCACTAGAGTTATAATTTTACATTATCGGTATCGTTTTTTTTTCCCAACTTGGGCTTTAATTTAATTCAGTAAGCAAAAACGAATTAAATTAACAATCAACTGTTTTCAGCTTTTGGCTGAACATTTTCTTGCAAGTCTTGAGAGAAGTGAGGCTTGCCTGTCAGAGCTCTTGGATTGGTTGGCAGACAGAGACTGCATAACAAGAGATAACGAGCATAAATTGAGGTGGGATAAGAGGAAAATAAATGTGAAAGTAGGGGGGTGCCCAATCATGTAACCCATATGGAAGAAGGATAAGGGAAGATACTCTAAGAACAGCTGCTCCAGAAGTACAGTAACAAATGCAAGTAGTCTGCATGGTTTATACTTGGGCTACATCATGTTCCACTTTCTTGTACTTTGCATTTTCGGTTGCTAGCACTTTATTACTTTGACTTATTCACTAAACCGTGACTTGTGAAAACCAACAAGGGATTTGTATATTTTAGGCGAAAATAGAAGAACCAGAAACAATCTAAAATCCCAGCTTTTTCCACTTGTCTATTTGTTATAAATGTCCATTAAGCTTTTGGCAATTCATGAATAATCTCATAAACCAGCAATCTCTGTTGAATGGAAACGAGAAGCTTGTTAATAAAGGGTGTGGAAACGGACATGACCAGTATTTGAAACTTTATTGTAAACAGCTGAAAGCAGCATTTTTTTCCCCAAACTGAACATTTTCTATTTTATGTACGATGAAATTTGCTCCAAGGTTTAATTTTTGTTTTAAACTTAACACAAAACCTGACAGATTCAGTGTTGGATACACTTTTATGATGTCCATGGGATTTATGGGTAATGAAGCCTGTAGTGTATAAGATGGCTGCTATGAGCTGAAGGCTGATGATTATCTTCCAACTTATGAAATTAATAAAAAAAAAAAAGTCAAAAGAAAGACACTGTGGTTGCTGAAAAATTGGAATAGACTGATCATCATTCCCACAGTTTATCAGAGCTTTTTTTCGGCATATTTCTGATAATCGGCACCAGTCTTTAATATACCGATAACTTACTCACCTCTCCCAGTCTTCGCACGCAGTCTTCCAAATCCAGAAACTCCAGCAGCCAGCCAATCAGGCACCACGACATGATGCAACGTCCCTGTGAATCTCCACATGCAGGCAGTGAGGTGAGACAGTGAATAATCTACTGTAATGTACTGGGCTGGCTGACAGAGTTATAGGAGTGTGATTGGTGACCGCAGTCACATTTCTATCAGTAACAGCACCGTACACACTGGATCTCCCTGATCCCAGCATGTACCAGATGCCTGAGAGTGACAGAATATCAGCACCGGTAATTGGCAATCGGCCTAAAGGCGGCCGATAATGTGCATCAGCATCAGCTATGTTAAAATGATAATCAGTCGATCCCTACTGGAAGATGACTGGCAGTGCATGGCACATGGGTCGGACCATTCATACAGAAGCATTGTGGAAACACAGGACACGGGAAGCATTGGACATGCACCCAGTGTCTGCATTCTTGCGTATCGATGCCAAACGTAAAAATAGATGCAATTATTGAATCTATTTCAATCGGGAGCCCAATGAGAAAAAAAAGGTGCTGTATCTCAGAAACAACACTATCTGCAATAATAAGGCTGCAGGGCATGGTCTGTGCACCAAAATCACTTTAAAAAGATAGAGTGATTTTGATGCTTTGACTAAATAAAAGAAAAACAGAGATTATATATGTAGCTAGAGTATGAGATCAGTGTATTCGGAACATACAATGCAATGCAATCTTCAATATACGAACAGAATCTTTAGAGAATTTACAATCCTGTCCATGACATGTGCTAACTGGCTCCGTAACACTGAAACAGGACTTGGGGACGGACTTACTTTATCCGATGCTGATGTCCTGGTCCTGGTGCTTCACTATTACTTTTAGGTCGGACATTGTAAGTGGCACTTTTTTCCTGAAATACCAAGAATATACACAGTTACCTCCTGATGGATTTGAATTGCCTCAGGATTATGTAGATTTGCATGTTACATTTTAAAGGCACCAAACCCCCTACAGCTCGCTCCCTCTCCCCTCTCCCAAGTAGTGAAACTTGCAATAATTCTCACAGCTGTCTATCAAAACAAAGCACAACAAACATCAAATGAGAACAAAGCATAACAAACATCATTTCACAGTGAGGCAGAATATATTGGTGATAGAACAAAACTAATAAATAAAATAATAGCCCTAAATAAGTGCGCCACAGTAGTTCTGAATAAGAAAGTAAAGGTGCACATGTCTTGGTAATCTTTTCGTTAAGCCTTTCCTAGTGTTATAGATCTGAGGCTGTCACATGACATATCACATGACATACTTAAAGCTAAAAATGTATGGGAAGCATAGCCAACATTGTAGGGATGTAATTATGAACTACATTCCATAACTACATTTTCTAATGTAATTAGACTTTTTTGTAATGCTCAAAAATCAAGAATAACTTTTTGGAAAAGACAGCTCATTAACGAAACATTAAATAATTGCAGTTTCAGCAGGTGCGGGGTTATGTAAGGTTTACGGAAACAGGATGCTTAGAATAGAGTCACGTCATTCAGGTGTGTGTGAGACACATAGCTAACTGGTTTATATCTGATTGTCTATATTTGACAAGGACAGTCCCCACAGCGAGACCTCTGTGCTTGCCCAGTGCCAGTTATAAAAGTGAAACGAGAACTGTATACTCACAAACTGTTAGATTTCATTAGTATGCTTAGAATACTTGTACAAAACCAAGCGTGATCAGTTAAATGCTGTCCAGGAAGCATGGGCCTAATTGCAGGGTGACATTTTTATGTGCCATCTTGGCAGCTGGTAATTATAAATTAAAGTTTTTAATATTACTAGCGACAACTAATTTTTTATTTATTTTTTTTAAATTAAACTTCACCGTATAGTTCGTTTACATTTTATTAAAGGGACACTGTAGGCACTATAACCATTTCCTCCCATTGCATTAGTTATAGTGCCTGCAGTCACTTGGCACTGTCCCTTCATTCAGTGTTCAAACTTTTACAAGTAGTTTAAATAAAAGTTGATGGCTGTCCACAGCTCAGCCCCTAATGGAGGTATGTTTATGGCAAAAATTACATACTTGCTTATAGCCTTACTGCTTCATACCTGCTACATTTAGATTAGCCAAGACCCCTCCCCCCAATGGCTTGATAGTGGGATATTGTACCCAGATCCAGGGAGGGGGATCTATTCTCTTAGGGATACTACTATACGTGTGTGCCTTCCCTGACCCATATTGCCATATCCTATGGGGAACAATACTAGGACCTCCTAAATGTATACTTTCATGGAATTTTTTTTATCTCCTCATACTACTTAGCATACTTACTGTATATACTCGAGTATAAGTCGAGTTTTTCAGCACATTTTTTGTGCTGAAAAACCCCCACTCGACTTATACTCGAGTCACTGTCTGTATTATGGCAACTTACATTGTAAGTTGCCATAATACAGACCAGGACCGCCGGGCATGTATGTATGAATACTGTGTGTGTGTGTGTGTATGAGTGCAGTGTGTGTGTGTGTGTATGAATGAATGCAGTGTGTGTGTGTGTGTGTTAGCTGGCCAGGGAGGGGGGCTCTCATTCCCTGGTGGTCCAGTGGATGGGCTGTGCAGGAGGGGGGATGGCAGAGAGCGTTTACTTACCTTTTCTGCAGCTCCTGTCAGCTCCCTTCTCTCTCCTCCGGTCCGGTCAGCTCACGTCAGCTCCACTGTAAATCTCGCGAGAGCCGCGGGGAACGCTCTGCGCGGCCGCAAGACTTACAGTGGAGGAGAAGGGAGCTGACTGGACTGGAGGAGAGAGAAGGGAGCTGACAGGAGCTGCAGGAAAGGTAAGTTACAGCTCTCTGCCAGCCCCCTCCTGCACAGCCCATCCACTGGACCACCAGGGAGGGGGGACGAAAATAAATATAATTAATAAAATATTAATAATATATATATATATATATAAAAAAATAAAAAAATAATAATAATAATAATAATTTAATAATAAAAATGCCCACCCCCCCACCAAGGCTCGGCATCACATACACACACTGCACTCATACACATACACACACACTGCACTCATACACACACACATTGCATTCATTATATACACACACTGTAAATAAATATTCAATTAATATAATTTTTTGGGGATCTAATTTTATTTAGAAATGTACCAGTAGCTGCTGCATTTCCCACCCTAGTCTTATACTCAAGTCAATAAGTTTTCTGGGGTAAAATTAGGGGTCTCGATTTATATTTGGGTCGACTTATACTCGAGTATATACGGGTATGTACCCATTGTGCTTTCTCTACGAGATACAATTGATGCCCATAACCACGGACACAATAGTCTGGTTCTTCTAATTCCACTGAAGTGCCTGAATCTGACTGCCATATACTTGTATCTTGTTTGGCATACGCCTTCATCAGTTGTGGTGGCGTAGCAGGCTTTATGGTTATACTCTGCACAATAAAAATAAAGAATACAAAAAAATATATATATATATAAAAAAAATGTTTAATACAGAATGGAAGGACAGTGACTGGAGACTCCAGACACTACAACCACACCAAAGTGACAGTTAACAGTGCCGACAGTGTCCCTTTAATGATATGTTAACTTGAAGCCTTTTTTAAAAGAAAACTAATTCAAATAAATATGCATTTATTTTTTATTTGTGTTCCTGATTACTTTTAAAATACTGGGCTCCCTAACAATGCTGGGCACAATCTCGTCACTGCAGCCTGATGCTCCTCCTCTGGTGAACTCACCAATCCTAATATCTTTAGTCCCATGTGATGCTTGTCCTAGAGAAGCATTGAGGACACATGGCACATAACAGCTATCCCTCTGTCACTTTAAAGCTTCTCACAAAGCAGCGGTGGATGCACACTAGACGTCAAAAAGTTTCAATAACTGAATCTATTTGTGTCGGAAGCCCATAATGTCTGTCAGCCACTTAGTAGCCATGGACATAATTCAGAGTTCTCAGAAACTGCACTGGTTTAAGTTGCAAGGCTGCAGTGCAGCATCTGCATCCCAAATGCCCTTAATTAAGATGAAGTAATTTTGGTGTAAGCAATAAAGCAGTCATTTGTCATTTTAAGAGTTAAACATAATACATCAAATTCAAGCTTTGCTGACAGTTCCTATTAAATACACGGCGGCAATTTCTGGGTTTTGGCAAAGAAGTAAAACAAAAATAAATGTATAGGTTAAATGGTTAAATTGTAGGCCTTGGGTCTTCACAAGGAAATAGGATAGAAAATAACTAAAATATTAAATATTTAGGGAAATATTTCTTGTTTTCAGGGTAGTTGGTGATACAATGTTAAATATTCAAGACAAAAATGTGACTTAACTGGCAGATATTTTTTCCCCATTTGCTTTGAATTGTCTTTTTGTAACAAGGTGACCTTCAGAAAACAAAAAATCAAATCTGCCTTTCTTTTTCTTTCTTTCTTTCTTTTTTTTTTTAAAGCTGCAAAATATTTTCTCAGCCAGTAATGTGCACTTCGGAAATACGTTTTGAAAAAATATCAGTTCCAGGGTCATAGCTTGCCCCAGCTACTATTATTTTCCCTATTTTGAACTGTAGGCTGCAACTGACTGGCTGCCTTAGACATTTTTCTCTGAAGGTGTTCCTTTGATCTTTCTTAGTCTAACAAGATGCCTTTCTTAAATATGACCTCAATTAACCTTCATGGGCCTTTGATGTTACTTCACCTCAATGCTGCTTGTGCTGTGAATAGATATGCAGCCTTCTTACTAATACACATTTTGTCCCATTGATGCCAGCAGAAGTTAGAAGCATCTTGTATTAGAGTGAAACCTTAAGCAATCAATGATGGTTTTATGAACAATTACTGAATGTTTCCATACCTCCCAAATTGGGACACGTCTCGTTGTTCTGTTTTATTTATTTGCTCACTATGGACAGCATCCCAGGTGGAGTCAATGAATGATCACAGTATTCACATTGTTTAAGTTCACCCCACTAAGGTACCTGGAGACTTTAAGAAAGAAGATTTTGCACTGCGCTACAATGTGCAATAAGAACAATACAAATGTGATGTAGAATTCTCAGCCGAAATGGGCAGTGTGTTATCAGATTTTATACAAATAAACAATGTCTCCATGTGTTTTTAAAAGCCAGAATAGTCAGTGATATGACAGTGAATGTGGGGTAACAGCTTGCTTATCCAAAGGGAAATCCATTTTGAAGTCAACATTTTTTTTTTTCATCTATAAATGGATTGCAATCATCTGAAAGACTTGTACAAGATTGATAATAAGTAACAAGAAAATGTATGCAGTAGGATCAATCAGATTCATATGGCAGACTTGCAGACAGCATAAACGTTAACACTTACAGTTACAAAAGATGGAAGTGCTCCAAATCTTACCAAGTTTTCTTGGTTCTTTGACACAATTTTTTGCTCTTCTTCTTCCCCATTTTTCATGTATTTGACTTCTTCAACTGGCTTGATTCTGTATTCATCTGAAATGAAACCACATAAACATCATCACGTGCTAAATTAGTTCAAAACAGAGAAGAGATATTGATTATTTTATATAGTTCCCTATAGATTGTAAGACAGTGTAAGCGGGTCACTCCACGTCATGTCTTTCAATATTCAAACTGAAAAACAACAACAACAAAAACAACAACCAAACAGCTAACAAGGCATTAAAGATGATAATCTTCTCCCACTCCCCTGTTAAAGAAAGAAAAATTTACAAAAACTTGGAAACTATTTATTTACTCTTTTGGAGTAGATCATAGAATGTCTGTAGCTATATTTTCCATCAGATTTAAAAATGACTTCAGCAAGATGGGCTTTTAATGCATTCTGTTTTTATCTATAATAACAGGAATTTACCAGGAACACTCAGTGTGATGATATATGTCTAAAACTCCATCAAGATCTACCAAAGCAAAGTACAGGATCAAACCATATATAAATATAAAAAGAGACCATATGACATCACAGTTTCAGTCACACAATTGTTATAATGGCTTTATATAAGGAATGACCAATTTATCTTGAGATATATTGAAGGACATTGTCCAAGGTCCCCAAGTTGCTGGATAGGTATGAGGAGATTTTAAAGGATCACTATAGTGTCAGGAAAACAAAGCGGTGACCTCTCCTCCCCTGCCGACGTCAGCTCCCCCGTCCGACACCTCCAGCATCGCAGATGCACCATTAGAGGCTGGCTTAACCCAAAATTTAAACATAGCAGTTTCTCTGAAACTGCTATGTTTGCATCTGCAGGGTTAAAACCTGAGGGACCTGGCACCCAGACCACTTCATTGAGCTGAAGTGGTCTGGGTGACTATAGTGTCCCTTTAACAGAAGTTATGTATGCTTTGTAAACATAGCCTTTTCTCTTAAAAGACAGTGTTTACTGCAAAAAGCCTGCAGAGACCGACTATACTCACCAGAACAAATACAATAAGCTGTAGTTGTTCTGGTGATTATAGTGTCCCTTCAATAGGGACTTCTATAGACAAATTATGTGGAAAGTATTTATAACAGTACTGTACCATATTGGAAGCTTATTAAAAGGGACACTATAGGCACTGTAATCGCTTCAAGTCATTGAAGTGACCACAGTGTCAGCAGTCCCTGGCACCATCTTTCCATTCAGTGTTAAACCGTTTTTAATGTTTTAATGCTATACAAGAGATCCCAGCCAAGCATTCCCCATGTTCTGCTCATTCTAATGAGGAAGCATTAGCCTGAGCAGCAATGGCTAGCTATGATAGACTGAGAGCCGTCAACTAATACTCTCAGCCAAACACAGTGCCCGTTCAGATATTAATTAGTACGGCTAGCAGGAAGTGTATAATCTCTGCCTAACCCATACCTCCATTGGGGGAGGGGCTAAGCAAATCCAGGGACCTTAATTTAGTGTTATACTGCTCAAAAATGGTTTAACACTGAATGGAGGGACAGTGCCAGGGGACTCCTGCAGATGTGTTCATTTTTGCTTTTAATTTGGCCATTTGTTCCCTTAGAGGAGGTAGGAATATTAAAAATATAATCCAATTTGAATGAAATGCCCTGCACCTTTTCTGAAAACAGTTGTGATGGCAGTGTGAATATGTATATATACAATGTTTTGAAACCAATACTTCCTAAAATCTGAAATATGCAAGTTGTGGCACTGACAAGAGAGGCCACGAAGTTGCATGCAGATGACTACTGCCCATGGCGTACCCATGGCCACGAACTTGCATGCAGATGACTCCTACCCAAGCCATAACCGTGATGAAAAGCAGGAATATTACAGGCTTGACAAAGGCTCATGCAAGCCGAAACGTAGCTGCTGTATGTACACTGTTCCTTAATCAAAGACTGCCTACTTGAGGAAACTACTGTGTGTGTCTGTAGTTCTGTGAAACTTGTTACTGGCAAGGAAGGCATATCAGAGCAGACAGACAACACACATGGAACTGCAGAGTTGCTCAAGCAAAATTCTGCAAGATCCCAGGAAGGATTTCAAAATCAGGACTATACTGCCAGATTCAGAACACTTGGGAGTTATACCAGAACTCTTCTCCATTTAGAACTAACTCAATGACTTCGATTACATACAAAAGATCAAAGGCAGTTTGTTAAGAATGACTCCTGAAAATTAAAGAGGACAAATTAAAAAAATACAGCTTCCATTAGTTTGCTTGGAACAGCACACACAATAATTTGCAGGGACACACAGCTCCCACACAACATGTGCTTATATTATATGTTATTCATTTTCAAATGCAGACATGTAGGGCATTGGGGGAGGGAGACTAAACTGGAATAGCGTCAGTACATTTCTAACAGACTCTATACTCTATACTCTTCACCTACCGGATAATCCCAGAAATTACATAATGAAAGATGCAGAATATTAAAGAGAAGAATTAAATGGGACCTAGACAAGAAAATACATGGAATTGGATAGGGTGTTCAGAGGAGTATGGTACTGCAGTTCTGTTAACAGCATAATGGTGTCTGACCATGGTACATAATGCACTTTCGACTCACATTGCATCCTCTTTAGGTTTTCTCCAGTTTGCAGTGGACTGTTGGTAAGGGACTCTATTCCATTTTATTTTTGGATGTCTTATGCCAGGGCTTGACAAATTTTTGGGAATCTAGGAGCCAGCTAAAAAAGTTAGGAGCCATTTTTTTTGTTTTTGTTTTTTAAAGGGGCACTATAGTCACTAGAACCACTACAGATTAATGTAGTTGATCTGGTTCCTATAGCCTGTCCCTGAAGCCTTTTCAATGGAAACGCTGCATTTTCGGAGAAAAGGCAGTGTTTACATTGTTGCCTAGTGATGGACGGCCACTAGAGTTCTGTGTCAGTGCTCTGCATGGAGGCAATGAATGTTACCCATAGCGAACATGTGCAATATCTCTCAATGCTTCCCTATGGGAAAGCATTGGCTTGGCGGAGATCATAAAGATTGATGATCTCAGCTATGGAGGCTGGACAAGCCGTGGTGAAACCGGTACGGCGTGGGAATAAAGGTGAGTAAAAACTCCTCCTGTGATCAGAGGGAGCCAGGTACCTAAACAGACACAGAATTTGACAGGCACACAGACACACACACACACACACACCCATTGACAGAGACACACACAAACAGAGATTTTTATTTTTATTTTAACCCACTCAGCCTCCCTACCTTTGGGAGAGCTGAGTAGATCTTTCCCTGGGGTCCAATGGGGCTGCTCTCTTCCTGCACGCAAGAGAGCAGTGATCTTCCTGCAGCTCCTCTCTGCTCCCTGCGCAGGGGCGCCTTGGATTTATGCCCAATAACATACATTCACTACTACCACCTCATACTGCTGAGCGCTTTTCATCTGACCATCTCGTACAAAGTGATAACATGTTATAGCACTTCACACAATATGCCGCCATCCTCTGCACCTAATCACTATTTGGGTCCCTAAGAGATGGCTTTTTTAGGAAAGAGTTGCATGTTGAGGAAAGAAATCCTTCTGACCATCTTTTCAAGGAGCTCCATATTGTTGTGTGTCTTAGTGTACAACAGAGCTCCACAGCAATAATACTTACAGTAATGTTTCTAAACTACAATAAATGTGTTTATAACTCTGTATGTATAAATAATAATGTAACTAAAATAATATTAGTAAGTTCCTTAAAATTTCTCAGCACATCCCCACTCCTGGCCACACCCTCCACACCCCTAAAATAAAAGTGTCTCTCTTTGTTAATATAAAATGTTTGGAGGTATTCATGGTGGGGTTTAGCTATTGTGCATCAAACTGAGATAAGATTATCACCTCAGGTATTGACCCAAATACTCTGTGGTACCCTTTAAAGATCAATGCAAAATGAATACACTGGGTCCTGAACTGTTTAAAGGAATGCTCTAGGCATCATAACCACTTCATATCAGTGGTTATGGTGCCTAGAGTCCCCTGACCCCTACCAAGTGTTTAGTATAAAACTGTTTTCAAGTACTTTAGCACAGCATAAGAAACTCCAGAATGCGCACATCCCTTCTCATTGTGGAATACATGTCTAATGCACAGAATATTCAGCTGGTATAAAATTTATAATGGCAGTGGGTGTCAGTCACAGGCTGAGAGTTGTCAGCTAATGCATTAGCAGCAGAGGGACTGGACTGCAGGTGGCCAGGGACCCACTACCTGTGTCAACCCAATCAGAAACAGTGGGGCAGTGAGTCAGGGGACTCCAGGCACTATAACAAATCAATGGGATTAAGTGGATGCTCACAGAGTCAGAGAATTCTCAGAGATCCGAGACTTTTGAGAGTTTTTACTTGAATTGTAAATTAACACCTTAAGGACACATGACATGTGTGACATGTCATGATTCCCTTTTATTCCAGAAGTTTGGTCCTTAAGGGGTTAAACAGATTAGTCAGATTATTACAGTTGTTTTTATATATAAACATTAAAATTATGTAAATTAAATAAAAGCTCAGTCCTGTGACTATATGATGCAAAAAATTCAAATATATTTACAAGTAGATATAACATATTGAAAGGCAGTTTAAAGGGAAACTACAAAAACGCCATAACTGCTAAAGCTTATTGTAAAGATCGTGGTGCAAAGGGTTTTTTCTGTGTGTGCGTGTCAGTGTGTGATGAACACAGACACAGTTTACACACACAAAGTATACAGACAATGACACATTGCTTTACACACAGTATACAAACACTTATTTAGAAACTATACACACAATGACACATACTGCTCTACACAGATCATGCACATCACATATTACTACTTACACATTCACACACAGTAGACAAATAACATACACAGTGTGCTATACACATACGATGACAGACACACAATGCTACACGCACAGTCAGATATAGTACACACATTGTAAACCGTTTTTTACTGATTACGTAATTTTCCATTTCCAATAATTTTTTCCCTTAACATCTTGGTGACACAATTATGCAAATTAGAATGGCCGATATTTATTTTCAAGAAAGGTGGAAACCCTGGATATACAAATACGCATACCAATACTTAGGGATAGACCCTGCCTATGCTTACGGTCTAAAAAACTCACCACAAAATGCATCCCCATTCTGGAAATTCTTGCCATTCTGAGCATCTTCCTCGTTCTGTACTGTAGATACATGCTTAGCCGAAGCACATCCCATATTTAATCAGTCAGCTCTAGACTGACTGATTGGAAAAAACATTTCTAATGAAACGTTGGCAAGCTGTGCCAGGAACTCAAAGATGCATCCACCATTGTTGAACCTATGGGTGAGAAAAAAAAAAAAAAAAAAAGGGACATCTGATTAAACTCTAGATATATATCTTTTCTTCTGGGATGCAGAAACATTTAACTATATTGTCGCTTCTCAACAAATGACAGAGTCCAATAGTAATTTTTGGAAAACAGTGGTCAAGGGGGGATGGATTTCTATTGGTTGTTAAATACCTCCACATGTTTTAGGTGTCCATATACAATCCTTCTGCTTTTGAACATCATCCCATAATCCTCTGCTAACCTGAGGCTAATTGACATGGTTGCCTATTCATGACTTCTGGTCAACATCCACCTCAATTATATGTAGTTCCAAAATTGCTCAGAAATCAAATAATTCTGGGAATTGCATTAAAGCGGCACTGCCACTATCTGTGGACTTGGCACAATTTGCAAACAGCCCCAATGGTGAATTTGCTGCTGGGGAACCGGTGGCCGGGAGGGGGAGGGAGCAGGCAAAGGTGAGTTTAACTTACATTAGCCTGTCCCTTGCAGGTGCCACTGTCTTCTTCTGGCTGGTCCTCTTTGCCAAAATAGGAGCTGTTACTTCACTGCCAGGAGCCGACATCACCACTATACTCTTCTGCATGTGGGAGAGTACAGCATTGAGGTCTATGAAGGATCTTTTGAGACCGTGGATTCATCCATAGATAGAGCCAATTCCCTTGGAGGGGTGACATTTTAAGATGGAGGTGGCTCCGCCCTGGGTCTAGGAGTGTATATATTTTAACTGGGATGGAATTTCAGTGAAATTCCAACACAGTCAACATGAATATTTCATAACGATTATATTTTTATATAAGTAGCCAAGGTCATTGGAGACGTTTGATTATTTTAGCCTAAACTTTGCAATTTGCTTGGTAATTTTCCACAACTCCTGGCTTAGTGAATATGCATTTGGTTTACAGAATGTCCCCTCTTTACTGAATGTCCTAACTGAGCTTATAGATCCTTTCTCCTCGCGGTCACTGAGCTAAACCTCTCTCACATGGATAAACGGATGGAGATGAATTTCGTTTCTCCTGGATATTCCTCTTTAATATTTCACATCCTTTCACGCCCATTGCCCTCCTCCCTACTTATTTTCGTTCTTTTTTGAATGTGCTGTCTGAATTATTTACTTTCTATTGCCTTTTGTACATGGTCTGTTCATAAACAGACAGTTACAAAGTTATATCCTGTTCTCCAGACCTTTAATAGTGTTTTATGTCTGGGAGGTTCTTATGTTCTTTCCATTTATGTTAAGCAACCATTTATGGCAACGTACCCAGTTTGCAGATTCTTGTGACAAACATAAAAATGTGTAACTCTGATATCCAAACTCAAGGTTTTTGCTCCCCCTCCCAAAATGTGGTTTTCTGTTCAAAGGTTTTACACACAACATGAAAAATGTATTAATACTTTATATAGTGATAATTTAAAAAAAGTAAATAATTATATTAAAATATGCTTTTTAACTGTTTTAAGCAAACTAAATTTGTGATATGGTAGGTAATATATTGCAGCTTTGGAGCGTAGTCTAACACAACGTACAGCACAATGTAAGAATCACAGTATATAAGTTAACCTATAAGAATGCAGATATTGTATGAGTTATTTCTATTAAGGTGGGGGGGGGGGGATATCATTAGAAACTCTTACTTCCTTAAAAGGGCACTGCTATTTAATACAAACCCAATTAAGAATGTTAAAATAAAATATAAGAACATTTTAAATCCTGCATTGTAAATATGTAAATTACATTTGAGATCTAACATTTTCAGTATGTAGTGATCCATGAAAATTTGAAAAGGTTTCTTTTTTATTTCATTGACAACAAATTGCATTTTTTAATTTGCTTGCAGGATGCAGTCACGTACACCAACACCACTTGTGAGCTAATTCATCATGGTCAGGATTCCAAATGCGCTACTGTGAAATCCATTGTTTTTTGGAGGGGAAGGTTTTTTTTTTTTTTTACTGAAATTTCACTTAAGTTAATGTGAATACCAGATTTGGATGGGGGAAATGTATAAAATATATATATAAATATTTTTTTTCTGGATAACGAAAAGGAATTTATTTGCAACACTGAAATTAACTAAGTATATATATAAAAAACAACATTCTCCATTATACCACGACAATGTGATAGTCTGTGTCTTCAATTACATTTGACATTGAAGTGGTATGTACTAACATGTTGCAATATAGTGAATTATTTTGCCTTCTTTGCTACTATAACCCTAGAGTTGGATTAAGATGCCATAGGACTCTACATAGGTTGACAGGGCCCACCCTTCATTCTTCATATGGGCATGGTGAAAGTAGCCATAAGCAGTCAACTAAAGTCACCTTATGGTTAAAGGGACACTATAGACACACAAACCACTTTATCTCATTGAAGTGGTTTGGGTGCAGTGTCCCTGTCCCACTTGAGGCAATGTTGTATTTTATAAGGTATGCAGGGGCTGGATTCAGAATGGTATAACGTACGTGGGGGCCAGATTCAGTATGGTGTAAGGAATGTGAGGGCCAGATTCAGTATGGTGTAAGGTAGGGCCAGATTCAGTATGGTGTAAGGTATGCGAGGGCCAGATTCAGTATGGTGTAAGGTATGCGAGGCCCAGATTCAGTATGGTGTAAGGTATGCAAGGGCCAGGTTCAGTACGGTGTAAGATATGCAGGGGCTGGATTCAGTATGGTGTATGATATGAAAGGGCCGGACTCTGTACGGTCTAAGGTATGCAAGGGCTGGATTCAGTGCCGAGAAGTCCTGCAAGCGTGAGTTGGCCGTACGGGTGCGGACAACGGACAGGAGGTGGTCACGGGCAGAGCGGAGAGACCGAGAAGGGACATACCTATGGATCTGTGAGGAGATATAAGAGGGGCTAGAGTTGTTCAGTGCTTTATAGGTGTGAATTAATACCTTGAATTGACTCCTATAGCATACAGGAAGCCAATGTAAGGGCTAGCAGAGGGGTGAGGTGTGAGAGAACCGACTAGAGAGGAAAATCAGTCTGGCAGCAGCGTTCATTATGGACTGTAGCGGTGCAGTACGGCTTTTGGGAAGACCAATCAGGAGAGAGTTACAATAATCCATGCGGGAAATTACTAGAGCATGGACAAGCTCCTTGGTAGTATTTGGTGCAACAAAGGGGCGGATGCGGGCTATGTTTTTAAGATGGAATCTACAGGATTTGGCAACATGCTGGATGTGAGGCTCAAAGGTGAGGCCAGAATCAAGTATGACGCCAAGACAGCGCGCTTGCAAGGATGGACTAATGTGGGTACCACAAACTTGAAGGGAGAGCGAAAGAGGAGGATCAGTATTAGGAAGAGGAAAGAAAAGGAGCTCAGTTTTAGAGAGATTGAGTTTCAGAAAGCGGGAGGACATCCAGTCCGAGATGGAAGAAAGGCAAGCAGTGACATGTTGCAGGGCAAGGTGGTCTGGGGAGGAGAGATATAACGGGGTGTCATCAGCGTACAGGTGGTAGTGGAATCCAAAAGAGGTAATATGTTTGCCAAGAGAGGCAGTATAGAGAGAAAATAGAAGGAGACCAAGGACAGAGCCTTGGGGGACTCCAACCAAGACAGGACGAGGGGAGGAGGTATCATTAGAAAAGGAGACACTGAATGAGCGTTGGGAGAGATAAGAGGAAAACCACGAGAGGACAGAGCCACAAAGACCAAGTGATTGAAGAGTTTGAAGAAGGAGAGCATGATCAACGGTGTCAAAGGCCGCAGAGAGGTCAAGAACAATTAGTATGAAGTAGTGGCCTTTGGATTTAGCTGTGATTAGGTCGTTAGTAACTTTGATAAATTTTAAATGGAATGAGGCAAAAATGTGATTCTTTGTTAAACTAATTTGCATATGCCCACCCAGAATCCTTTGCGGTAGTAACATCACTGCAGATTTGGGTATTCTGTGAAAAAAGCAAGTCTTATGGCTTGACTGGTGTGCAGATTTTTGTTTAACATTGTATTTTATATATATACACACACACACACACACGTTGGAAGGCCATTAGGCCTAAATTTGTGGGAGGAGTTATGATCCTATATCCTATATAAACACTACCCCCACTTACCTTTGTTGTGCAAGCTGTTTGTCTCCATAGTTACCTGCACTTCCGGTCGCTGTTCCCGCCAGCCCTGCCTCGAACAAACACTCTGTCTTCAGCAGCTCCTGCCGCCAACCTCTGGGCTCTTCCACCGCCCCGCTGTATTACTGCCCCGCAGTATTCCTTACTCGTTACCAGGCTTTCTTGCTTCCGGGCACACACACGTAAGCATTAACGTGGGAAATAGCGTTCGGCTATTTCCCACATTCAGGCCTAAAAATGCGGGGACAGGCTCTATATATTACTTACCCGTTCGTATCATTCTGCTGTTTGTGTACTTCTGCGTCCGTGCGGCTATTATACTCACCTACGTTCGCCTGTTTCTTACATACGTTCACTAGCCGAAAAACGTACAAACGGCTGTTTTACTAGCTTTTAGTTTTTCCTAATTTATCACATCCGGTCCTGTTATATCCCTCTTGCACTTTCATTAACCGTACGCATGAGGTTTTATGCAGTTATTTGTATAATTTTAAGTATGTTCCTTTTATAAAACATATGTACACAGTTTTCCCTATGTTTTCCTTAAATCAGTGGGTCACTATTCATCACCCATAGTCACTTTTAATTATGCATAAATTCCATGGTGCATTCTCTTAAAGACACAGTTGGCCCCCTTACGCTTTTTTGATGTCAATAGGTCAAGCCCATCAAACCGCTTAAATTTATCCAGCTCCACGCTCAATTTGTTCATTAGCTCTTATTTCTAAATCTCTATTTATATTAAAAACACTATACTCTGGTTCCTTATTTTTAAATAATGAACATGTTTTAGGTTCTACTACTCTTCTTCAAGAAAACTCCAGGAGGTGGTTCCAGTATCCCGTCTCACGGTATCAGGTAAAAAAAAGGTTGACATTTTTTACGTTTCTCCTGAGGCCTCATTCAGCCTCCACAGCCTTTTTTACTATCCCCTCCCACCTCCCACAGTGGGTTCTAACTTCAAACACACCAGGTCTAAAGATGCCTCACCCTCCATGTTACTATTATATTAATATGTTAAATTTTTTATCATTTCTACATATCATTACTTAGACCTGCACCATGTCGCAGATTCACTACGACATCAACAAACTAACAGGCTACCTGGTCCCTGACGTATCAGTATCAGGTATCATTAATCTTACTAACTACGATTATGTTCCTTCTAAGGCCTCACTTTGCCTTCGTATCTTTCACAAGTGATGCACATTTGTTGGAATCTAGGGGCTTGTCTCAAAATATTTGGACCAACGTTCAGGTCCCTCAGCTTACACTGGTTCTTACGCTACAGTTTCGTTGTTACACTCCTTTCCATACATTCTACATTTTTACACTTGGCATACCAGTGGCACGCCTCAGGCTTGCTAGCATCCTTTTACCCCTAGGTTCCTGGACTGGACCTGTTCTTCGCAGTATATATATATTTTTATATTTATATTTATATTGAAGTCGCCCTGAGCATAGTCTAAATATACAGGACAAACACTTAAGGTCAGTATCTACATACGTTACATACTTCCTTTCTAGAGACAAGCCCCGTCAGGTTAGAGAACTGGCTTTCAGGGTTAGGCGCTGGCCCTAGCTTTCCCAAATAATACTGCGGTCCGCGAGGTCTACACCCCCACCTCATACACGGAGGTTCAGCCCCACGACCAAATCATAGCTCGCTCTTCTTTGGGCTACAGTTAGGGCTTCCCAAGTCACAGTCACACGTTTTGAATCTCTGTCACCGAGAGGCCAACATCCTGCCACCTCGTTCTGGTGGCCACAAAACCCCCTCTGCCCAAATCATAGGTAGAGCCTCTCACCGCCACTTGGCAATAGCAGGGCCTCACCTGTCACTTGGTCATAGGTTAATTCTTTGCCTCGGCACTAGCTAGCAGGCCAGTTCTCCGGAGGTCTCATTCCCACCTTTACTACACCTTACTTCCAAATCATTTCTTTTCAGAATGTCACAAGAATCTATCCCAATAATCGGTCTACTGTTGGACGAAATACCCAGCACACCAGTCAGGCCTGGGTCTCCGAAGGAATCTCTCACCCTTTCTTTGTTCGTTCCCTTCTTTGTTCGTTCTATACATCCATAACCCTCATACAGCCCTATTTTGCCACCCAGCAGCTCAGGACTAACATTAAGCACTCTGCCTTCCACTACAATACCTCTACACATGGCCCTCACTCCATACGTTTACACACGGCCCACTACAGGCACTATGGCAATTTCGGCCCCACATTTGAGCAATTACATACGTCTAATTTCGAATACACGAGGGATAAAGAATACAACCTTTCATACTACATTCCTAATATTACGCACGACCTCGTTAGGCCCACGCATGTCTTTTCCCTCTCTCGGCACACACGAGAACCCAGTACCTATCACTATGCTTTTAACATATCCAGGCTTCTTGGGTCTGTCACAAATGTAACTGTTTAGTCCCTCTTACCACTCCTTCATCCCAAGCACTAGACTGGGAGGCGGGCAGAAGGACAAGCGGGGCTGACCATTAATTTCCGGGCAAAGCGTGGGCGAGCTATGACTTTAATGCTGGGGTATGCTATTTTCACTACATACAGGGTATCACACATCCACTTCATTTGCTCCAGAACTCACACCTAGTTCACATATACAGCCCGTCTGTCACCCAAGATACACCTAACTAGGTCAACATTGACATCCTGGTATACTATCTGCATTTACACCCAGCTAGGCATATGGTAGATTCTGATGCCGGGTTTCTCAAAGAGGTCTCACACGGGCCTTGGCGCCAACCCCACGGGTACACTCGTATGCCCTAACCTATTATCTACATCTATTGACTCACGTATGGTGGACCCACTTCTGTCCACAGCAATCATATGCTGGTTTCACGATCGGCCCTTTCCGGTCTTCACGTTTTCTCATCTTGGTGTACCACTCCCATCGGGGTAGCCATTCACAGTACCCAAATACGTTTGATCATAGACCTCTTCGCACCGCCCACTGCAGAAACCCTCTGCTGGCCGCTCCTAAATATATTCAGGTGTCCATCAGTCATCCACGTTCTGGATACATTTTTGTTGATTTCACGGGTTCACAAACACCTAACAGTATTTACACCACCACAGCCCCCCCTTCTGAGGAATAGTATTGGACTCCACTACTTTCCAAGCCAGCCTCCCACACGTTCTGTTCCGCATTAGGAATGGATTTGTCCTGCTCCTGCGGAGTGTTGCGCACAATAGGAGGGGGATTCAGTCCTGGTTTAGGCCCCTCAACTTTGTTGTGCGTATCATTCTGCAGGGTTGGTCTCTTGTCCCTGGGCTACTTAAATTTGCTCCACGAGGTACCAACCCCTGCCCAACCATTTGGGCGATCCAGCCAGGGCAGTTTTACACAATTGGAGTAGTTTTTCGGCCGCATGGATTTGGATCTCTTCGGTCATTCCCCCACTTTCGATTCACACAGACGCAGCAGCACACACAGGGTTTGCAGCTTTTTTTCGGCAACCACTCGTTAGGGATGCCTGGCCCACTGAGTCGGATGCCTTGCCGGTCTTTGGAGAGACCTCTACTTTGTTGGAGATCTACCCTTTCGTGGTGGCCTCCCTCACTCTGGGTCATCTTTGGACCAGCAAGGCAGTGGAATGCTGCTCTGACGACTCCTCAGCCTGCGATTTCATTAGCAAGGGCGGTCATACTCACCGCCACTGTGGCTGATTCACCGGCTGATTTGGCAGATAGCAACCCCTCAGCTCTTTCTGGTCTACATTTACATTCCTGGTGTCCACTACACAGCCGCTGACACTCTCACACGCTCTCATTTTTTTTTTTTTTTTAAATTTGACAATTTTTATTGTTTTCGAGCGGGGGGGGGGGAAGGTAAAAAATAGATTCCATCAATGCACTGTATCCACTGTCATACAACTGGCAATTAAAATATATACAATATACACAATATATACATGTCGTACACATTCTATACCTATCAAACAGTATGTTCTGCTTCCTCTATGGGACAAAGTACTGCGGTCGTACACTTAGCGTGTCCCTATGGGGAGACCTAATAATAATTACTTCTAGCTCTCTCTCTCCGTGTCCTCCCGGTGGTTTGCTGAATGCGGATTGTCGCCCACCAGGTAAGTACAATCGCCTGCACCCGACAGGTGCATACACAGTTATTTATAGGTACATTCACAGTTATAGGTACATTCACATATTACGCGATCTCCATGAGTCCCACATATCCCATGTTTCCAAGGAAGTATGATTAGGTTGGAATAATGTTTTTAATCCTTTCTCATACGAGCATTGTGTATCCAGATCTGTGAGTATACGTTGTACAGGGGGTCTTCTTTCAGGCACTCCCTATGATCCACTACATATCATCGGGGATACCACCATTCCATGAGCTAATCTTGGACTAAGCACACAATTACACCATATACAGGTACCCTCGATCACGCAGTTTCACGACTACTCTATCACTCACGCCAGGGCCTTGTATATTGTACATGTCACAATTAGAGTTTGCTTGAATTAAGACTTTTGCAGTTAAATATGGTTATTTTTTGCCTCTTTCTCCTAAGTGTTGGGGCCACGGGCAATCCTCAGCGCAGTTACATATATATCTCAATCAGAGTAAAAGTTCCTCACAAGCTTTCAGGGTTGCTGTCTGCCAAATCAGCCTGCGAATCAGCCACAGTGGCGGTGAGTATGACCGCCCTTGCTAATGAAATCGCAGGCTGAGGAGTCGTCAGAGCAGCATTCCACTGCCTTGCTGGTCCAAAGATGACCCAGATGACCCACGCTGTATAAACTTGCATAAAGTGTGTTTTCTTTGATCCTCTTTTGCCCTCTTTTACAGGCCTACTCGTACGTTGGTTTCGGCACACCTCAACCAACTTTGCTTCTCCTTCTACATCCCATTACATATTAGATAAATTCCGAGCACAAGTTGGAAGGCCATTTGGCCTGAATTTGTGGGAGGAGTTATGATCCTTTATAAACCCGACCCCCCCACTTACCTTTATCATGCAAGCTGTTTGTCCCCACCCACCTACACCCATCTATATTAACAATTCACTTTTGTGGGCCCTCTTTTACAGGCCTACTCGTACGTTGGTTTCAGCTCACCTCAACCAACTTTGCTTCTCCTTCTACATCCCATTACATATTAGATAAATTCCGAGCACAAATATATAAACACACACACACACATATATATATATATATATATATATACATATACATACACACACACACACAAGGCTAGGATTCCTTGCACTCAGGCTGTAAATAAATAAAGTGGCCGGGTGCACCCTACTGATGCTTTTTAATGCTGTGTAATATTGTAGTTATCCGTTTTATAGTATTGTAGTTAGCACTGTTGGTTTAAACACTCAGAAGCATTGCACTTTACCATTTTCACATTCACTGCGACACTCCCACTTTGCATTTTTCATTTGTTCTCACAAGCACTTTAACTAACAGTAAAAGCCTAATTTGCATGCTTGCACTTTGACTTGAAACACAGCAATGATGTAATCTTTTTGATTGTATAGGATTTCCTAGATACTGCACTGAATTTGCACTTAGTATCATACTTTCACTTATCTATCTTTTACAATGGTTTAACCCGGCACCGGGCGATCACTGTTTAATGTACACGTTCCCATAGTGACACCTAACAAGCCGCATCGCTATAACAACGACGACGGCATCATGACGTCACAATTAGGGGTGGAGTCATCTTGAGCATGTGCACGGAATCCGTCAGGACGCCGGTCTGAACACTTTGCACCTGGGGTAAAGTGAATAACCTAATTTATCTTTCCTATATATACACTCACATTGTCTGTTATGTGTATAAGTATGATCCTGAAGAAAGTCCCTATTTGGGACTGAAACATTCATCCTGATTTTAATCATTTTGCAATAAAAGTAATTTTTTATTGAAAGACATGAGTGCAGCTGTTTACATATAGAATTTATATATATTATATATATATATACATACACACACACACAGGCGTGCACAGCCTATTGCATTAGGGTGTGCACCCTACAGCACAAACACACGCTGCGTGTATATGTATGTATATATATATATATATATATATATATATATATATATATATATATATATATATACATAAACACACACACACACTGCTGTGTGTTTGTGTGCTGTGTGAGGGTGGTTTAAGGGTGCTGTGTGTGTGTGAGGGTGTTTGTGTGTGTGTGTGAGGGTGCTGTTTCTGTGCTGTGTGTTTGAGGGTGCTGTATGTGTGTGGGTGCTGTATGTGTGCGTGCTGTCTGTGTGTGCAGGTGCTGTGTGGGGGTGGAGGTGGGGGTACATTACTTAATATCCTCCCTCCCTTCTTACCTTATGTAGGGAGGGGGGATTCTTGTTCCTGCTGCTTTCCCTGGTGGTCCAGTGGAGAGTAAACTCTAGCCCCTGTGGGGAGAGAGTTCACTCTCGCGAGATCTGAGCGTCAACCAAGCATCTTAAAGGCAAAGCGACACTCGCATCCTCTCATTGCGAATTGCCATCCCCGCGGTACCTGCCTAATGGCGGCATACTATTTTTTTTTTTAAATAGCATAGCAGCACGGAGCCTCAATTTTGAGGCTTGATTATTAGGGAGTGCCCACGCACACCCAGCACACCCCGTGTGCACGCCTATGCAGGGCACCCAGGGGCTAGATGCACCAAGGTGGAGGAGAGGACAAACATTGTAAAATTTAGGAGGGTATCATGACCTGGTGCCATACTATTTTTTTTTTTTTACTGGCCTATTGTTTGTACAACCCCAGTCTAAAGAAACCCAAGTGAAACATTTAGTTATGTATAGAGGATTGGAGTGGGTTTGTTGGAACAAAGATTTGAAGAGCTCATGTTCGATACACAGTAACAAAAAAAAAAAAATGAAAATGCAGTAGTAAGTATACTGGGAGTTATGCAGAAAAATGCAATATTTCTACAAAATGGAAATTAGAAGCCAATTTTTCATGTGTCATGACATTTTAACAATATGCCACATATCAACCAGTTATCAGTCAGGATAATCGACTCTGTTCTCCCCCTCAGGGTATGGATGACATGTATTGAATAAACTCGATTGAAGCTTGTGACAGACTCATGGTCTCAGAGGCGCAGATTGTGTTTTACAGTAGGTCACATCAGTAAAAATCCCAGCCTTCACTTATATACTGGAATGTATTCCAACTCCTTGTGCGTTAATAGGTCTGTAGCTCAGCTTCCTTGCTCTAATTAATCCCCCATGTGATGGGCTTACCCGACCATGAACAAAATCCTCTCTCCCTTTCATATATTTTACATGACATATTATTTGATATAACGTGCAGATCACGTTTTGAGTACCATGAGGTCATCAGTGCAATTTATTTTAATAATGCATTAATCGTATCGGAGCAGTTTGGGGTCCCTAATCCGCTTGAGATTCGTGGGAGTTACAGTTAGCTTTATAATGACAGATGTTGAAGTAGCAGCCCCCTGGCTCTCTAACTCCTACTAATTTCAGGCAGCACTGTGATGTTTATGTCCTAGTGCTGATTTTACCATAACATCTTTCTTAATTCCTGTACCACTCAAACACACTATACTATGCTATCACTTTAACCATTAAACCCTATCCTAAGCATTAACCCATGCACTCCAAAAAGCTAACAAAATCATGTAACATGAACTATACAGAACGGCAAAAAATAATACAATTTCAGGGTTCTAGGGGGAATTTAAAAAAAACTTGGCCTTCTGTCTTATGGTTTATTACAATGAACTCTGAACATTTTGATGGTATGGTTTTCCCATAATACTTGGTCCTCTATATAATAACTTTTGGTTTCATATGTAATTATATTTGGAAGTCCGGGCCAACTCCCTGGTTTGGTAACCCTCCTTGTTACAGGTGCCTCATTTCACGGCCCTGTTTAACCTTGTCCTGCAAAAGAGCCCCAAGAGGAAGGTTTTCCCAATCAGTGGATTAATTGAATAGTTACATAGCTGAAAAGAGACTTGCGTCCATCAAGTTCAGCCTTCCTCACATATGTTTTTGCTGTTGATCGCTATAGAAGGCAAAAAAAACTAGTCTGAAGTGCTTCCAATTTTGCAACAAACTAGGAAAAAATTCCTTAATGACCCCAAAATGGCAGTCAGATGTCTCCTTGGATCAAGCAGCTATTACCCCACTAATTAGAAAATATATATCTGTATGTTATGTTTTAGCAAGTATTTATCCAATTGCAGTTTAAACATCTGTATAGACTCTGATAAAACCACCTTGTCAGGCAGAGAATTCCATATCCTTATTGCTCTTACTGTAAAAAAACATTTTCTTTGCCTTAGATGAAATAATAATAGGAATAAGAGCAGCCATTTGTTTGCTAGAATAGGACCTGCTAAGAATGGGGTTCATTGAAGTTGTGGCAGGCTTATGATCATATACTGTAACTAAACCCCCATTATGTTTGGCTAGGTGAGGTTTCCACAAAAAACAAACCAAAAAACCCACCAGAAACCTTGTGAGCTTTGAGTTTAGTGAATGAGTGCACCCGATCTTGTATGACACACACACACAATAAGCCGGTGACCATTATTGGATACACAAGAGATATACAATTATTTGGAATGAATTGGCTATAGAAAAATTCCAATGAAATTGACAAGTTGGAACTTTAAAAGGTTTAACTTCTCAAAAAGGTGGTTAATGCAATGAGAAATTCTTATAAAAAAAAAAAAGAAAAAAATACAAAAAAGATGGTTGTGTACCAGAACACGTGTATTCAAAACACTGCAATGTTTTTAAAAGCTCCCAGACCACTTCATTGAAATGAAATAGTCTGGGTGACTTTGGCATCCCTTTAAAAATGTTAAAGGGAAGAGGAGAAAAAGACCTGGTAAATCTGTGGTATACTTTGCTGATACTTCACAAATACAGCTGGAATTTCAGAACCTGTTTGATACAATCTGATACTGCATGCTAATGCTTGAAAAATCAACTTTTCTGAATCTTCTTAAAGGGACACGAGAAAATTCATAGGACATACAAAGCTGTAAATTTATTGATTAAGAATCCTCCTTCCAGGGAGACCAAGAGAAACTCCAGTAGTGTTTCATTAAAATGCAAGTGCACTGCCCAAGGCACAGAATGATGCCAGATGCAAGATTTTTTCAATAAAATAGATATAGAAAAAAAAACAAGAAAAAAACAAAAAACTGTTTTGCAATCCTACGTCCTTTTCAATCACACACCTAGGACCTAATTATTTGCTGGTGGCCTCCATTCACTTGCGTGAGCACTTTCCAGTCATCTTTACCTGTAAATAAAACATCATACCTTAAGAAGTAAAAAGGGACAAAATAGGTACCCAGACCAATTTATCTCAGTGAAGTGGTCTGGGCGCACTGTCCCTACCCCCCTACTTTGCAGCTGCAAAAATTGCAATTTTAGAGAAACTGCCAGACAGCCACCAGAGGAACATCCTGCTGTTTATCAGAGTTTAATCCTCTGTCAAACAACGCTGGAGGTCCCCAGGCTTTGTAGAGGACATCCAGTGTCTTTTAAATCCCAATAGGAAAGCATGGATTCAATTCTTTCCTATGGGGAAGGCCTAATGCACATGGCGCTCCCTGCACACAAGATTCCCCCTCGCAATGGCATCAGAGGAGGCAAAGACGGAGCTAACGCTGAGGGACCTTGATGCTAGAATAAGGTTGGAAGAGGAGTGTAAGGGTAAAAGGGAAATTTATATTCCTAACACTATAGCATTAGAGATACAGACATGGATTCCCAAGACTAGTTTTAACCCAACTAATATGGTATCACCCCCATCCTGCTGTGTGAGGGTTTGAAAGGTATTACTATTACTCCCTTTTAGCCCTCGTTGAGCCAGTCTTGTTAGGCTAGTGCGCATGTGTGGTATAACACCATGCTGCGCCAATCAAGTGGTCTCTATGAATCCATCTGATTAAATAGCCAAACTGAACTCTGTTATGGGGCAGAAACGCCTCTAGTGGCTGTAATGGAAACAGCCACTAAAGGCATTTCAACCCAGCAATGATTTCACTTACATGGTTAAAACCTGAGGGACATGGCACCCACACCACTTCATGGAGATGAAATGGTCTGGGTGCCTATAGATTCCCTTTCAGTCTATAATCTTTGGCACAGACTTTTTTTTTATCTGAAATCCTGGCCTTCTCTCAACCACTGGCCTCGAGGATGAAAGATCCTGTGAGGTAGCTCACAGAATTTACATATTCCTTCTCAATTCCAGTTGATTGAACAGCTCGGTAAGATAACATCAATCATTGATAACGAGAAGCTAAAATCATTTGGGTTTATTCAGCACACTATGCTGTTTTGTTTTGTCTTTTTATTATACTTGATAAAAAGTAATCATTTGTTTCAATCATAACTCCAGTAAAATAAAGAAAAAAAAAATTCCAGAGCAAGAAAAAAACAAATTAGATTACCTAGAGTAATATATATTTTTTATTGATACTTTGTATCATGTCTACACAAATAGATATAAATAAAACAATGAACAAATTATGTCCATGGATCATATAAACATATTTATACTTTTTTTTTTTTTTTTTAATTCCTAAAATGGTGATATTTGCACAGTTCTACAAACACAAGTGACTATTATATTTAGTCACAACATGCAAATGTGTTCTTAGAAAAAAAAAAAAAAACTCCCAGCTGTCTTTGCATTTATAGCAAAGTACTGTCGCACCCACACAGTGACGCAGGCCTTGGTAGCTAAAATCAGTATACATTCTGCTTTCAAGATGCTGCCAATATACGTTGTTATGGAAACATCTAATTCATGACTATTTATTTTGCAATGCCCTCTGTTAAGTGTATCCAGCTATGTCACAAATTCTTGATGGGAAAACAGGTTCATGGTTATAGTACCTAGCTTAACGGCACTGTAATAAGAAATGTTATAATAAGGTTTGCAAAAGACTAGTTTTGTACAGTGTTGCAAAATATGTTGGTGATGAATTTATATTGCACAAGGGAAGCTCTCTCAGTGTTCTGTCTCACCCCATCCTGTTTCAAAATTGGTCACTGTATGCCTCATGTGCAGGGTAGAATGTGAATCATGAAAGGATAGACCATTGTAGAGCATGTTAAAGTAACACAGCAAGCAGCATAACAAATACAGCATGTTGTAATGATTATGGTGCCAGGAGTGCCCAACAGCTTTCAAAATTAAAGCAAACCGTGCAATAGAGGAAGTCTAAACATTAGATCTTACTTTACAGGAAGTGTTTAGGAAGGCTGTGCCCATTACACGCAAAAAGGTGTGGCTAAGGCTGCATCAACAAAGTGATCTAACTCCTAAATGCAGAGAAATGAGCAGTGAAACTGCAGGGGCATGATCTATACACCAAAACTGCTTCATTAGGCTAAAGTTGTTTTGGTGACTATAGTGTCCCTTTAACAAACACGCTCGTATTGGTTATGCATGAAATGAACCTTTTAGAGTCCTGGGTAAGCAAAACAGGATCAACATTAATACAGATCACTAAACAGAAATGTTTTGGCTAAAAGTTGCCTTTGACAAACCACGAGGCTTGTCCAGTCTTTTTTGAGTGCCTAGTACTTTGTCACACTCCAACTTGTGTGACACTGGATGAGCCGTCTTGTTATACACATGTGCTTTTCATCAATGCAAGTTCACAAGGTTCATAGGGAAAGCTAGAGGTGCTACGGGTATGATCTACTTTAAACTACTACTGATCTACTTTAACCCAATTATTTTTTCAACTCCAGTTAGCATAAGACATATATTAGAATATTACAATATTAGGGGATTTAGACGGTCCTTTTATTCTGCAACTTATGTGAATTCTCAAGTTCTTTGCGCCTTTTAGACATATCTAGCCAACCCATTTGTGTATGTATATGTGTGTGTGTATATTAGCTGTGTTAGTCCAGTAGCATTATATATATATATATATATATATATATATATATATATATATATATATACACACACACACACACACACACACACACACACACACACTTTTTTTTTAAATGCACAAGTGAACATATCCCATAAACCCCCACTTGGCATATATTCGTATACGGAGCTTTTGTAGAAATCAAACTGCAAACACGGTTTCAGTGACGGAGCCTCTTTAGCTGAAATAAATTACATACAAGATCTTACAAAATGCTCCTTTGGAGAAAAAAAAAATCTATTCGGTTTCGCACATGATGGTCATTGAAGGTGCAGCAGAGATTACTTTTCTCTAGGAGAGAAGCAAGTGACGTAATTTGTTCCACACATGAGGTTGGACAATGAAGCAACACTCTATTCCTCATTATAGCTGAGAGAGAAGCCGTAAAATTGGATTTAGGTGTGGTGCAAGCTTCTTTAAAAGAACACTCCTAGTCAACCCCAGTTTTGTTATACATTATATAATGTTAAACAAAAAAACACAAAAACTAAAATATCCAGACAGCAATCCTAGCCCTTCTATCATTTTCTAAGGGAATGCTGAATATATCCCTTGAACACTCATGCAATTCAGCATCAGATCTAGTCATCGGAAAAAGAAGAATTAAACTTATGCCTAAACGGACAGCAGCCACAACTGCTATCATTTTACATACAGCACCATTATTGAGGACAAACACAAATCTGTAGACATGACACACAAACCTGAAAACTTCCACTTGTGATACATTTAGTGAGAAGATTGGCTTGTAGCTTTGGGGAGTTTTGCAAAATAGACATACAGGGACAGAGGATCTCCTTGCGTCCTAATCTAAAACTAGGAGCCTAGTTGTCTCTGTTGCTTGGGATGGTCCTTTACAGTGAACCTGCAGTGCAATTTTGGACTTCATTTAAATCTCCCCCGCCCCGTCCACTCTTAATACATCATATATCACAAAGATTGTCATGTAACAACCTACCTCCGGTCCGTCCAGTATCCGGCAGATCCTTTATTTATTTAGCCCTGCTTGGGGACACATCCATAAACAGGGCAAGCCTCCTGTGTGACGTTGCCAGCATGTTGGCGTCTAAACAGAGTGACATCTTGACATCAGTCACTCTGTTCATATACTCCCCAGCCAGCGCAACCAGGTTCAGCTAGGGTGTTTCCATAGCAACTGCAGTGCATGTGCTGTGTTTGCTATGCTTCGGAGGGCAGAAGGACACTACTGTTGATCTCTCTGCTCTCTCGTCAGTCAAAAACTCAGAGTCTAAGCTGAAGACTTGACTGAAAAGTGGTATAAAAACAAAAACTATTTTTAAAGAAATGTTTCCCTCAATCTGTACATTTGCTAGCAAAACTGCTAGTACAATGTATAGATTAAATCTTATTTTCTTTAAAATGAGCATGTTGTAGGGGTGGGTTACCCTTTACTTAAAAGATTGGTATGTGTACTTTTTTAATAAAGGGGAGTAATACAAGATCTTTTAATAATGGCTTTCTTCACTCAGAGGCTTTCTGTAACAAAGCCCTGCTGGGTTTTCGGAAAATTTCTAAATTTCAAAATTCTTGAACTTGGGAAGTGCTGGGTTATTTTTAAAAATAGAAAGACTAATGGAAAGGTGCCCAGTTTATGTCCAATGTAGCAACAACAAGTTTTTCGTCCACATCCGAATGCTTTTATTATCATTTATACAGCACCAAGATATTCCACATCACTTGATAATACGTTGGGGATATTAAACAAGTATTGCCATACAATATAGGGTTGACATAGACAAGAGGTGAGGAGAGCAATGTCCAAAAACAAGATCACAATGTAGGAGAAAAGAAAAGGAAGGAAAAAACGAGGGTAGGGGAAGAGATGATGATGAATATAATATTTTGTGTTTAGTAAATAGTCAGAGAGAAGTGAATAGAGGGAATTTAAAATGGAAGGAGAGATAAAGCTGAGTGGACAGTGGAAGCATAGGCTATACCTGTGGCTTGGGGGGACTCTTATGATGAGAGAAAGTTACTGGGGAAGATGGTAAGCATTGCTAAAAATATGTGTTTCTAGTGCTTTATGAAAGCACTGGAGGCTAGGAGAAAGTCTAACAGAACTGGGTAAAGCATTTCACAGAATATGTGCACCCCTTGAGAAGTCCTGTAGACCAGAGTTAGTAGAGGTTAGTTTTAACAGAGAACAAGAGAAGGTCATTGGCGGAGCAAAGGGAATGAGAATGGGTACCGTATATACTCGAGTATAAGCCGACCCGAATATAAGCCGAGGCCCCTAATTTTACCACAAAAAACTGGGAAAACTTATTGACTCGAGTATAAGCCTAGGGTGGGAAATGCAGCAGCTACTGGTAAATTTCTAAATTAAATTAGATCCCAATAAAATTACATTAATTGAATATTTATTTACAGTGTGTGTATAGAATGAATGCAGAGTGTGTGTTTGTGTGTGTATATAATAAATGCAGAGTGTGTGTTTGCGTGTGTGTATATAATGCAGTGTGTATATAATGCAGTGTGTGTAAACTGGATGAGGGGAGGGTATTTTATTTAAATTTTATTATATTATTTTAATATTATTATATTATTTTAATAATATTTTAAATATTTGCATTTTTTTTTTTTTTAATTTTTTGTCCCCCCTCCCTGCTTGTTGCCTGGTCAGGGAGGGGGGACAAAAAACATTTAAAAAAAAAATAATGCAAATATTAAAATAATAATAAAATAATATTAAAATAATATTATTTTATCATTATATTATTATTTTAATATTTGCATTATTTTTTTTTTTAATGTTTTTTGTCCCCCCTCCCGGGCCAGGCAACAAGCAGGGAGGGGGGACAATTTAAAAAAAATAAAAAAAATAATGCAAATATTAAAATAATAATAATAAAATAATATAATATTAAAATAATAATATTATTTTAATATTTGCATTATTTTTTTAAAAATGTTTTTTGTCCCCCCTCTCTGACCAGGCAACAAGCAGTGAGGGGGGGAAAAAAAAACATTTTAAAAAAAATAATGAAAATATTAAAATAATAATAATAATATAATTTTAATAATATTTTATTATTATTAAAATATAATAATATTGAATCCCTGGTGGTCCAGTGGCATTGGCTGGCAGTGAGCTGTTACTTACCTTCCTGCAGCTCCTGTCAGCTCCCTCCTCCTCCGTGCAGCTCCTCGGTCAGCTCTGTTCTGTTTACACTGTGAGCAGAACAGAGCTGACCGAGGAGCTGCACGGAGGAGGAGGGAGCTGACAGGAGCTGCAGGAAGGTAAGTAACAGCTCACTGTCAGCCCCCAACAGGTCCTGGTCTGTATTGTGGCAATGTAAGTTGCCATAATACAGACTGACTCGAGTATAAGCAGAGTTGGGGTTTTTCAGCACAAAAAATGTGCTGAAAAACTCGGCTTATACTCGAGTATATACGGTATATTTGTGGATTAGCAAGCAAATGTAATGGGTGGTTAACATTAAGTTGTTATAGTGCCCGAAGGCTCCCGGGTGCACTCTTACCATCAGTGGTTAAACAGTTCTTGAACGGTTTTGCCCCAAAGTTGCCTCCAGTGCCAATCTCAACTCCAAGGTGGCAACCGGCTTCTGAAATTTCAGTTTCAGGAAATGCGAGATGCCATCGGGCAGCGGTGAGGCTGACTGGGTGCATTCTCCCTGCATTTTGAGCCCATTCACCCCAAACTCTTACAATCATGTAACTTCCATCTATTTGCTCCCATTCATCACAATATGCTACTAAAGCACTTGTTCATACTCTCATCATTTCAAGTCTTGCAACTCACTCCTCATTGGCCTTCCCCATATTCATACCCATACAGCCCCACTCCAATATTTTATGAATGCTGCTGCCAGGCTTATCTAGGTCACCCCTCTCACACCTCACCCATCTTCCAGTCTTTACATTGACTTCCGTTATCTTTCAGAATCCAATTTAAACTTCTGACATTAAAGGGTGTCAGGATTATAGTTGATCCAGCACGCAGAATAGTATCACACCTAAGACTAAGGATAACGCCGAACTGGACCTTAGAATGGCCGGACTTAACGTACCTGAATGTAGTCAAAATACTTGCCGAGGTCAGGGACACAGAATGAGACACAATGATGAGGAAAGCCAGAAGTCAAGGATACCAGATATCAGTGAAGTCAAAACAAAGCCAAAGTCAAATACCAGAAAAACACAATCAGGAACACACTCTCGGATAACCAGCTAGTGGAAACCACGACAGGGCACTGAAAAAAAGGTATCTTGTGTTTAAATAACCCTCCTTAGGCTGTAATTGGCTTTCTATGACCTCTGACTCCAAAATGTGCATGTGCGTCTATGACGTGACGTCGCATGCACGTTGGCGCCATCTTTGATGTGGGTGAAGGAAAGTTTCTTATAAAAGTCAGAACCGCAGTGGCTGGCATTCCCAAGAACGTCGCACCCGCTGGGAACCGGAACTGAGGGAGACCAGGCAGCTGGGACCAAGGTAAGTCAGAAATATCTCTGTCGGCGTGGCTTTTTAGTTTTTGTGCAGCCACGCCGGCAGAGGAGCAGGGAGCCATGACAAAGGGTCACCCCAGGCAACTTTATATAAACTATTCACCTTGCTACATCCCCCCTAGCCGTCAGTTTGACAACAGGTCCTGTTACTTCCTGTTTGTTTAGCTCAGTGGAGCTAGACTCAAAAGGCAGGCAGTTGCTAAGAGCACCTTGGAAAGCCCCACACAATTTTTTTATTTTTTTTTTAAAGTCTGGACTATGAAGAACAGGAGAGCTTGCAAGTGCAGCAGACAAGAGATCAGCAGCCTTTGTGACTATTTTTTGATGTACCCCAATGGGCAATGCGCGTGCGCATTAGGTCCACCCAATCGGATGACGACAAAAGAGGCGGACCTCGGCACTGGAATCAGAAAAGTGAAGAAAACGTTCTTTAACCCTTTACATTGCTGGGAGAGGGCCACAGGGGCTGAGGAACAAGTTAGTGTTAGGAATACATCTTCCATTCAAAATTCTATATGAATTCACACTTTAGTAAATAGCTATGATAAAGTATGGATCCTCTTTCACTCTCTATGTGTTCAAGAGGGAACGAGACAATAAGACAAATTAAACACAGAGTTGTACATTTCCCATAACTCTTTAGAGCAGCATTGTCCATGGTGCAGAGGTTTCTGAGAGATGAAATGCGTTTTCAATTAAGACAACACAAGTAGTAATTCCAAAATCAGCCACTTCCTCTATCCTGAATAAGCTGAAGATTTACATCAACTTATGGAAATCCATAAGTGAACATATTTTTTCCCAATAATTATTACGTATTTAATAAATGTGCATGGTTTTGTAATGCCACAAGGAATCAATTCAAAGGTCCCTTTAACCTCTTAAGGACAAATGACATGTGTGACATGTCATGATTCCCTTTTATTCCAGAAGTTTGGCCCTTAAGGGGTTAAATGTGTTTTTCTACCATCAGCATGTAGACATGATGTGAAACATGAACATTTTAATCAACATGCTCTTTAAATGCAAAACACTATACAAGCAAGGCTATCTCTGAAGATTAGAGAATTGTTTTCGGTCATGAAATATTCCAACAGACTGGTTCTGATAAAGAGGTTTATAGCCCAATTAACCTTTAAACACACAGTCGTGTAGGGAGCAATTATGTGGTGTAACTCAACTTAACTTACAAACAAAACAAATGGTGATGACATCACTTATATGCATATGGTCAGAGACGCCACTTGTGATGGAGATACAAAGTTTTCTGTTTTAAAGACAATACAGTATTTTGAATAAAGATATTACAAAACAAAATGTCCCAAAGAAGGATTTTTACATATCGAATTCGAATTAGTATGCCGACTCAGATAATATTTCTGCTTGAGCTAGAGATGCAGATTTAAGGGAAAAAAGTTACCAAATTAAAACTGGCTATTCTGTGGCAAAGTGTTAAATAAAGATAACTTTCAACAGTTTAGAATGACTTTCAACATTCAGCACTTTGCATTCTGAATAGCATCCAGTTGCCTTGATAAATCTTCCCCTTAGTGTCTACAATCAAACCCTTTCTTTGCTATAGGATCAGCATGACAAACAGCAACAGGAGGCCTCCCAACATTCCCAGTTTCTGCCTGATTTTGGGGTCCTTTCTCAATGTCCTAGTTTCTGGGGAAACCAAGGTCATCAAGCACCACTATGCAAGCACATCATTTAATATGCTCTCTCTGCATGGTCCTGCACGTAGGGGACAGTCAGACTGCAATACCCCTTCAGTCGAGCTGCTTATTATGGTTTTTCGCCACTGACGTGAGTTGTGTCAGTGGTGCCAACCCCTCGCAGGTCATGCCCCCCATCCTGATTCTCACAGTCTCAAGCTTATTTTTGTGCTATCAATGAACCAAATTGCGATATCCTTCACAACTGATGTTTTCAAATAAAAATAAATAAATAATAACCCATAAATTAATGTACTAGATTTTTGCTACAAATTGTGACTTTGCAAAACTGGGCACCAATCTAAATCCTTTAAAGCCAGCAGTTCAAGGATGCACAGCGGCAACAAAACTAGATCATCTTAAAAAGTCACCATTAGATAGGAGGAAACATACAGAACTTTTTAAAAATCAATTAAAGGACCACTATAGGCACCCAGACGACTTCAGCTCAATGAAGTGGTCTGGGTGCCAGGTCCCCCTAGTTTTAACCCTGCAGCAGCTGAAACTGCTATGTTTACACTGCAGGGTTAATCCAGCCTCTAGTGGCCGTCTCCCTGACAGCCACTCGAGGCCGCTTCTGTGATTTATACGGAGTAAAAAAAAGCGTCAAAAACGATCCCCACAGTAAAGCATTGAGTAATGCTTTCCTATGGGCGGGTTTGAATGAGCGCACGTCTCTGGCCACGCATGCGTATTCGGCTCCACTCGGGAAACGACGTAGATGGAGGAGAAGAGGTCACCAGTGCCGAGGGAGCCCGGCGCTGGATTAAAGCAAATAAATGGTTAATTAACCATTTATTCGACGCGGAACAGGGCTAGGGCTCTAACGCTATAGTGTTCCTTTACTTATGTAAAAATGTAATTTTCCAGGATTTTTACTATTATGTTTTCTTATCTCCTATATTAAACAAATATGTATTTGTGAGGTGTGAAAAATAAAATTAAATCAACACCTCTTTATCCAAACAATGGGTGTCTCCATCTTATTTATCTGACAATCATAATAAACTCTGTACTTTGACCCTAGCAGGCAACATAGGGAAAGCATACAGCGAGATCAAGAAATAATGAACTAGGTTTCAATTTTACCTACTAAAAAAAAAGTTAACATAACTGCCGATGACTTATGTTTTATTCAGAGTTGCAATTGCCAGATAAGTGACAATTCCCCTTTAAACTGATTAATTGGTGAATTTGTGTGCATGTTTTAAACATATAACGATTTAAAAATGTAAGTGTTAAAAAATAAAATCAACATGTTCATATAAAATATAAATAAATAAGTAGATACTGAAGTGCAATTAGATGTTCAGTACAGTCAGATGAGATAGACATATGTAAAAAAAAAAAAAAAAATACCAAAAAATAAATAAAATCGTTTGGCTGTGGCGTTCTATATTCTGATAATATTGTTAGATACTGTTAATGTTCTTCGGAGCTTCCTTTAAAAATTCAATTGATTTCCCAAAGGGCAGAATTATGCAAGAAATGATTCCACACGACGCTAGTCATGTGCTTGATTGCCTTTTCTTACAGGGGTCATCCATTATCTGTCGATCTATGAAGCTTTCTGTAGACATAGTAAATGTTTACAGAGCATTTTCTTTTTTTTTTTTTTTTTCCTCCTTTCCCCTTCTTCCTTGGATTTCCGCCAAGACGACAAGGCTTTCTCCACAAATCTGTATTCATTCTATAAATAGCCATTTTTCCTCATGTACCATCCTGTTTAGCATTGGATCTGGAGAACGCGAAGATGAAATTAAGTTAACGGACGTAATCAGAAGAAAATTGCTACAAAGTCTATCCAATCATTTCTTAAGAGACATTATTGGCTAGGGTAGTTTAGATAACTACAAGGTTTTCTGCTCCATTATTACAGTTTTATAACAAAATCACTGGACACAGTTAAAGGGAAACTATAGTGCCAAGAAAACAAACTTGTTTTCCTGGTACTATAGCTTCCCCCTCTGTCAACTGACCCCTAATGGACGCCTGAAGAACATTCGTTTGACATTTGCCCCCTTTTTCCATTTTACAAAAAGTTAAAATTTCAATACAAATTGGCACTCCTCTAAATCAACCTGGTTACACCCCCACCAGCTGCCAGGCAGACTGCCAGTCCTCTTACTTCCCAATTTATTTAGCTCAGTGGAACTAAACTCAAGAGGCAACAATTACACAGAGCCCCTCTGGGCAGTGAAGTATCCCTTTAACACAAAATAAAATGCAAATAACACAATGAAAACATCATGACTGAATGACACAGTGTCCTGTCAAGGCAAAGATAATCTATTCCCATTGCCAACTATGGCCTGAAAACAAGGTATTATTTATTAACAAGGAATTATTTTCGAGGAATTAAAGAAAGTGCACCCAATTACATTTGTGAGGATTCTTGAATCAAGAGAATACATTTTTTTTTTTTTAAATTACAGATTAGCCTGCAACAAACCCAATTAACATCATTCTACAGTGTCTAGACAGCAGTAACGTTTTACCATGGCAGAATCATTTAACACAGGGCAATGCTTCAAAATTTGGTTAAATTACTATAAAAAAAACACTTTTCTACATACATCTCAACAGCGCTGGATCCGTGAGGCAGCATCAGTTAGGAGAAAGGTTAAACCCATCCTGAAACATCTGGATTTCTACTTCTTCTGGTGACAACATAAAAACGTTTTGGGCACTCGTGTGTATCTAAATTGCCTACAGGGTAATTTTGCCTATTCAAGTGTCCACTGCACAATGAGCCTGGTCTGCATGCTAGTTGTCTTAAAACCTTGCATCACCAATTATAGGTATTCTACTAAATAATGGTTTTAACACTATAGTGTCAGGAATACACGTACAAATGAAAGTTATTTGACACACACTGGCAGACTGACACAAACGCACAAATTATTATTTTTTACTATTTTTATTAAAGTTCACCCAGCCTTTGGGAGAGCTGGAGTGGATCTTTTTCCTGTGGTCCAGTGGGGATCCTTTCCCTGGATTGTAGTGTGGCGGCTGTCATCTTCATGCAGGGCCAGATTAATAGCTTATTGGGCCTGGCGCTGACATTTATGATGGGCCTAATTACAGAATCTTATTGACAGAGAACACTAAAACCGTCATACCTCCCATGCGTCATGTATATGGTGGAAGTGGTGCTGGAAGTAAGCTCACAGGATGCAGCTATCAGCAAACACATACCCTATGCTAATCTCTCGCTTTCACCTTTCACGTTAATCTATACCCCTTAAAAGCAGTGTCCGCTGAAGCAGGATATTGGTGGGCGGGGTGGGGACTGGCCAAAAAAGGGTGTGTGTCTGCCCAAAGAATTGGAAGACCAGAATGCATGTTAGCCCACAACCTGAGGAAATATATTTCGACAAACCTTCCACGCAAGATCCCAGATGACCAAACACACACATTAGACGAACCGTTTACACATACGGAACTACTCGCCAATTAAGGCACTGCCGAAAGGTAAAAGCCCCGGCCCTAACGGACTGACCGCGAGATACTACCGAACACTCACACAAGAACTGTCCCTTCACTTTCTTAAAACATTAAATGGCCTAACCCATGAAACTCCTCTCCCGCTGCGGGCATCTATCACTATCATTCATAAGCCAGGCAAAGACCCCACAAAGTAGTTATAGACCCATATCACCAATAAATCTAGATCTAAAACTAATGGCGAAAATGATTGCAAATAGGCTCAAACCTCTTTTACCAAAACTAATCCACCCTGACCAGGCGTGCTTTGTACCTGGCCGCGAGGCTAGAGATAATACCACGAAAATTCTAAAGGTCATTTATGGAGCAATGGTGACTAAAACACCAACTCTACTGATGGCTATTGACGTTGAAAAAGCCTTCGACAGGGTGGACTGGTCCTACTTATTTACGGTCCTAGAGGTCTTGGGGATGGGTCCAAGACTGAGGAACTGGATACAAACTCTCTATAGGGGACCCGCAGCCAGTGTCAGAGTAAACGGCCACTTATCGGCACCGTTTCCAATAAGCAACGGCACTCGACAAGGCTGCCCCCTCTCGCCCCTGTTATTTGTCTTGGCCATGGAGCCTTTCCTGAACACAATCAGGTCTCACACTAAAATACAGGGATATCGACATCAGGGAGGAGAGGTGAAGGTATCCGCTTTTGCGGACGATGTCCTATTCACGTTCACAGACCCAACCAAAACACTACCACACATAAACACTGAGATTAACACCTTTGGATCCCTCTCGAACTTTAGGATAAATGCAGACAAATGCGAAATACTGGGGATTGCGGTACCTCCAACCCTGCAAACACTAATTCAACAAAGACATACTTTCCCTTGGACTCGGACAGGACTGACATATTTGGAGATACGACTCACCACGTCACCCAAAAGCCTATACAAACTAAACTACCCCCCATAGACAATATTAAACGAGACCTCCAAAAAGTGGGATCAACCTTATTTCTCCCTAATGGGACGGATCAGCATTTTGAAAATGATGATTCTTACGAAAATATTATACCTCTTCCAGGTCCTACCTATCCCCCTCCCAAAGACATTCTTCAGACAGATGCGGACAATTTTCACCAAATACATCTGGGGCAACAAACCAGTAAGGATAGCCCTCACCACACTAACCTCCACCTCAGGCGGGGGGCAAGGGCTGCCCCACCTATACAAATACTAGATTGCAGTATTGCTCACTCGACTAAAGGAATGGACAGATACCAAAAGGAATAAATCGTGGTACACACTAGAACAGAGCTTTACACCAGTCCCCCTACATACTCTGCCGTGGCAAACATACCAACTCCCAAAGCTCACTTCGACACTGCACCCACTCATATACAACGTCCTCACACTATGGAGAAGATATAAAGACCAATGGGGACTGTCACCGGGACTGTCGAGGTTCTTCCCTATAGCAGACAATCCTGACTTTAAGGGAGGTGGAGGGGGACCACTCCTTACTCGCCTCATGGGAGCACCCACCCCAGACATAACTGAACTGATCGGGGGAGACCCACCCACTGTCAGGGCCCTATATAGACCACACAGGCATGACACACTCATTTAGGTGATAGGCAGAACACAACTTAAGACCTTCTTAAAAAGAACCGTCATTCCCCTCTGAAAACAGAGAGCAGACACACCCTTTGAGCACCTCTGTGGCCCAGGGGGCGACCCTCGACGCCCCTTATCTAAAATTTACCGCAACCTCCAGAGTTCAGTTCAGGAACATATACATATCTATGACAAAGACTGGTCAGGGATCATGGAAATGGGAATCAAAACCCCAACCAGTGTAGCACATAGGGAGACCTTCTATAAAAGAGTCACCAGGTGGTACAGGACCCCAACCCGACTACACTCAATCTGGCCCTCAATCAGTAACATATGCTGGAGATGTTCAAACGGTCTAGGGAATATAGAACATATTTGGTGGAGCTGCCGAGACATACAAGGTTTCTGGCTCCTCATACTCTCTGAAATAACTAAAATACTGAAACCACCGTCTCGACTAACCCCTTCCCAGGTTCTGATAAGCTGGCCCCGCACATTTGCGGAATTCCACAAGCAACAGTTGCTACACCTCCTACTGGGGGAAGCAAATGCCCTCATCCCGCTAAACTGGCGGAATACCAGCACACCATCCAAAGAGCAGTGGGTACAAAGAGTAGAACGAACCAGAGAATTAGAGGACATCCACTGGACATCAATAGGGAAACGACATAAATATCTCCAGAGATGGGAGCCCTGGACAGAGTTCTGGAAAAGACCCCCAGAGGAAAAGGCCACTTAAGCTCTCCTAGATTAGACACTTAGAGGTCTAGACAATAATGCAGAACGGAGAACCACCGTATACACGACAGAGCACAAAGAACCAAGGAATAACCACCATACCAGGCAGGACCCCGTTAGACCCTCACCTCTGCCCCCCCTCCCTCTACAGCTTCCTAGCCATGCGACTAGTTAATAACCCTCAGTTGCTCCCTAACCTCCTATAAGGTTCTAGATAGAGACAATAGCACCATCTGACTTGATCTAAACCAAGATCATCCAGCAGAACCAATGTTAACTACAACAGGAAATGTACTAGAACTAAAGTAGCGATAAAGGTATAAGCATATGCACATAATGTTATGAAACCCCTACATGTAACAACTGAATGCTTCCTTTTTCTCTTCTGTACCCCAAAACCTTGTCTTCACGAAATAAAGAAAAACTAAAAAAAAAAGAATGCATGTTAGGCTGTCTTCAAATCATGTAGGATGGCCAACTAAGAGCCCATTGGGCCATAGTTGTGTACTATGCAGACAGCACCCTGAGCATGGTATAAATGCGCATGATGATACCCTCGCGCCACACTTTCTAAGGACTGTCCCCTAGCACTCACTGGTCCACACCTCTCCTAACCTTCTTACTAGCAGGCAGAAGCTCCTGTTATTCAGCTGGGACAGAGAAAATGTGTTTATATTATTTGTAGAAGAAAGTGGACATGCCACAGTGTTAGAAAGACTGAAGAACCAAGAGCATTTGCATTGTGCGCAAAGTCATCCTAACTAATTTCATTGTCAGCCAGTCAACACCAGTTTTGTTCCCCTACATCCCTCTTAAGTTTCCATACTTAAGAAAGAGTATGTGAAGAGTAGTAAATAAAATTAAAATAAATAACCATTCCATGGGCCTGGGCCTGGGCCTGGAGCTGCATCAGCCCCTATGTTAATCCAGCCTTGTCTTTATGGTCTTCTTACTCTGCTCCCTCACAAGCGGTTTACTGATGCATGGTGTGTAGTGACATCATAATCTGGCACCCAGCATCACAACAGGGCGCACATGGGAGCAGTGCTGGAAGAGCACAGAGATTACAGCTTCCTCGCCATCCGGCTACAGCTTCCTGCCCAACACTGGGCAGAGTAGTCACCTGCCATCCGGGTAAGCAATGCCTCCTCTGCCTTAGGTAACGTGGCCATCTTTTGGCATACCACCTGATTTTTGGTGATCACCTGGTTTATGTGTACCACAGGTGGAGAAACAAGGTCATAGAAGACAGAGGCTAGACAGTGGCTTAGTAAATTTGCTCAAGGTGACTGAACCAACAGAACCTAGACCTCTCTTGGAGTTTAATCCACAGTGTACAGAAGGCATCGCTATAATGGCAGGATTTCAAAAATAGTCACCCAACATTCAGAAATATGGGAAAAGAAGATCTTTTTGTGGTATCATACCACTATGTGTGGATCTCTCTAAGATTATCTAAGATGGTGTGTGTGTGTGTGTGTGTGTGTGTGTGTGTGTGTGTGTGTGTGTGTGTGTGTGTGTGTGTGTGTGTGTGTGTGTGTGTGTGTGTGTTATATTTGGATTGTGACTTTTACTTTATTTCAATTCATCACTTGTATTTGCTTAGCAATACACAAAATATATATGCATAGATAAATGATATAAGCAGCCATTTGGGGGTGTGGTGTGTGTGGTGAATCTATAATAAAAACAATTAGTAAGCATTAGAAAAAGGTGCCATTGAGTGCTTTTTAACAAGATTCTGCTGTAATGACACCTCTTCTAATGAAGTGTTAATTCAGCGAAGAATAAAGGAGAGTAGGTCTTATACTATACCAGCGTCAGCAGGCTGTAAAAATTACAAATCCAGCAGGATTTCACTTGAAGGTAGAAAACAGAAATGTACTTAATGATGCAGCAAACTGACTAAGTCAACTTGCAAAGAGCGTTGTCATCAGCCATGCGGTGGTAGGACGATAAACCAGAAAACTAACCGCTTAAAGGGGCACTGACAGCATTTGGGGACTTGGCAGAAGTTGCAAAGATACCTGATGGTGACATCGCTGCTGGGGGTCTGGTGGCCGGGGTGGTGGTCTACTTACCTGAACCTGTCCTTCGGTCGTGGCGCCATCTTCTTTCAGCTGGTCCTCTTCAGCTCACGCACACAGGAGAGACTACAGCATTGAGGTAAATTGAGGATCACGCAAGATCCTCCATAGAAAGACCCAATTCCCTGCAGCCCCCACTGGCCACAGTTGGGAGGATTGACGCTTGAAGACGGCGGTAGGTTCGCCAGTCGTCTAAATGTGTCAGGCATAGGAAAAATACATATGATAAGGTAGTCCTTGCTTAGTTTTATGTTTTTAGTTAGAAATAGATGAGGGGAAAAAAAAAAACGAAAGAAGCAGCAGGAAAGAGGAAGTGAAGAGAAAATGATTGGGAAAAAGTATGGCGTGACAATGTCGCTGTAATTCACCAAGCACACTTGTGTACATTGCTCAGTCTGTTACAGTTAAAGGGACACTCCAGGCACCCAGACCACTTCTGCCCATCACCCTTAACCCTGCAAGTGTAATTATTGCAGTTTTGATAAACTGAAATAATTACCTTATAGGGTTAAGTCCTCCTCTAGTGGATGTCTATTAGACATCCACAAGAGGGACTTACGGGTTTTTAAAACACGAAAAGTGTTTTTTTAAAAACGCAGGATGTCTTCACGCTATGCATGAGGACCTCCAGTGTCGCCGGAATCCCCATAGGAAAGCACTGAATAAGGCTTTCCTATAGGGAGGTCTAATGCGCATGCGCATTAGGTCTCCCCCGCCGGATTATGGAAAGGGAAGAGCGTGGACGGAGCCTTACCCAGCACCGAGGGGCATCGGCGCTGGATTCAGGTAAGCCACTGAACGGGTTTTAACCCTTTCAGCAACATGGGATGGGGGGTGGGAGGGAGAGGGGCACTGCAGGATTCTGCAGTGCCAAAAAAATGGATTGTTTTCCTGGCACTGGAGAGTCCCTTGAAAAATAAACCCAAATCTATTATAATCTAAACCATTTAAAAAATATTAGTTCTTTAACATTAGGTAACACTTTATGAAAACTTGTATCACTTATTTCTATATTTTCAATTATGAATGCTTTGTTAGTTACATATTTTTGCTTGGTACTTATACCGTCATCACAATGTTGATTTGGCAATATATGTAAAAGAGCTATACGCCAAAGGACATTTACTTTTGTAAAAACAATTTCGGTGTATTAGACTTAATACTTCTTTGACAGCCCGTTACAAAGAAAATTCCTCACAGCTCAACAATTTTGGAAATCACTATTTTTTATTATTTTTTTGCATCAACCTTATGGAAACTTCATCGTTACAGAACTTTGTAAATGAATTGCCTAAATTCAAACAGAGATGTGAGCAATCTAACATGTACAAAAAAAAAATATATATATATATATATATATATATATTTATTGGGGTCTCATGTATTGGTAAATAAGCATAGCTCCCAAGTGTCCTGATTCTTTAAGGACAGTCATGACTTGTGCCCTATGTCATCTGGTCCCTTTTCTTACAAAACAGGAGTTAAAATCTGAGATAGTAAAATCATTGTGGAGTAGCTGGTTGTGGTCATTATGCACAGTCATATTAACAGGTTTAATGTAGTTGAATTGATAGCTCACTGGCATTATGTGAGAAGGTTTATCAGTGCATTCAATGCTGGCTGACAGCTCACCAGTTCACGAGTTAAAGGAGCACTATAGGGTCAGGAACACAAACATGTATTCCTGAACCTATCGTATTAAAACCACTATCTAGCCCCCTTGGCATCCCTAAAGATAGTAAAATCTTACTTGTATTCAAGTCTGAAGCTGCTGCCTCTGCCTGTGAACTTCCTCTGACATCATCAGAAGTGGTGGCCTGACCCAATCACACGGCTTTCCCATAGGATTGGCTGAGACTGACAAAGAGGCAGATCAGGGGCAGAGCCAGCATGATTCAAACACCACCCTGGCCAATCAGCATCTCCTCATAGAGATGAATTGAATCAATGAATCTCTATGAGGAAAGTTCAGTGTCTGCATGCAGGGAGGAGGGAGGAGACACTGAATGTTTGGATGCATTTTAGGCAGCCATGACCCAGGAAGGATCTCTAACAGCTATCTGAGGAGTGGCCAGTGAAGTTATTACTAGGCTGTAATGTAAACACTGTATTTTCTCTGAAAAAACAGCGTTAACAGCAAAAAGCCTGAAGGTAATGATTCTACTCACCAAAACAAATTCAATAAGCTGTAGATTTTCTAGTGACTATAGTGTCCCTTTCAGAGAGTAATCCAACGTGGACCCCGTGCTCACTATGCCTAGAGGGGTATCAACTACACCTCACTGACGAGGCCCAATGAAGTATGAAACTATTGTCTGGGGGTTGCTGTATCTCTCATGCAGAGGAAACTTGCTGGCATTTCGGATCTGAACTGCCCGTATGGGTGGGACCAGTGTGATATGCTTCAGCTATGTTCTCTCTGTAATGGCACAAGTGAGCAAAAATTATTTGGAGCAGGGATTTGGCCAAGGGCAAACTACTGAGTTTCACTACTTTTGTCCGTTCTCAGAGTTCTCATATTCTTTGTTCCTGTCTGACACATACCCTGATAAGCTCACACTCTCCTTACCAAGTTTGAATGGTACAAAATAAATTGGAAAATGAAAGAGTCAGCTCTAGATTATGTGCCCATACACCACAAGACTTCAAATATTATCCATATAAAGCTTTGGTACAGATACACCAGTCTTTTCATTGTCTGTTATAAGAGGTCTACTATTGTGAAGACCTGTAGAAATTTCAGTTTAAATACTCTATTGCCACGCGGGACTGCCCCTCACCAGTGAGATCACTGAATTGCAGGGGCAAATGGCCTCTTTATGAAAAACAAATTTCTACAACTTTTTGACTGATGCAATAAACAAATTATGACTTTCTCAAAAAGAAAAGAAAAGGCCAGCTCACTCTTCAGGACTTCGATTCCAAAAACACCCAAAAAGATGATACTCAACATAGCAAAACAAACAATGAAACCAAAGACATAACTGTGCAAATGCAAAGACTACATCAGTTTTCTAAAAGCTTGCACTCAAAGCATTTCTTTCTCCTGTTATATGTGTTAGCAGTGATGCTGTAGAGTATAAAGAGAGGCCTTTCATTTTATCAGTGCTTACAATGGAGAGGAGAGGAATTTCCGATCAGTAAGCGGGTTACTATCCTCACTTACAAGGCAGAGATTACATGCACTCACTGATCAAAGACAATTAGTTCAGACATTAAGAAAGTAGAGGATAACAGGATGAGCCGCATACAAGATTTAGAGGATAAATTACAACCGCTGACGGATCACGATGATCTCGCAAGTGCAACAGTGTCATGACATTAGATATAACTTGCAATGTGGGTCTGTTTTCTGGTCTTTCAAGAGGTCAAATGGAGTCCAAGCCACTGTGTATTCAGGGCCAGGTTTATCTGTAGACATAGGAGGCAGCTGCCTACTGGAGTCTGTTAGTTAAGGGTCCCCACCAGTGGCTTTTCGTGACTCCCACAGTCACAGTGCAGAGAGAGTCTGAATCAGCTACGACGTCAGCAGAAGGTGGATGGCATTTTCCTGATAGACGCATCTGGGGCTGACCAGGACCAGGGTAGTTTTTTTTCCCATTTATTATTAATTTATATTTATTTTTTTTGCTTTTTTATTTTACCATTACCAGTGACTTTACACACTTTGAGGACACCCAGCGTCTTGAAAACCTAGCAGGAAAGCATGGAGTCAATGCTTTTCTATAATTACGGCTTAATGCACGTTTTGTTTTTGTTTTTGTTTTTAATCTCTTTCTTTTTGTAGTGCATTTAAAGAATGCCAATGTGGCCAAGACTGCAGAAATAATCAAAAGGCTTCAATACCTGTGGTTACTGATACTCGGCATGTGATGATTTTGCACCCTTTTTGGGTTAATAAACATAAATAACAATAACATGTCAGTGACATAAGCCAATTTTTCCACAGTTGAAAAAAGTGTACTGAACATGAAGTGTGAGCTATGTGTAGAATTATTGTAGATGAGAGGAAGGCCAGTGTGGCCTGAGTGGTGCAAGAGGCTCCATAGAAGGTATATAGGTTCCTATTCGGGAGCTAGCTGGGGAGCACTTGATCCAGAGTGCATCCTCATTCAATAGTTGTTCGTATGGAGTAGGGTCTGTGAACCGTGTTATATTTAGTGGTGCGCCATGCACAATAAAGAATCACGGGTTGCACAGAGAATGGTATCAAGCAAATTAATTTGGTCATGCACAGTTAGGAATTGCCCCTAACCAAGGGGGTAGCTGGGGGGGTGGAGGGGGAAGAGAGGTAGAATAAAAGCACGCTCATGTGTGCTGTGTACAGGTTGTCTGTAACGTCCATAAAGGTTTGAGTGTTGTGTCTCTATAGAATGGGGTAGTGATCTTTTGCTGAAAGGACCTATCAGTATTTGACATAAAAGAATGGGTAACGTGAACATAATATAAAATTAAACAATTTAGGCTATTGTGCCGATCTGAACTTGATGGTATGGTAGTCGGCAGGAACAGATACAGAGTATTATCGCTTTTTAGCAGTAGATTAATAGAGTAGCGGGAGCCGACAGATATGGCGTACATCTCGTCCCGCTAGCAAGCTCTGCCCTTCGCTTAATGCGCATTTACGCACATTAGGTTCCCCCTCGCAATGACATTGGAGGATGTGGTAACGAAGCCAGTGCAGGAATAAGGGTTTTTAAACCTTTACTGATTCGGGGTGCAGCTTTGCATTCCTAACACTGTAGTGTTCCTTTAATATACAATTTCATATTAATGCCCACATAATGCAAATGTATTTCTATATGGATTATACTTCTCAAAGTAAGTTAACGCACATGATCCGGCTGGAACCATCTTTTTTATTTAGTTAATTTTTTTATCTGAATAGAATATTTCTGACCATTGTGATTTCTTGGGCACGGTGGGCATGAAGCATTAACAACTGTTTCAAAGTGTGAGGGAGGAGACGGGGGTATACAGAGGGAACAGAGAAAGTTAAAGGACCACTATAGTGCCAGGAAAACATACTCGTTTTCCTGGCACTATAGTGCCCTGAGGGTGCCCCCACCCTCAGGGACCCCCTCCCGCCCGGCTCTGGGGAGAGGAAAGGGGTTAAAACTTACCTTTTTCCAGAGCTGGGTGGGGAGCTCTCCTCCTCCGTTCCTCCCATTTTGCTGAATGCGCACGTGCGGCAAGAGCTGCGCGCGCATTCAGCCGGTCTCATAGGAAAGCATTCATAATGCTTTCCTATGGACGCTTGCGTGTTCTCACTGTGATTTTCACAGTGAGAATCACGCAAACGCCTCTAGCGGCTGTCAATGAGACAGCCACTAGAGGAATTGGAGGAAGGATTAACCCATTCATAAACATAGCAGTTTCTCTGAAACTGCTATATTTATTTAAAAAATGGGTTTACCCTAGCTGGACCTGGCACCCAGACCACTTCATTAAGCTGAAGTGGTCTGGGTGCCTAGAGTGGTCCTTTAAAGGAATGCTCAGGAACACAAACATGGATTCCTACTATTAGAGTGTTATACTAGATATTAGAGACAGACCAGTTATCGATTTCGATAATTGTTCTATTTATTCAAACCTTATATCTTTAATTCTCTATCCAAACCAAAGGAACTGCTGATATATTTTCATTTCTATCAGCTCGAATATACCAGTTACTGTACCCGATTAAATTTAAAATGAATTGCTTCCATTAAAATGGCTTGCATGTATGATTTATTAAATACATGGCTGTGTGCCAAGATGCCTTATCTCATCAAATTGAACAATAGTAAATAATATATCTTATCTTATGAAATACAAAGAGGGAGGGAATTTCAGAAAGCTACCTCTAGATCAATGAAACATTTTAGACTGATAGAAAATGGATTTCCAACCCTGGATTCAGAACTTGATTTGTCGGATGACCATTTTTTCCCCCCCCCGGACCGTGGCATTCTTATGGTTTTCACATTCTATAGACCATGACTTTAAAAAGGCTAGCTGGCAATACACAGAATTCAAATGCTTCCAGTGTGAGATGAATTAACTAAATATGGATGAGCTCTCAGAAGAGCTAGCTTGATAACTTGGCATTCCATTTTTAACACAAAGATTTGCGACCGGGGCATCTACTAAAAATTTACTAAAACATTATCGTATTACCAAACACAAACAAGGACTAGTAACAGCTAGCTTGTTATGGAAAAGATCTTACAATTAATTTTTTCTGCTTTATTAAAAGTAATTTTACTCAAGCAAGGTCTGAGGGAATGGGGGGAGATGTATACTTTATTATGTACAAGTAATATTATCTAAGCAGCGTGATTCTTGTTGGCTCTTGTATATGCCCTTGGGGCTCAAATTCCTTTATAACTATCACACAACATCTTGATACAGTCTTTTCGCGTTATCCAAGACAGATAAATGAAAAGGGCGTGATTAGTTAAGCAAAAGGTAAAGCCATTAGACTTTGGTCTTGAACAGGAAAAAAATACAGTTTCATTGAACAGCAACAATGCATATTTTAAGCGAGAAATAGGTGTGTCTCGAAGTCTGAACTCCTTGCAAGAGATTTTATTATCGAGGTATGACTAAGGATTTAAAGTAGTGTTTTCACTGTTCTTGTTGTCCCGCATTTTCCTGCTACACCCTACCACTCAGATGTAGACTAACAAAACAATCCAAATATACAATCTAAACGCATTTCAATATAAAATTATTATTTAGCTGCTCTAAAAACACCCAAAGTGCCTCTGTCAAAATAATATCTAAATGTTCCCATTCAAGTAAGGGAAATGCTCCACCCTTTAAAGTAATAAACATTAAAAAAAAAAATATATAAAAAAAAAAAAAAATCGACATACATAATTATATGATAAGAAAATAAAAAATGTTTAAAAAGCAAACAGAAAAAAACCCACACACACATACAACTGAACTACAGAATCTGGCTTCTTTGGCATCCATAAAAGAAAAAAAAGAAAAGGCAATTAAATAAAATAAAGAGCATATTTTTTATTTTATTTTTACCTTTTTCATTATGCTAATCAAAAGGTCAACAGGAAATGGCAAAATACTTTTATATGTTCTGGGGTTGCTTAAAATAGTAACCGTATAACAGACCATCACAACACAACACACCAATCTAGGTAGCCTAGTTGTTCCAATTCCACACCCCTCAAACAATCACAATGCTGTGGGACGGTTACAATGTAGGACTCTTGTTCCGCTGTTCTGAGAGATTATTCCTTGCTTCTGGGGAATGCTAAAAGGGACCCCTAAAAGCATGTGTGTACATTGCCGAGCTCTGAATATGGATGAATGCCTTGTTGACTGGCAGAAAACTTGTGAATCCGTTACACTCCAGTTGCTTATAATATCGCCATGAATCCGTAAGATGACAAGCTGTGCCCTTGTGGTAAAAAAGGCATCATGCCTCCCTGCAGCAGTCATATATATCCCTCCTGTCCCAGGCCAGTGAGGGATGAATTAGGAAGATTTAAAACAATGGTCCGTGAAGACGCCATAATACGTTAGTATACAAAGAACATTTGCTCAGTCTTATGCCTGGGTAACCTTACTGGACCTCAAGCACCATTCAGTATCTCTAGATAGAGGATGGTCTCGTCAGATTAAATTAATCAATACACAATGGAGAATTCAAATGCATTTAATATAGAAATTAGCCTCAACATCCTTGTTTGCTTTTTAGGAATTGCATAACTTATTTTTTGTTCTTGTGTTCAATTAAATAGGAACATGGTTGTGCGACTGAAACATCTTGTTTCAGAGGGAGTTCATTTCAGTTAAGTGGCTGTAAACAAAAATACAAAGAATCGCCAACACCTTGTATCAGTCATACATGGATATGTGCAGTCATTGGGCAATTAGTTCATAAATGAATAATAGTGATTTAATAGGGTTGAATATCAGTCATACATGGATATGTGCAGTCATTGGGCAATTAGTTCATAAATGAATAATAGTGATTTAATAGGGTTGAATATCCCATTTTAAATGCCAAATCACACCATTCCTTGCATGCACACACTGTACTTGCTAACATGCAAGTACAGACATTTAAAAACAATAATGAGGTTTACTGCTCTGGAGTTCAGTGATCTATACACACACTAAAATACTTTAAGGATGTAGATCTTTTAGAAACAAGACAGTACAGCATCAAAAAGGACACTATAATCACCAGAACCACTACAGCTTAAAGAAACACTAAAGGGTCAGAAACGCAAACATCACCTACAGCACCTACGCTCAGCGCCAAATGCTTCCCATTCAATGCATCTTTATAAGGAGATGCTGTTTGTCACAGCGCTGCATAATTGACTTGCACGAGCAATAGCCTCCAAATGCTTTCCTATAGGATATATAGGTTGATGATCTCAGCCGTGGAGGCAGGGACAACTGAAGCGAAGGAGAAAAGGTGAGTAAATTCACCTTTTATTTCCGCAGAGAGGAGAGCTGGACACCTAAACATTTATTCCAACACTATGGTGTTAGTAATACATGTCTGTATCCCTGACACAATAGTGTTCCTTTAAACAGGGACTGGGAGGTTTGTATACAAAAGATGGACTGTCCCTCATCATAGGAGATACTTGGAGCTAGACCAGCACCAAATGGAGCAACTTACGATAGGATTCAGTGTGTCACAAAGAGATATAAACATTAGGAATGAACGCAAAAAGGTAGATACTGCTTAAAAAGAAATGCCTCTCCAAAAATAGAGAATTTGACAGCAGTAAATACAGAAGATGGCCAGATCTAACATAATAAAGAAAACCTATCCCTCTACACAAGACAAGATCATTTCTTGCATGCACACACGGAGATTGAAAATTCCTGACAAATGGTCTCAAACTGCATTACTAATGGACCTAGACAGTATATCTCGGCTCATGCACAGATGTCACATTAATTTGTCTAGTCATTAGGATTCTCTAGCCATACAGGAACACGTCTATTCTTAAAACTTGTCTCAAGTGCATCAGGGTTTGTTTTTTTGCTAAATAAAATGTTGTCTACTAATTATTTCGAATATACTACTGAATAAATTAGGGGGTTCATTTTCCTCATGGGCTTTTCTGTCAATGTGAAATAACATCATAATATTTATCCATTCCCCATTTTCTAGGTCAGGAAATTGGCAATTTCTTTGTTTGCTTGCTTGTGATTTGCCACAATTTCAAGTTAACTGAATAAACCAAATTTCAACTCCTTTTGCTGAAAGATGTTCTGTTTTCACAGTGGCCCATGGCCCTAGGTCTGACCTTATTTTGGAAATAGAATTTTATAAACATGCAATGATTAAATGACCCCTAAAGGCACCCACACCAACTTTAGTTTAGTATGTACGTAGATGCTTAAATTTTAGGATTCAATATGCCACTAGTGGATGGATACCTGATCGCTACTAGAGGAGCTTCCACTGTTAGAATGGAGTCAAACTCGGTTCACAGCTATCCTCCGATTTACTGAAGGAACGCAGTGCTGGCCTTGCCTACAGGAGCATTGGAGATTAAAAATGCATGCATTAGATTGGACATTTAGAACAGCTGATATGACGTCGTGGGAGGCAAATAGAGTGGCAGCAGGGACTATAAAAAAAAAAAAGGTAACGAATACCCTTCAATCCTGCTTTTATTTAGAATTAGTGAAGGCCTGTATCTAAATAAAAAGGAGAACACAATAGCATTAGGAATACATGTTTGTATCTGTGGCAAACGTAGCTGTAAGGAAACCAAGTATATTTAAACCTCATTCGGTAGTTTCCTCCTTAACCGGAGGGGTGGTCTTTGTTCGGTAGTTCCATCTACCGAATGCAATAGGCAGAAATGGAGATAAAAAGGGAATGCAATGGGTAAATAACAATGGAAACAGGGGGTTTCTTCACAGTAGCCACTTACAGAATGTCCCTGTATGCATCTTGCTATTACTACATTGCAATTCCTATCTGTGGCAAAACCAGCCACTTAAAGTGTAACCCCCCCTGAATGTAATATGATGTAGAGTGTATCCCTGTGTACTGCTGGGTATCTTCTAACGTGGGAGATGGCTATCTGTAACCCAACCTACTCCTGCCTGGGACTAAGGGAAGTGTATTTTGTGGAATGGAGACTCCCCTGCGGGGGTCTGTGCTTAAAGGAAGCTGTAATCATTAAAGAGTGTGACTCAGCCTGGTGAGATGCCAGTGTGTAAACCTCCAAACTGTGGGTCTCCTTGTACTGGAGGGGAAGAAGATTTTAACCCCTGCATCTCCGGTTCCAGCTTGCAGGGAGAAGAAAATAGGGGAAAAGTCTTGGTAAGGACAGAGAGCCTCCAGGGCTGAGTGTTGTTTGAATCTGGGAACAGGACACTTGGAAAAGGTCCCGCAACAGTATCCCTAATGCAATGGTGTCACTTTAATTTTCATAAACCATTCTTAGCAACCATAGGCACTCAGCTTTCCCTTAGTATGTGCCAAAAAAGATTGATGTTTATAAATTCATAGGCTTGTCTTGATATCAGCAATAAACTCTCATTAATAACAAATCAAGAAGAGAACCGTTGTGCCCCAAATAAATGACTATTTGTGTATCACTTGGAGTACTCAAAGGCCGAGCATGTTAAAGGAACACTATAGTGTTAGGAATAAAATAATTTAAATTTTTTTATTTTATTTTTTTAAAGGTGTATTACTAACATTATATAGTGTCCCTTTGCCCCAGCAGGCCCTCCAACCAGTGAATAGAGAGCTAAAAAAAAACAAAAAAAAAAAACTCTGTTTACACATACCAACTCTGACGTCAGCGCGATCCGGGAACCTACTGTGCGAATCGATGCTTTCCTATGGGGATTTTGAAGACACTGAACGTCCTCATTCAAAACTATGTAAATCAAGGAAACACCTTTAGTGGCAGTCTAGAAGACATTATAAGCAGCCTTAACCCTGCAATTTAAACATTGCAGTTTCCCCCCAAAAAATGCAATTTTTTAAAATGCAGGTTTAACCTCCTTGGCGGTCTGATTATGTAAGTATTTTTTAATGTGAAAGCAGTACATTGTTTTTACTCCAGGGGCTAGTAGGGACAAGGTAAGTGATACTACAGTACCGCCTTTGGTATTGAAAATTAACCCCGAGCCATGCTCGGGATTACCACCAGGGAGGTTAAGGGTTAAGTGAAGCATAAAGGAACATTCTACCTACACCAATTCAATGAGATGAAGTGATCTGGGTGCCTGGTGTCCCTTTAAGCAAGTTTTAGCCAAAGTAAGTTATTAATTAGTAGACGTTCCCAAATGTCCCTTCACCTTAAACATGCATCTATATAAAAGTTATGGCTAACATTAGGATTTGTTATCCACACTTATCGATACTAAAAAATATGCAAAATCGCACTGAAAAATTACTGGAACAAAATACCTAATAAATAAAAAAATGTTAATCATATTATACGAAAATTTAAAATTTATATTATCCCTATACACATACACTACAAGTAAAAGAGGTTAAAAAAAAAAATTAGTTGGCTGGGGAACAGTCTGACCTTTTTGTCCTAAATAAGATGAAATTTGTGCCGCATTTGCTGTACATTCATTAGGGCCGATCAGCGGTTTTTGCATTGAGGAATTCTACAAACCCTCGTAAAGCTGTAAGGGAATTATTTGTACAGGCCTAACATATTCCTGAAGAAATTTGTGACAAATGCTAAGGCAGTATAAACTTAATATCTGACATCCACTGGATAATAAAATACTTTCACGCTTTTAGAAAACTTATTGCACAAGTATGTCAACCACAAAGAAAACCTCTGGTAAAGAAACAAACTTATTCTGAGCACAATGGATAGTCCAAGTCCTTTGCTTACATGAAATCTACTTTGGCATAAATACATCTATACAAAATAAATAAAATAAATAAAATTATCTAAAACATTAATTGGGAGAGATGATCGAAGTGTTCTGTTCTGAAAAGTGGTGTGACGTGCAGGACTGTGTTTTCCACTCAATTCTATCCGCTGCATTCAAAGACTTTGGTGCCCTCATTCATACCACTGGTCAAAACATATGATACAAAATGATAATTTGATGATAACCCAAGGTGGTTCCTCAGAAGTTATACATTTCTTTTAAATACCTGAATTTATAAGGAGTCCAAATAAGGGTCAAGTATAAGCTGTTCTCATCAGATTTCAAAAAGTCTGTAAAATGATAAGACCTATAAATAAAAATAAAAAACATAAGCAAACATTTAAGGGAAAACAAACAAACAAACCATAATCTATATAGGGTCTCAGCTCAGTTCTATAGGATACATAGCCGTGTAATCCTGCATCATTGATTTGATGCTTAGAATTATTTAAAACCCTTAGCTTCTACAGCATGTAGATGTTCATAGACTGCATAAAGTGCTTTCAATCAGGAACACAGAATGCACCTGTTCCAAATGTATTCTGCAGGCTCGATGTTACACCAGTTATTTCCATTTTGATTGCAATATATAAATGTTCAGCAACAACAGGTAACTATTATCAGATAAAACATGGGGATCTGTGAAATTATATTCCTCTAGTATTAGTTCACTGCAGAAGATACAAAAAATGGTGATCTACAGTAAATGTAGGAATTTAAATGTGAGATGGGCTTTATGGGTAATGGTTTCAAAACGTTTTACTCCTATAGAAGTCATGACGTATTTAAAAGTGCTTCTGGAGTTCCCTGGTGTCCCCAAAATAGGCATTGTGCTGCCAAAATGCATCCCTAGCCACAAGCCTTCTGTGTGTGATTAAAGTTCAATTAAAATGTACACTATAGTAACCAAAACAACTTTAGCTTAAAGATGCAGTATTTGCGTATAGATCATGTCCCTACAGTCTCACTGCTCAATTCTCTGCCATTTAGGAATCAAATCACTTTTGTTTCTGCCCATGTAGCCCAAGCCACACCTCCCCTGACTTCCACAGACTGCATGAAAAAATTGTTTAAATTTAATCAGATGTAACCTACTTTAAAAGTTGTGGTTTTTTGTTTTTTTAAAATCACCTGCTCTGTAAATTGAACTTTAAAGGGATACTGTACTGCCAGGAACACAAAGTTATATTTCTGGCACTATCGATCCCTCTGCCTCCTCCCTCCATAGCATTCCCCTCCAAGGTAAATAAAGGGTTAAAAACCCTTTATATTTACGTACCATAGCCCTGCCTAGTAGGCAGCCACTGAGGGCAGACTTAGTGCTGCAATGTAAACATTTCAGGCCTCTGGAACTGCAATGTTTAACATTGCAGAACTAGGTGCAAAAGGGACACAGCACCCAGACCACCTCAATGAACTGAAGTGGTCTGGGTGCCTACAGTGTCCCTTTAAATCACATACAGGCGGCTCCTGCAAGGTCTAACAAGCTATTAACAGTGCGGGAGATAAGAAATTCTAAATTAAACATAATTTGTAATACAGGAAGTATAAACACTAGATGACTCTTTACAGGAAGTGTTTAGGAAGGTTGTGCAAGTCACATGCAAGAAGGTGTGGCTAGGGCTGTATAAAAGAAGTGATTTAACTCCTAGATGGCCAAGAATTGAGCAGAGAGACTGCAGGGGCATGATCTATACTTAAAAACTGCTTTATTAATCTAAAGTTGTTTTGGTGACTATAGTGTCCCTTTAACAGAGCGAGTCTGTGCGAGTCAAAGTGGGAGGAAATGTGTGGCGAGAGCTGCATAAACAAAGTGATTTAACTCCTAAATGTCCCAAAATTGAGCAGCGAGACTGCAAGGGCATAATCTATACACAAAATTGGCTTGCAAATATTTCAGTTGAAAGGTTAAAACTACAGGGGCATGGCAACCAGGCGATGTCCAAAGCAAGAAAACGGAAGTTGTGTCTTAGGGGGGTTTAAAGTAAGACTGCTAGTAAAACTGTTGTTACTGTGACTTCTACAAACACACTTCTCAATATACAAATATAGTGCACAAAAATGAAAATCATCTAAGAATGCCAGTTTATAGCCTCCAATGTTATGGGAAAGAACAGTCTGATGATCATATTGAAGTGTAAAGTTTAGAGTCTGATGTGGAAGAGAGAGACACTAAAAATCGCACAAGAGGAACTGCACCTTTATCAGATCAAAAGCCTCATCAGTTTTTAATACATAAACAAGTCCAATAACACATTCCTGTTAATGATTAGAATCCCACTTGAAATGTGATCACTCTTGAAAGCCTAATAAAAGGAAGCTTATACGAAGCACGTTGTCATTGTCATCAATCCTACTGCAACTAAATGAAACCAGGGTATATACATATAGTGACTGCCAAATGCAAAACAAATATACAAGAAAAATGTGCAAGTGTATCAAAATACACCTTTTAAAAGTGAGCATAAACACTCCAAACACTAGAAAAACCACAATAATATATCACTAGAGGACTCCAGCCTGTTGGGTGCAGAGTATTCTATTTTTTTCATTTTACAAAAAGTGAAGATTTCAATAGAAATTGGCACATTTATGAATTAACCTTGTTATACCCCTTTAGCGGCCAATCAGACAACAGGCCCGGTTACTTCCTGGTTTGTTTAGCTCAGTGGAGCTAAACTCGAGAGGCAGCAATTGCTCTAAGACTTGCAAAGAATTGAGCTGCAATGGGAATTCTGTGATAGTCTGTGATGGACAGCCACAGAAAATCTGGTCGGGGTTAAAATGAGGTAGATTGCAAAGGCTTCAGACAAGAGATCTACAGAATTAGCAAGTTGTTTTCAGATAAGCCACAATGAAATAAATGCATGCATGTTTTCATTGGGGGTATACATAGTAAAAAGTGAATTTTATTTATTTTGTATTAGGCAAGTGGAGTACACAACACTTAGCAGTCCTTACTCATCCTCGATATCATGAATGCATTACTCAACTGATTTATGGTTATGGTTAAGGGGTTTCTCCAAGCACTAGAACCACTTCAGTGATTTGAAGTGGTCATGATTCCTGGATTCTGTATTTAGAGCATTTTGCTTTGAAATGCTGCACCTCTTGCTCATTAGCAGACTGAACCAACGCTCTGGCCGGCTAATAACTATTCTGTGCAGAATTGTTGGCTAGAGTCAGATCTGTGTAAAATTGCTGGAACCAAACTGATAATGGCAGCATGCCCCTTCCTTCTCTTCCATGCAACCCTCGTCCTCTCCTCAGCCTGACCTCCCTCCACACTGGCAACGGGGGATGACGTCATCCAAAGAGTATCGGACAGGTAAGTTTTAGCGTTTCGTTTATCTATTTAAAATTTGCAGTGTGGTGGACCACCTTAGAAAGGATTACTGTAACCAAATCCAGTGATTTATGAAAACACGGTTGGCCAGTGGTGGCTATTAATATAATATACAAGAGAGGGAGGGAGGGGGGGAAAGAGGACATACCATTGTCTAGCCTCTATCTCAATATTTGAGCCATTATCGTGGTCACCTCCACCCTGGTAACTAGAGATTCTCAAGCTCCTGGCCACCTTATCTCCAAATAAAAGACACTACCTATCCCTTTCTTCCCCGATAGTGCAGAGGGCCCGATAAATCCAGAAGAGTGTGTTTATACTTACTATCTGATATCTTCTTGCTTCAAACACTTATCTAGCAAGTGATGGCCAGCCACCACATGGCTAATCATCGCACTAAAAAAGATTTTAAAACTATTTGCCTGCAAATAACGCTTCAATTTGTTGTTCGCTATCAAAATGCAAGTGAACGATAATAAGATAATGTGCATCCTGCTACATGCATTTGGTCCCAATTTTGTTTAAAAAAATAGGTGCTACATAAATAAATATTCTGTAGAGGTTGCTGCAGTAAATCGCTAAACACCGGATTTTGTCCAAATGGACAAAATGGTGAAAAAGTCAGATTCAAACCAGAATGAGCTGGCATAAATGCATTGCCTGTAAAATTACATCCATTTTCACCACATGTTGTCCATCTGCACAAAATTAGGTGTTTATTGACTTACTGTGTAACAACCTCTCTATTTCTGTCTCGATTGCTGAATCTCATTGAAACTAACTTGAGAAGACGTACTCAGCTTTGCAATATGCCCTAAACCAAGCTTAAGCAACCATTTAGCAGCACTGTGCAAAAATAAGTTTTTGAGGTCCATTAGCGTGCCAGTCCGATTTTTTTTTTTTTTAAATTAGTGTCACAAAAATTGCCTTTTGGATAACACCTAGTATAAAAGTAATCAAAGAGAAACTGCAGTCTCAGAGAAACTGCTATGTTTATAATAGGGTTAATCCAGCCTCTGGTGGCTGTTTCATTGACAGCCGCTAGAGGCGCTTCTCACTATGATTTTCACAGTGAGAAGACGCCAGCATCCATAGGAAAGCATTGTGAATGCTTTCCTATGGACTGGCAGAATGTGCGCACGGATACTGCCGCGCATGCGCAGCTCCTGCCTCGCATGCGCAGCCGATGACGACGAGAAGGAGGAGGAGGAGAGTCCCCTGCCCGGCGCTGGAAAAAGAGGTAAATTTAAACCCTTCCACCCCCTAGAGCCCGGCGGGAGGGGGGCCCTGAGGGTGGAGGCACCCTCAGGGCTCTATAGTGCCAGGAAAAACAGTATGTTTTCCTGGCACTATAGTGGTGCTTTAACGCAGTTTACAAAGGTATTTAAATCTTTTCTTGCTCGCGGGCAGGTATCTAAAGCTAGGGACAGGGGCTTACTATAGCGTTAGGAATACAGTAAAATATCTTATAGCAATCTTTCAGAAAAATCTATAATTGTGCATTAGCTTCCTTTTTATCGGACTTTCAGCAGTGATCACATTTAAAGTGAGAAAAAAAAAAAAAAGTTCTTATATAATGTTGTAGATTTTGTTTGCCACGATACGATAAAAGTGCTACGGAATTTACTGGCTCTATATAAATAATAATAATAATAAAGAATTGGTGGGGGAAATCCATTCACCCATAATACAGATTTAGGAAGATAAAAATGCATATGCAAATAACTGGTCACGTGAAATGGAGAACGCTGTGTGTCAATCCGGTGCTTTGCATGACAATATTTCAATATTGCATGTTCATTATTCACACTGATTTTAATGGAGACATTTATAATCCGCACAGTACACAATTAACAATAATCCACTAAAACGTAAGCAAAGTAATCCCACACTATTTAAGTCAATTTAGAAAAACAGATTTTGCTTCAACAAAAACAAAAAGGCATATTACCCACTTGCTGCTGAACGATCCATTAAAACAATTCAGCAACGGATAAATATTAACTGAACATAATTTTCTGACCTACATTTGATGCACGGCATCTGCGCCCTGCAGTTACTCCACATTCACAATTCAATATCAATGAATAATTTAGTCTAGTGTATAGAGACTTTAAACAATGCACTAGTAAACAAGACCATTTATCAATGGATTATTAAATGCAGAGAGCAATTACTGTTTGAGTGTTTCTAAATGTTTCATACAACCTGTTGCTTACAATGGTGTTTAAACTGCAAAGTATATATATTATACACACACATCCATATATATACATACATACATACATACATACACACACATATTGACAAGATTCATCTATAGGGGAGTATATATATATATATATATATATATATTTATTTATGTGTTCGGGGCATTCTCATATGATATAGAATAAGAAGGGTTGTAGAGATGTAGCTTTAGGAATAATCGGTTGAGGTGTGCCGAAACCGACGTATGCTGTAGGCCGGTAAAAAGTGGGCAAAAAGGAGACGTATTAATGCAAAACATTATACAGGATCATAGTGCATTTGTTAACCATCAGGTAGACATTTTAATGAAAGCTTCCTTATTCCTGAATCGGCTGTGGTATGTAAGTCGCATAAGCCTATGATTCCCAGCAGCCCCGTGTCTTAACGTGTGCGGGGATTTCTTGACTATAGGCCGTGGAGGCTGCTCCTATCCTAAAGGAGTGCCCTGAGTAGTCGCAAGGGTTTAGTTCGAGCCTGGTGAATGAGTAGGTGGACATAGTGCATGAACTTACCTGTGGTAAGGACAGTATCATACAGCGACAGTAATGGTTCAGTGGTGCATATGGTTGCGTGCCCAAGAAAGTAACCAGTACCTTATCCGGGCACCCAGCACTGCTTGTAGGGTAGTAGGTTATATGCACTGGCTCGCCCATCTGACTAGTCTTAGTTTTAGGAAGGGACCGGACATAGTGGTCTGTATGTTTTAGAAGATAAGAGGTCAACAGGCACTCTTGTTTATGATGTTGGCCGCTAATAGTGAGTTATTTTTTTGGCCTGAGAAAGCCGTTAAATGCTAGATAGGTAGCAGTTTTGATAACTGCATTGGTGCGTGGCTCAGAAGGTGCATGGTCAAGTGGTTCTGACATGGTTTGAACATTGTATGTCTATGGCCAGTATTTAGTTTTAGCGGGAACGTCCGCTTGGCTAGGTCTCTAAGTAAGGTATGGATGGGGTAGGAGGATAGGAGCCCTTGTTGTTTGGGAAGGAGAAATACGTATATAGTGTTGAATGCCCGTGAAATAAGTTTAACCGTGTTGTGCGAGAATTTTTAACTTAAGGTGGCAAAAAGAGGCGAAGGCCTCAAACCAGCTAAGTGATGGTCCGACATGAAACATATTGTATAAGTGGAAAACCCTGTAGCAAGCGTGTTGAGTGCTGGTGGACAATGCCAGTTTAGTCAGAGCCCAGCTATGTTGGCGAGGTTCATGTAATCCATGACCTTGACCATAAATGACCCCCCTGCCATGGCTGCTTTCACGGGAGCTGCCTCAATAGTTTACTATTACTTGTGGTTAAGAAAGTCCACCATATGTGTAGGTCTGCCGTGGCTTGGTTGTCTAGGGACAGCCCCTGATCATCATGTGGGAGTGTGGAAAAAGCAAAGTGGTCTTAGATGAAAGCGCAGCCTGCGGTATGATGCGCATGGCAAAATTTAAGGAACCTGGTAGGGATTGTAGTTTCATGCGGTTGCAAGTACCAAGCAGGAGGTGGTAATTGGTGTTGTTGCGACTGTTCCTATTTCTCATGTGGTAACTTGTTGGCATGGATGCCGAATCAAGTTGTATGCCCAGGAATGTAACGATAGTGTCTGGGTCTTCTGTGACCTTAGGGAATACTGGGACACCCAAGTGTTCAGACATACTAATGGCTTCCTTGAAGCTTTTAGAGGGAAAGGCGTTCCCTTTGACCAACAAGAAATCATCTCGGGAGTGTTGGGCATCTGGATATGTTTAACCACAACCAAAGAGTTCAACGAATATATTGAAGATTGTGGGCTGATCTTGACCCGAAAGTTAAGCGGGAGGAGAAATATATAACTGCTGCCCATAAATGCCCTGTAAGTGCCAGCGTAGGGGTGGATGGTGGCAATCTGAAATGAGTTTGTGATATCAGTTTTACTTAACCAGGCTTCCCCCCTTGCTTGAGTGATAGCTGTAATGGTATGAACAATGGTGGCATACTGTAATGAAAGGTCCTCGGAAGGTATGAGGGAGTTGAGACTTGGGGTAGCCGAGCCGTGAGGTGCAGATAAGTCTATGATTAGTTACAGTGTGAGGGAAGATTCCCTGTGACAACCCCAATGGGATTGCGCCACGCTGTAAATGGTGTAGATCGGAGAAGCCCAGGTAGAAATCTTTCTGCCATTTCTTGGGCCATGAGTGTAATGCCAGCTGTTGGATGCTGCTGTGATGACTGCAAGTTAGGTCATTCTAGATTCCCCCAAAAGTATATGGCAATACCTGTATGGAAGGCCTTTAACCCCTTAAGGACCAAACTTCTGGAATAAAAGGGAATCATGACATGTCACACATGTCATGTGTCCTTAAGGGGTTAAAATTCGGAGATTAGTTAATCAACTAAATGTCTGGAAGGGTGATGAGTTAAAAAAGGACTGGAAATGCAAAATGTTTACAGATGTGAAGTAAGGTTCAGGGTACATTTATTGGGACACATGTTTTTTTGCATGTGCCCTGACATATTGAGAACATATTTGCAACAGTCTGCACTCACTGAAACTACATGTGCCAAAATGGAAATTGTCGCCAATCTGGGATTTGCCAAAGAGAATGAGACGACCCAATTTGTCTCTGGTAATTCTCTATGTACTACCTGAGGTGCTAGAGCCTGGAGCCTGAAACGTGATCGACCACTGTGTTGGGACAAAATTGTCGTGTGGGACTAGCAACATCTTCTCCAAGTGAAAGTGTGTTGACTCTAGCTGGAGTGATAGGTAGAGAGAAATCCTTACCACCTGCTTGATACATTCTAAAAAACACGAAGATAGCCATTATTATATAAACCCACAGTGTGCTAGTACTGGCTTGCTAGCTAAAGCCGCATGGCGAAACAATTAATCCTTTGTTTGGTGACAGGTGAGGTCCTGCTAGTTGCCAAGTGGCTTGAGAGGTTCTATCCATGCAATGGCACGAGGGGATTTTTATGGCCACCAAACGTAGTGGCAGGATGTTGGCCTCTCGGTGACTGTAACCAGAAAAAAAGGGGGAAGGGAGTGACAGGTGAGGCCCTCTCTATATACCATGCGAGGCGGCTAGCTCACAAGTGGCCCGATGGGTGTTTGCCTCCGAGCGTTGAGGCGGGGTGTTGGCCTCGCGGGACCACTATACGACAGGCGTAGATGCCAAGAAAGGAGAATACCTATTGGAAACCTATAGTCCCTAATTGCCAGTACGCTAAGGATATACACAGAACAGGGGACACAGAAAATGTATGTATATACCACATGAGCAGGTGTATGCACCTGGTAGTATGATTAGATACCCTTACTGGTCGTAAGGGTTATTAATACCTGTATCCTGGACGGGTAAAAGAATGTATGAAAATTGAATATAGACATTTAAAAGCGTATACCCATATGTGTGTTATGCAAGTTTAATCGAGAAAAGTGCTCCGTCCCAATGTTTATTGTATGCTTGTAATGGCCCTGTTTGAAAGAAATTAACTTGTCGGGAGTGTTATATCATGTGTGATATGGAATACAACTGTACCTCGAAACATGAATGTAGTGAACCATGACTGGCAGCTGAATAACCTAATATGTGAAAATAAGTAATTGGAAGGACTTATATTTTAAGCGTGCAAACATGCAAATATTCCGTATTAGACTCTGGAATCCTGCATAGTGCTTTAAATAGTATGTGCATTCCTGGGTAAATGTATGCGTATTGTCAGTAAATGTAACTAAATGCCTATGTAGGCAGGTATGCAGGAATGATTATATCATAGCAAGCGTGAGTTGTAAGGAAGTGTTATTTTGTAATTATAGTGGGAATGTTATGAGGGGAATAACCATATGTCTGAAAAGCCTGTAGTATACCGTTGACAGATAGGAGTCAGTATAAAAGCGAAAATGCTGTAGTTAGTTTGTTTGCTTATGAAGTGAAATAAAGTCTGAGAAGCCTGTAGTGTACCGATTAACCGGTAGGGGTCAGCATGTAGGCGGAAATGCCGTGGTTCGTTGGTTTGTACATGAAATGCAATAATGTCTGAGAAGCCTGTAGTACACAGATTGACCGGTAGGGGTCAGTGTGTAGGCGCAAATGCAGTGGTTCGTTGATTTGTACATGAAATGCGATAATGTCTAAGAAGCCTGTAGTACACCTAAAGACCGGTAGGGGGTCAGTGTGTAGGCGAAAATTTGTATTTCATTTGTAGTTTTAACCCAACAGATTTTAACCCAACAGATTTTAACCAAAACAGATTTTAAACAACAGATTTTACCTAATATAGTATAAAAGGTATGGGAAAAACAGTAATAAGTGGTGCTGCTATCACTTCAGTGTGTATCACTCAACCACACAAAATCAGGTGCATAAAAAATAGTAAAATAGTGAGAGCACACTGTACATGCAATAAATAATATTACCAGTACTTCACAAGGTAAATAGCTGAAACATAAAAAGGAGAGAGAAAAGCACATAGGGTAATATTGTATACACTTTGTATATTAACCGTATATAATTGGTTGCACTCACGTGGTTCTGAGTCACTTTAAAAGCTGACTCAGACTAAGGGCTTAAATCGGAGAAGAAATCCTTAATACTGGACCACTTGTGTTGAAATATACGTTGAGATAAAGTTGTCTCTGGCAATCTCTAGATGTGTAATAGAAATTACTCCAGGATACCCAATCTCGATCAATCTTTTAAGACTTTTATTCCATATTAAACAAAACAATTAAAATCAATCACAAGTATACTACAGTCCATAGAATTACCACGACGCGTTTCGGCAGAAGCCTTTTTCAAGTGGTATTACATGTTCATCTCCGAGTTGCCCTTTTATATCGTATAGCGTTGGCGCTCTTTCCCGCGCTCACCGGCCATCTTCATTTCCGTTTTCGTCATTTGCCATCGACGGACGTGTCCCGCACGTCTTGACGTCATCTCCGCGTCCTATACCGGAAGTACTCTCGCGGCCATCTTTACTACACCAATTGTTTATGTTTGCCAGTTCTCTCTGGCATAATCACAACATTTAAAACGTCCTTTATATAGAATCCTTCCTCCTAACAGGTTATCACTCTTACTACAGGAACAAAATAAGAAACCTTAATATATATTTAACAGGAGGAAATAACAATTCTCAATACATATTATATCATAAGACCTATATGCATAAAACAATAAAATCTATAATAGATACACTCATTAAAAATGTTTAAATTTAAAAAATATATATATATATAACTCTTTTAGAACACAATTATAAAAGAGGGGAGAGAAAAAAAGAGTTTATATTAAAAAACTTTAAAATAAATTTAAAATAAATTTAAAATAATCTCTATTAATTATAAGTATGTATTAACTTCAAAATCTATATTTAAACCACATGGAGATAAAGTCTCCATATTAAAAATCCATTTCATTTCAGTTTTGTTAAGGAGGTTTTCCATATTGCCTCCCCTCCAATGGATTTTAACAGCTTCTATCCCCATAAAATCAAATCCTTGTGTATTTCCTCCATGGATTTCTAAAAAATGTTTTGATACATTATGCAAAGTATATTTCCTATTAATATTATAAATATGCTCTCTAATACGTATCTTAAGTTGTCTTGAAGTCCTTCCAATATATTGATATCCACAAGGACAAGTAATCATATAGATAATATTCTTAGTGTTACAAGTTATAAAAGATTTTATATCATATAATTTTTTGTTATAAAAAGAGTGAAATTGTTTGACATTTTTATTTTTGTGATTTCTTGTCATACAACCTTTACAAGTCCCACAATAATAAAAGCCATTTTCTCTTTTAAACATAGTTAAAGATTGTGAACTCTTATCTTTTTCTAAAAAACTTGAAGTTAAAACCTGTTTAAAACTTTTTGCTCCCCTAAAAATGACTTTAGGTTTGGCTCCTAAATACTCTTGAATTTCCTGGTCTTGTTCTAAAATATGCCAATTTTTCTTAATAATTTTTTGTAATTGTTTACTATTTGAGCTATAATTAAAAATAATAGGTATAATTGTGTCATCTTCTTTTATTTCTTTTTCTTTGTATTTTAGAATATTTTCTCTGGTTTGCTGTCCTACTTCTTCTTTTATTGCTTCTAAAGTATTTTGGTTATAACCTTTTTCTACTAGTTGGTTTATTAAAATCTGTGTCTGTTCCTCATATTGTTGAATATCTGTACAATTACGTTTTATTCTTAAAAATTGTCCTTTAGGTATATTAATTAGCCAAGGTTTAAAATGACAACTTTTTAAATTAATAAAACTATTTACATCAACTAGTTTAAAAAAAGTTTTACTCTTAATTTGATTATCTTCTATATAAATACTAAGATCCAAAAAATTAACATTTTGAGTACTCATTTCATATACTAGATTAATATTCCAACTGTTTTGATTAAGATCATTTAAAAAATTAGACAAAGAATCTTGGGTACCTCTCCATATCATAAAAATGTCGTCAATATAACGTCTATAGAGGACCAGACCTGCCCCAACTTCTGGCTTGGAAAAAACTTCCAGTTCCTCCCAAAATGCCATAAAAAGGTTCGCATAGCTTGGGGCAAATCTGGTCCCCATAGTTGTTCCTTTGGTCTGTAAATAAAAATCATTCTCGAACCAAAAGAAATTGTTAAAAAGAATCATTTGTATACCCTCTATAATAAAATCTACCTGTCGAGGGTCCAAGTCATTCTCTTTATTTAAAAAATGTCTCGCTGCTTCACATCCTTTCTCATGATCTATAATAGTATATAAGCTGCTGACATCGCAGGTAACCAAAAATAGTCCTTCTTCCCATTTAAAATTATTTAAAATTTGTAAAAGTGACATAGTGTCTTTTAAATACGAAGGACATTTTTTAACAGGATTTTGAAGAAATTGATCTAAAAACTGGGATAAGGGAGATAAAAGGGAACCAATTCCTGAGACTATTGGTCTACCTGGGGGATTATGTATGTCCTTGTGTACTTTAGGCAAAACATATAATACAGGGATCTTAGGAAATTTTACATCAAGAAAATCATATTCCTTTTTGTTTAATATCTCCATTTCCAATCCTTGTACTAAATATTTATTTAATTTCTTTTTTATATCTTCCATTGGATTTTTAGGTAGTAGTGAATAAGTTTCTTGATCTTTTAATTGATCAAAAATTACTTTCAAATATTCTTCTCTTTGCCATATCACTACCCCCCCCCCCTTATCTGCTGGTTTAATGACAATAGAGGTATCTTTTTTTAAATCCTGTAATGCTTTTCTTTCAGATATAGTTAGGTTCTTTTGTCGTTCATTTATAGGTTCTATTTTTCTAAGTTCTTTTGTACAAACTTTTTCAAAAATTTTGATGGCATCTGATTTAAGGTAACTTGGGAAGAAGGTAGACTTATTTTTAAGATTAGTATGTTTAAATTTTTCTTCTCTATTTACAACTTCTTCCGATACCTTACTAGGAAATTTCTGGTTAAAAAACTTTTTTAAACATAACTTACGTGTAAATTTATTAATATCTAGAAAAGTCTCAAATTTATCTATTTCACAACTGGGAGCAAATTTAAAACCTTTATTTAAAACATTTATATGTGATTCATTTAAAACTTTATTAGAGAGATTGAAGATTCTTATGTCCGTTGAAATCTTTTTGCTATTTCCTCCCTTCTCCTTTTGTCTTCCTTTTTGTTTTCTATTTCCTCTTCTTGTCTCCCTCTTTTGGTAGGAGTCTGAGTCCTTCCTCTTATTCTGCTCATTGACTGTCCTAAAAAAAGATCTTCTTCATTTAAATGCTGTAAATGACTAAATCTATTTGAAGTAGGTAATTCCTGAATTTTAGGAGGAGAGGAATATCTGTGATTTCTATTATAAGTGGTTCTATTATAATTATTTCTATCTTGATTATTCCCTTTAAAGGAATTTTTTCTCTCCTTTATTTTCACTTGAGTCCATTCTTCCCTTTTATCATACCCCCTTTTTTGTGGTAGTTGATTATATACAGTAGATCTTTCTCCATAAGTTCTAAGATTATTTGGAGACGATCTAATTTCTTGTCTTCTAAAATTCCCTTTGCTATAATCCTTTCTCACATATTTAGAATTATCTTTTTTCTTCTGTGGTTTTATTTGACCATTTAGATAATCTTCCTGATCTCTTTTCAGTTTCTTTTTCTTAGTCTCAATTACTTTTTTCTCAATATTTTTTATTTTTTCGATTATTTTATCCATCATATTTCTAAATTCCTCCGTTTCTACGAAGGGTTCTAACTCCTTTTGTATATCATTTATCTCTTCATTCATCTGATATAAACTAAGGGTACGTTGTTCAATAATAACACCCATCATATGTCTAGCGAATGATTCCAAAGCTCCATCCCAAGCTTTATTGAATCTTTCGCTTTCATTTTCAGAGGTAGGAGATTTATGAAATCTTAGGCCTCTAGGGGCTATTTGTAATTCTACATATTTTTCTAGTGTAAAAATCTCCCATTTATATTTCATTTCTTTAATCAATAATCTTTCCAAATTAGAACATATTGTTCCTAAATTTTCATTAATCTTAATTGATCTATTCTCTAATTGATCATTCATTAAGTCAAATCTTTGATTCATGTCTCCCTGCCAACTTTTACGTAAGTTAGAGATTGACATAATAGTGTTTTACAGTAGATCCCAAATGAGTGATACAAAACACAATATAGTATAAAAGGTATGGGAAAAACAGTAATAAGTGGTGCTGCTATCACTTCAGTGTGTATCACTCAACCACACAAAATCAGGTGCATAAAAAATAGTAAAATAGTGAGAGCACACTGTACATGCAATAAATAATATTACCAGTACTTCACAAGGTAAATAGCTGAAACATAAAAAGGAGAGAGAAAAGCACATAGGGTAATATTGTATACACTTTGTATATTAACCGTATATAATTGGTTGCACTCACGTGGTTCTGAGTCACTTTAAAAGCTGACTCAGACTAAGGGCTTAAATCGGAGAAGAAATCCTTAATACTGGACCACTTGTGTTGAAATATACGTTGAGATAAAGTTGTCTCTGGCAATCTCTAGATGTGTAATAGAAATTACTCCAGGATACCCAATCTCGATCAATCTTTTAAGACTTTTATTCCATATTAAACAAAACAATTAAAATCAATCACAAGTATACTACAGTCCATAGAATTACCACGACGCGTTTCGGCAGAAGCCTTTTTCAAGTGGTATTACATGTTCATCTCCGAGTTGCCCTTTTATATCGTATAGCGTTGGCGCTCTTTCCCGCGCTCACCGGCCATCTTCATTTCCGTTTTCGTCATTTGCCATCGACGGACGTGTCCCGCACGTCTTGACGTCATCTCCGCGTCCTATACCGGAAGTACCACTTGAAAAAGGCTTCTGCCGAAACGCGTCGTGGTAATTCTATGGACTGTAGTATACTTGTGATTGATTTTAATTGTTTTGTTTAATATGGAATAAAAGTCTTAAAAGATTGATCGAGATTGGGTATCCTGGAGTAATTTCTATTACACATCTAGAGATTGCCAGAGACAACTTTATCTCAACGTATATTTCAACACAAGTGGTCCAGTATTAAGGATTTCTTCTCCGATTTAAGCCCTTAGTCTGAGTCAGCTTTTCAAGTGACTCAGAACCACGTGAGTGCAACCAATTATATACGGTTAATATACAAAGTGTATACAATATTACCCTATGTGCTTTTCTCTCTCCTTTTTATGTTTCAGCTATTTACCTTGTGAAGTACTGGTAATATTATTTATTGCATGTACAGTGTGCTCTCACTATTTTACTATTTTTTATGCACCTGATTTTGTGTGGTTGAGTGATACACACTGAAGTGATAGCAGCACCACTTATTACTGTTTTTCCCATACCTTTTATACTATATTGTGTTTTGTATCACTCATTTGGGATCTACTGTAAAACACTATTATGTCAATCTCTAACTTACGTAAAAGTTGGCAGGGAGACATGAATCAAAGATTTGACTTAATGAATGATCAATTAGAGAATAGATCAATTAAGATTAATGAAAATTTAGGAACAATATGTTCTAATTTGGAAAGATTATTGATTAAAGAAATGAAATATAAATGGGAGATTTTTACACTAGAAAAATATGTAGAATTACAAATAGCCCCTAGAGGCCTAAGATTTCATAAATCTCCTACCTCTGAAAATGAAAGCGAAAGATTCAATAAAGCTTGGGATGGAGCTTTGGAATCATTCGCTAGACATATGATGGGTGTTATTATTGAACAACGTACCCTTAGTTTATATCAGATGAATGAAGAGATAAATGATATACAAAAGGAGTTAGAACCCTTCGTAGAAACGGAGGAATTTAGAAATATGATGGATAAAATAATCGAAAAAATAAAAAATATTGAGAAAAAAGTAATTGAGACTAAGAAAAAGAAACTGAAAAGAGATCAGGAAGATTATCTAAATGGTCAAATAAAACCACAGAAGAAAAAAGATAATTCTAAATATGTGAGAAAGGATTATAGCAAAGGGAATTTTAGAAGACAAGAAATTAGATCGTCTCCAAATAATCTTAGAACTTATGGAGAAAGATCTACTGTATATAATCAACTACCACAAAAAAGGGGGTATGATAAAAGGGAAGAATGGACTCAAGTGAAAATAAAGGAGAGAAAAAATTCCTTTAAAGGGAATAATCAAGATAGAAATAATTATAATAGAACCACTTATAATAGAAATCACAGATATTCCTCTCCTCCTAAAATTCAGGAATTACCTACTTCAAATAGATTTAGTCATTTACAGCATTTAAATGAAGAAGATCTTTTCTTAGGACAGTCAATGAGCAGAATAAGAGGAAGGACTCAGACTCCTACCAAAAGAGGGAGACAAGAAGAGGAAATAGAAAACAAAAAGGAAGACAAAAGGAGAAGGGAGGAAATAGCAAAAAGATTTCAACGGACATAAGAATCTTCAATCTCTCTAATAAAGTTTTAAATGAATCACATATAAATGTTTTAAATAAAGGTTTTAAATTTGCTCCCAGTTGTGAAATAGATAAATTTGAGACTTTTCTAGATATTAATAAATTTACACGTAAGTTATGTTTAAAAAAGTTTTTTAACCAGAAATTTCCTAGTAAGGTATCGGAAGAAGTTGTAAATAGAGAAGAAAAATTTAAACATACTAATCTTAAAAATAAGTCTACCTTCTTCCCAAGTTACCTTAAATCAGATGCCATCAAAATTTTTGAAAAAGTTTGTACAAAAGAACTTAGAAAAATAGAACCTATAAATGAACGACAAAAGAACCTAACTATATCTGAAAGAAAAGCATTACAGGATATAAAAAAAAAAAGATACCTCTATTGTCATTAAACCAGCAGATAAGGGGGGGGGGTAGTGATATGGCAAAGAGAAGAATATTTGAAAGTAATTTTTGATCAATTAAAAGATCAAGAAACTTATTCACTACTACCTAAAAATCCAATGGAAGATATAAAAAAGAAATTAAATAAATATTTAGTACAAGGATTGGAAATGGAGATATTAAACAAAAAGGAATATGATTTTCTTGATGTAAAATTTCCTAAGATCCCTGTATTATATGTTTTGCCTAAAGTACACAAGGACATACATAATCCCCCAGGTAGACCAATAGTCTCAGGAATTGGTTCCCTTTTATCTCCCTTATCCCAGTTTTTAGATCAATTTCTTCAAAATCCTGTTAAAAAATGTCCTTCGTATTTAAAAGACACTATGTCACTTTTACAAATTTTAAATAATTTTAAATGGGAAGAAGGACTATTTTTGGTTACCTGCGATGTCAGCAGCTTATATACTATTATAGATCATGAGAAAGGATGTGAAGCAGCGAGACATTTTTTAAATAAAGAGAATGACTTGGACCCTCGACAGGTAGATTTTATTATAGAGGGTATACAAATGATTCTTTTTAACAATTTCTTTTGGTTCGAGAATGATTTTTATTTACAGACCAAAGGAACAACTATGGGGACCAGATTTGCCCCAAGCTATGCGAACCTTTTTATGGCATTTTGGGAGGAACTGGAAGTTTTTTCCAAGCCAGAAGTTGGGGCAGGTCTGGTCCTCTATAGACGTTATATTGACGACATTTTTATGATATGGAGAGGTACCCAAGATTCTTTGTCTAATTTTTTAAATGATCTTAATCAAAACAGTTGGAATATTAATCTAGTATATGAAATGAGTACTCAAAATGTTAATTTTTTGGATCTTAGTATTTATATAGAAGATAATCAAATTAAGAGTAAAACTTTTTTTAAACTAGTTGATGTAAATAGTTTTATTAATTTAAAAAGTTGTCATTTTAAACCTTGGCTAATTAATATACCTAAAGGACAATTTTTAAGAATAAAACGTAATTGTACAGATATTCAACAATATGAGGAACAGACACAGATTTTAATAAACCAACTAGTAGAAAAAGGTTATAACCAAAATACTTTAGAAGCAATAAAAGAAGAAGTAGGACAGCAAACCAGAGAAAATATTCTAAAATACAAAGAAAAAGAAATAAAAGAAGATGACACAATTATACCTATTATTTTTAATTATAGCTCAAATAGTAAACAATTACAAAAAATTATTAAGAAAAATTGGCATATTTTAGAACAAGACCAGGAAATTCAAAAGTATTTAGGAGCCAAACCTAAAGTCATTTTTAGGGGAGCAAAAAGTTTTAAACAGGTTTTAACTTCAAGTTTTTTAGAAAAAGATAAGAGTTCACAATCTTTAACTATGTTTAAAAGAGAAAATGGCTTTTATTATTGTGGGACTTGTAAAGGTTGTATGACAAGAAATCACAAAAATAAAAATGTCAAACAATTTCACTCTTTTTATAACAAAAAATTATATGATATAAAATCTTTTATAACTTGTAACACTAAGAATATTATCTATATGATTACTTGTCCTTGTGGATATCAATATATTGGAAGGACTTCAAGACAACTTAAGATACGTATTAGAGAGCATATTTATAATATTAATAGGAAATATACTTTGCATAATGTATCAAAACATTTTTTAGAAATCCATGGAGGAAATACACAAGGATTTGATTTTATGGGGATAGAAGCTGTTAAAATCCATTGGAGGGGAGGCAATATGGAAAACCTCCTTAACAAAACTGAAATGAAATGGATTTTTAATATGGAGACTTTATCTCCATGTGGTTTAAATATAGATTTTGAAGTTAATACATACTTATAATTAATAGAGATTATTTTAAATTTATTTTAAATTTATTTTAAAGTTTTTTAATATAAACTCTTTTTTTCTCTCCCCTCTTTTATAATTGTGTTCTAAAAGAGTTATATATATATATATTTTTTAAATTTAAACATTTTTAATGAGTGTATCTATTATAGATTTTATTGTTTTATGCATATAGGTCTTATGATATAATATGTATTGAGAATTGTTATTTCCTCCTGTTAAATATATATTAAGGTTTCTTATTTTGTTCCTGTAGTAAGAGTGATAACCTGTTAGGAGGAAGGATTCTATATAAAGGACGTTTTAAATGTTGTGATTATGCCAGAGAGAACTGGCAAACATAAACAATTGGTGTAGTAAAGATGGCCGCGAGAGTACTTCCGGTATAGGACGCGGAGATGACGTCAAGACGTGCGGGACACGTCCGTCGATGGCAAATGACGAAAACGGAAATGAAGATGGCCGGTGAGCGCGGGAAAGAGCGCCAACGCTATACGATATAAAAGGGCAACTCGGAGATGAACATGTAATACCACTTGAAAAAGGCTTCTGCCGAAACGCGTCGTGGTAATTCTATGGACTGTAGTATACTTGTGATTGATTTTAATTGTTTTGTTTAATATGGAATAAAAGTCTTAAAAGATTGATCGAGATTGGGTATCCTGGAGTAATTTCTATTACACATCTAGAGATTGCCAGAGACAACTTTATCTCAACGTATATTTCAACACAAGTGGTCCAGTATTAAGGATTTCTTCTCCGATTTAAGCCCTTAGTCTGAGTCAGCTTTTAAAGTGACTCAGAACCACGTGAGTGCAACCAATTATATACGGTTAATATACAAAGTGTATACAATATTACCCTATGTGCTTTTCTCTCTCCTTTTTATGTTTCAGCTATTTACCTTGTGAAGTACTGGTAATATTATTTATTGCATGTACAGTGTGCTCTCACTATTTTACTATTTTTTATGCAACAGATTTTACCTGAAGAGCTAGGTGAGTATAAGGTAACGAAATAACCGTGCAAAACGAAAGGAAACCGTAAAGTGAGGACCCGTGCTGTGCTGAACGCCGTGGGAACTAATCCTGGCGCGACAGGTGGGTCAACTTACGGTTTGAGAGTCACTGAGATCCAAATGCGATGCTGACCGGAGAGAAAGCCACTGGATTAACGGAAAGCCCTGCTGCAGGATTCCTGGACACAGCTTGCAGTAAACCAAAATGGCGTCTTGTATGACCTTAAAGTAGATCTCATGCAAATGCTGACCTCGAACAGTCTGACCAACAAAGGTAAGTAGGGGAAGGGGGGGGGGGGGAAGTCCCTTTTATAGGTCTATAGCCACTCCCACAACTTAAGGACACACACACACACACACACCCCTCCCCCTCCCACATGTTTTGTAGTGCTGTACAATTGATAAACAAGGCAGACACTAAACCAACAACATTCTAATAAAACATAATTAAATGGAGCAGTAGGTGAAAAGGGCCCTGCCCAATCAAGCTTACAATAGCCCGCAATAATAACAGATTAGTTTTTTGTGATGGTTCAATTGTGTGAACCATCAAGCCATTTTAAAATATTAACTTTATCAGTGGGTGTTTGGTATTAACAATGGTTTTAAAAGCACCGTTCAGCTACTGGACGATATGGAAACGCTATATTGACAGCACAATGTCCTTGAGTGGCCAGCGTGGAAACAGAATTCTGTAATTACACTGCCAAAGTAAAATAAACAAAAATAGACCAATTGCCATGAAGTGAAAATCCAATACCAGATTGCAAGTCCATGACATTTTGTCCATTTTCCCAAAGACCCTAAGAATAGAGTAAATAGACTCTGGTCAAACGCTTGACAATTCCCAGGCCAGATGTGAACATATTCCACAGCACTTTTATTTTAACTAAGTCACAGGCCTCAGGCACAAGCTGGTGACAAATTGGATGTGAATTCACACAAAAGAGTCACTTCCTGTCTTGACAGTCGTATATAACCATTAAATACAGTGTTTCAGCAATGCGGAGATTAGATTTAGGTAGTAGCTACAAAACTCATTTTTATTCATTGGGGTAGAGGGCCTGGCGAGTTATATTATTATTATTTATATAGCGCCATCAGATTCCGTAGCGCTGTACAATCTGTATTAACATGATTTTAATGAGAAGCAGGAACTGAAGAGTGTTTTATGTTTAAAAGGGGAAATGTAATTTTTCTGAAACGAACACCATTGAATACAACTATAAAAATAGCCATATAATTTGCTAATAAAAATAGCAGAGATGCAGTTTTCTTTTACATTTACATTAAAGATTTAGCAAATGCCATAATCCAGTTCAGACAAGGCAAACACTGCAGATGAGATGGAAAAATGTAAACATTTTTTATTCCTCCTCCGCTTTGTATACTTTCTCTATGATGATTGCCAGGTGCAAAAGGCGGAGGTTACAACAATGCAGTGCAGGTCTTGGCTCATTGGCACATTCAGCTTAGGAAAGAAAGGGAAGCTCCCTACCTCTACTACTTCCTAAGGTGGGCGGGAGCTTCAGTTATCTTTCCTGAGCTAAGAGTGCCACGTAATATGTCAAATAGTTCTAAAACTGACTCGTAACAAGGATGGGGGAGGGACAGCACATTCCTGACACTATAACCAATATAGCACAAGAGATTAAGAAGAAGGCCCTGCTCAAACAAGTTTACTATCTATAAAGTTTATTTATAAAAAAAAAAAAAAGAAAAAATTTAAAAACAAAACACATCTATACATTTTTTTTTTTTTTTACATAACAAAAATAAAAAGCACTGACTACTGCAGACTAAGCAATCTTTTCCCATTGTACAGCACTGCAGAATTTGTTGGAGCTCTATAAATAATAATAATAATAATATTGATTCTTGCAGTCTATGGCATTGACTAGGGATAGACAGACTGACCAATAGAAATCACAATCAAAAAATGTGAAACACCTGAAAATTCTCTCTTGGAGGAATTAATGAGAAGATGTAAAAAGACAAGAAACAATCTAATTAAGAATAACAAGCAAGGGATGCGCCCATCACGGTCATTAAAGTCAAAAGGTGGATGGATGTATTATACACTGACCGGCTGTGAATAATTTTCAGCTTGGTGAGATGGACAGACAAAACCACTATAGTTTCATGTAAAATAACGGATGATTTATTTTCTTAGTGTAAACTGAAACCTGGTTTTAATGCATGAAAGTAAAGGCAAATATTATACAGCATTTTTCTTTTTTATCTATAGAATCAGGTTTTTTTTGTGGCAATATAAACACAGACTTTATTAATTGCTTATTTGGGAGAAAGAAAGGAGGCAAACATGAAAATATAATTAAAATAAAATTCAAAAAATAAAAAGGTTAAGCTGCACATAAAATAAATGTCCATGTTATCTACAAAATAAGATGACAACACAGTCAGCTCCCATTATGAGTCACAATTCAATCCATACATTGGACTTGCAACAAACTCAGCAACTGTATCAATGAAATGGTAACCTTGAAATACGCTTCCAGCTTGGGAATGGGGCTTCTTGGTGCACTCAAGGTCTGTTGCCTGCTGGCTGCTGTGGACATACTCCCTCCAGCAAGATTCAGTACCTAGTTTTAACCCAAATACAGACAGTACAGAGATAAACGGTCATCTTAAAGGGCCACTACAGTCACGAGAACAACTACAGCCTAGTGAGTATAATCATCCCTTCAGGCTTTTTGCAGTAAACAATGTATTTTCAGAGAAAAGGCAGTGTTTACATTACCCCTAGGAATACATTTACCGGCCAACCCTCAGGTGGCTACTAGGAGTGCTTCTTGGGGCAGTGCTGTACATTGTGAAGCATTGACATTCAGTGGCTCCACCCTCTGCGTGGCTAGATTGTGTTTTTAACACTACAGGGTCAAGAATACAGTTTTGTGTTCCCGACCCTATAGTGTTCCTTTAAACTAGTAATAAACTGTAACTTTAATCTGCACTATGCTTTGTGCCTATTACCATACACTGATCAGCCACAACATTTAAACCACTGACAGGTGAAGAAAATAACATTAGTTATATGGCTACAATGGCACCTGTTCAAAAACAGCAAATCTTTAGGGTGTACATTGTCGTGCCTGGATTCTAGCATGAATTGCTGCCTTCCCCCTCACCAAAACCGCTTTCACCAAAATACACCCGCATTGTATGCATATTGGGTGCAAGAAGATCTACTGCAGCTCAAATTGCTGAAAAACTTAATGCTGATGATAGCACAATGTCAGAACACATGCATCACAGCTTGCTGCATATGGGGCTGCTTGTCCCCAGACCGATTAGCGCACCATGATGACCCCTGTCCACCATGGAATGCGCTTTTATTGGGGATGTGAGCGTCAGAAGGTTGTCTGGTCTGATGAATCACATTTTCATTTAGATCAGGTGGAAAGCTGGGTGTGTGTGCATTGTTTACCTGGGGAGATGGTAGCAGGATGCACTATAGGAAGAAGGCAGGTCAGCAGAGGCAGAGTTATGCTCTGGGCAATGTTGTGCTGGCAAACCTTGGATCCTGCATTATTTTGAGATGTACCATCTACCTAGAGATTGTTGCAGACCATGTACACCCCTTCATGACAATGGTGTTCCCTGATGTCAGTGGCCTCTTTCAGCAGAGTAATGCACCCTGCCACACTGGAAAACAATATTCAGGAATGGTTTGAGTAACATAACAGAGTTCAGTGTTGCCCAGACCTCAATTGGATTGAGAATCTGTGGGATGTGCTCGAACATTAAATCTGATCAATGGACGGCCCACCTCGCAACTAGCAGAACTTAGCCCTCGGTCAGGCGCAATGTGAGTAAGAACAGGATCGGGTGCATTGTGCCTAGTAGGCCACTTTTACAAAAACTTTTTACTCAAATAAAAACATGTTTATTATTCTATTTGCTCTCCAACATTGGCAGAAGCAATTTCTGAGCATTTATTACAATAAAAAGTAGCATGTTCCATACATAATGCACGTTTACACTTGGTAGGACAAAACAACAAACATTGGCTGTGCCTGTTGGATCAGTTGCGCCTGACCGAGGGATGTCTTGGTGCCAGATATCACAGGATATGCTCAGAGGTCTTGCGGAGTCCATATTTTGGCATCACAAAGGGACCTACACAATAATAGGCACGTTATTTAATGCAACATTTTGTAAATTTTAGTTACTATATGCTACAGTTAGTACAGATAGAACTGGAGTAAAAATAAAAACATGTGCACACTCATAACCCCCCCGCTGCACCCTTGGTCAGGGGTATCACATAACGAGGAGGTAGCACATCACCCCATAGGCAGTATGGTAGAGCGCCTAGCGAATCACACCCACGCATTCCAACAATTCAATCACTAGGCAAACGACACATACACACCAGGGGAACTCACATCTTGCTACAGACAGGCATTCACAAGATATGCCAATAACACCCTCAACATACAATCTTGCATATATCTCCTACCAATCGCAAGGGAGCACCTGAGAGCTTACCCCCTTGAGGCACACGACACCCACAACTCCACTCAGATGCGCTCGAATTGTCATATACTGTTATTGTACTTTGTTCTTTAAAAAAAAGGGTGCTATGCTATTGCTGTACTGAGTTAAACTTTTTCCTGCCAATGTCGGACACACCTGTACTGTACAAATCATATGCTTGCTATGCACCACCAAAATAAAGAATTAAAAAAAAAAAAAATGATGTGGACAGCGCTAGATAAATAAGATATAAGATCATCTGCAGTAAAAGATGATGATTACATATATCAGATAATAAGGATGTTTTCAGTTCCATAAACACACACCAGCCTTAATCAACAGGGGATCAAAAACTTCATTTTGTATGCATTTCTCTCCAGATTCCTAAAACATCAAAAAGGGTATGTATAAATAAAATAAAAAATAAGGTTACCCCACCAGGGATGCGCTGTTCCAAACCACACTGAGCACAAGCTGGAATGATTTCATGTTGCTTTGGTTAGTGATGCTATTATCTGTATTGATTTCTGTACTAGGTCACCGCACAGCAAACAGTACTGATGTAGACAGCACATGCTGCTATAAATATGCACAGAGACAGACAGATTCACACATCAGGAGTGCTTGAAGCTGTTACTATAATATAAGAAAATGATAAAAGGCACAAATTACAACTGTTTCCCGTTAGCTATCATGCAATTGAATAAAATCTATTATGTGCTTGCCCACAGCACGGGTACGCAGCTTTGAAGACGCGACACATGGCAGGCAAAAAGTCTCATGCTTATCAGACAGCCTTTTGGGCAGCCAGTCCTTAATTCAACTTCTAAACAAGAGTCCCATATATAAAAATGGGCAAAGTTATAGAAGAGGAGCAATCACCATGGAAACCAAAGACAAATGGTTTACAATTGGTCTCTGTAGTGGCAGCCCCCACTTTTAGAATGATGCACCAATTTTCCATTAGTGACACTATTATGGTTATTAGTGTTGTTTGCCTTAATTTCCTCTGGACTAACTCTTTAAAAATGTACAAATGCCAAGCAAATACAATCACCATTTTAATGGATGCACTTTCTTTTCTAAAGTGAGATTAATACAATAAAATATAGTCCTTTAGCTAATATATTTTTCCATTAAACGTGAGAAAGTGCTTCTACGTGGCGTCTTTGAATTTAAGCCTAATTTTTAATACAAGAGATAACAGAAAATAATGTTAATCAAATATTAAAAATTATTACAAAACACCTAATATTATGAGGATGACCGCTGCAAATTGGGAAAGATGCACATCTGGGTAATACTTATAAATTATTGGAGATTTTAATTACCAAGGCCTAGATTGGGTTAGAATGACTTGTGGTTCTGGTAGGGGATTCAGGGTTATGAACCTGTTAAATGACTCCATGTCACAATTAGTAGACGCACCAACTAGAAAGATGCTTCATTGAATCTAATTATAACGAACAATGCAGATCAAACAAACATTGAAGCATAGGAGCCCTTGGGGTATAGTGATCACAATATGGTATCTTTTGAAAAACTCAAAACAAGCAAATGCACATGGGTATGCTAAAGACAAATACTTTTAAAAAGGCCAATTTTAATAAGACAATGGAAGCTTCAAATTGAATATCTTCAAATAAATATTAGAAATGTACACTTCTCCGTATAAACTATTGGGTAACAAATATAAAAGAAACAAGCTGAAAGCAATGCGGCTAGGAAGGTAAGCCAAAAAATAAATAACAACAAAATGGCAATTAAAAATCAGATAAACTCAGAGAATCTTCTATAAATTATAAGGAAGTTAATAATCACTGTAAAAAAGGCATTTAGAGGTGCTAAACTAGAAATGTTTTTTTTTTTTTTTTTTTTTAAAGTCATAGCCAAAGAGAACAGGACTAAATTTATTTAAGTACATACATTCTCAAAATACCAAAAGAGAAAGTGTAAGTTTACTGAAATCAGAGATGACTGTGTTAGTAAATGGAGATCAGGAAAAGTCAGAAATTTTAAATAATAATATTTTTCTTTGGTATATATCAAAGAGGAACCTATGGCAAGAGAAATTAAAATAATTGTGCCAAAAAGACTTAAAGAAACATTGGGATTGGATGACTCATAACAAGGTGCTGAAGTAAGTAAAGTAAAGAAACAAGTGAAGTAAATAAACAAAACCATGGACCAGATGGTATTCACCCATGAGTACTTAAGAAGTGTGGAAATAAGCTAAACTGTTTTTAATTTTTCAGTATTCTTTTTCCTCAGGAATCATTCCAAGTTTTGGAGAAAGGCAGATATGGTTCCTATATTCAAAAAGGGTTCACAATATCTACCTGAATCTTATAGACTTGTGAGCTATCATCTGTGTCTAGGAAAGCATTGAAATGGTTAAAAGAAATAATATTCATGAATTCAATGTCATTAGCAGAAATCAGCATGGTTTTGGTGTGTGAATCTGTGTGTGTATATCTGTGTGTATATCTGTGTACCTGTGTTAGTTTGTGAATCTGTGTATGTATCTGTGTGCACCTGTGTCAGTGTGTGTATCTGCCAATGTGTGTGAATATGTGCATCTGCCAAGGTGTGTGTATCTGTGTGTGTATCTGTATCAGTGTGTATCTGCCAACGTATGTTAATCTGTGTGTGTATGTGCCAGTTTGTGTATTTGTGTCTGTGCTAGTGTGTATCTGTGTGTCAGTGTAGCTGGGACAGGGTTCCATAATGTTGATACACTACTATGTCAAAGGGTTCCAAAGAAAAAAATAATCGGGAACCCCTGGTCTAGATGAAATTTCTTGTCCTTTGGTAGAACATTGGGTTCAAGGCAGAGTACATAAAGTTGTCATTAATGGTAAATCTTCACGCTGACAAAAGTGTTAAGTGGTGTCCCTCAGAATATTGTTCTGTGACCATTTCTATTCAACCTAAAGGTAGATGATCTTTAAATAGGCATTGAAGATAATGTGTCAATCATTAAAGATGACAGAAAACAAAGGTAGTACAATGTGAGCATAATTTTACTTGGTTTCAGAGGGATTTAGATTGTTTAGATGACTGGGTAGAAATGGCAGATTAAATTTTATGTAGATAAAAGCAAAATTATGCAAAAGTAACTTAAACCATAAATGGTCGTGTGTTATGGAAAACTCCATATAAGAAGGATTTGAGAATTGTTATAAACAAACTAGGCAAAAATGTCCAATGTGAATCAGCATTTGCTAAAGCCAGTAAGGTATTGTCAAGCATAAAAAGGGGCATTTATTCTCGGGAAGAAAATATAATTGTCAGCACCTTGAATATGCCATGCAATTTTGGGCACCTGTTCTAAAGATAGATATTATGGCACTAGAAAAAGTAAACAGTAATTCAAAATCTTTCAAACTTTAAGGCCGAAACACAAGTCACCAACTCCCAACGTTTCGGCACCAACTGCTCGCCTTTATCAAGGGTACCTGTATCCATGTGTCTGCTTTTGCGATAAATTAATAGCACTGGGTGTTTTTTAAATAAATTTATCACATTATTTTGGTGATTGTGTTTTTTTTTGTGTGTTTTGCTTTTATTAGTTGGTGATGGTGGTTATTGTATAAACACTGGTGGCACTATAGAAGTATGGTACACCCAGTACTACAATTTTCCTGTATTATGATTTACTTCTTTAGAATCATCTTGTTTGTGTATATATGCATTTTATTTTTTTAAGATTGTTCATATTTGAACGATAGACTTTTGACATTATAGTTCCGTTATTGGACATAGCCATCAAGTAGGATGGTGTTATAAGCTTTCCCCCCTACCTTGTCATCATGGCAGTAGGTAGGGATGCACCGAAATGAAAATTCTGGGCCGAAACTGAAAATTTAGGATGCCCTTGGCCGCACGCAAGACGATTTCATTGCCAGAGATTAAGATGGCTATATGATATTACATGCCATATAGTGCGCATGTGCGGTAGCAATCTGCACGGACGTAATAATTAGCCTTTGCCTAATGCTTCTTTCTGTATATACACAATGCTATTATGATAATTAGCTGTATGTATATATACTATACATTATATTTTTTTGCATATGCATTTGGGGTATTGTACCAGCACCTGAAGTGATGATGTCACTTCCGGGGGTGGTGATAATTTTGTGCTGATGGCCATCAGCTGTATGAGGGCTTTATAAGCAGACACATGGGAACATGGATACAGGTACCCCTGATAAAGGCAACCAGTTGGTGCCGAAACATTTGAGGGAGTTGGTGACTTATGTTTCTGCCTTGAGGTTTGAAAGATTTTGGTATAGTACTTTTGAATTACGGTTTGCCTCTATTTCTGTTACTTTGTCTATTATTATTTTTTGTTAAGCATTGGAATTTTTCTACCATTTAAAGTTTTTTGTACTTGACCGTGGTGGTTGTTATAGTGTGCATTTTGTATTATATATGGATTTTGATATTTAAACACTTGAGGGAATGTTTATATGGTTTGCACATGGCTCTTGTAAATATAATTTTGTCTCTAAATGGGATTTTGGTTTATTTACTAGAAAAAGTAAAAAGAATATGTGGAAATATATAATGTAACGGATCCCCTATACTCTAGCTGAGTATTTCCGTTATAAGTCTCTCCAACTCCCAAGTGAAACAGTGATCAGAGCTCTTAGCTACCCAAACATCAGCCGAGACTTGATGAAGGGTACTACAGGAATGTCTTTAATGGGACACTGTGCAGCCAATTTATACAAAACATGGACACAGTAAAACCTGCCCTGAAACACTCCCACAACTTGACTGTGCATAAGGAACATAAAGCATTAAAATACCTGAAAACATATTAAAGACATAAAATAACCCCACACATAATATATCCCCAAATAGCTCCTGGTCCCTGCAAATAGCAGAGCGATCGGATGTACAGAGCCCGAGAAATCGTTGTACAAAGTCTGGGCTTGAGGCTCTGTACATAGCCGCCAATCGTTCCACAGAATCACTTAGTTTAGGCCAGTCGATTCAAACTTCACGCCTAAACCACGCAGCAACCAATCAACGTTCAGTGGTGTTCCGAGCGGAGCCCTTTAACTCGTGCCGGCCTATTGGGAGAAAGGACGCGAACCAGGTTTGAATAAGAGCTCCTTCTCCTATTGTCGGCACGGATTCCAGGTGGCCAGCGGGACTCTGCGGTTGTGAAGCCAACTCATAGCTCCAGAGGGCCTGCTAGCTTGCATCTCTCTCCAGTGGATATCCCTGCTTAGGTAGCACCGGAGGGGGGCAGGGATTATAGCTCATGTAGGGGCAAATAGGGCAGGCAAGCAAGTGGGCTGGAACAGCTAGTGTAAAAGGGGCATAGTCTTTTGGGGACACCGTTTGCGACAATAGTCTTTTGGGGACACAGTTTGTGACATATAATATATCACACAAGGTCACACATTTAGACTGGAAAAAAAGAGATTTAGTCTCATGCAAAGAACAATACGGAGTTGATTTATCAGAGTTTGTACATATTTTTAAACAGCGACTGGATGAATTTTTGTAAAAGCATAAGTTCAGGCGAGGTAACAGCTTCCGAAGGAGAGATCTGACTGCGATTCTGGGGCAGTCTGTGGTATCCTGGAAGCAACTCCCAGAGGGCTCTGGCGCTGGTTGCTTCCTCTGCCCCTCCTGACTCTAAATCTGCCACTGGCACAGCCTCAGTTTAGGAGCCACAGCGGCAATACAGCAGATGCCATCTGGACATGCACAAAGTGTTCATGGAAAATCAGGTCGGGAGGGAGGAAGGCTTCGACTGGCAGAAGGTAGAACATGTGGAATAGAAAAGATGGCACCCAATCTCCTCCCCATCTTTATTGGCACTGGGGTTCCACCTGCAGGGGAGATTGGAGCCGACCATGTGATTGTCTTATCCAATAAAAAGCCAAGCTGTCACAACTTACCTTTATCCCGCCGCTGCTCCAGTGGCGATCGAGCTGCTGCCCAAGCGCGCGCATTCGGAATTACGTGTGGCGGGCAGTGACCTCAGAACTTAGATCGGGTGACGTCTTATAGGCAAGGGTAGACACTTGGGAGACGTGCGCAATCATTCCATGCTGCAGGACCTGCAGACGCGGCTGGAACCAATTAGTGCAACTAATGCATTCCATGGCAACCCCTGTAACAGACAGCTACATACACCAATAGGATGTTACAGAGAGTAACCAAAATAGGTGTGTTTTACAGTTAGCACCCCATTTAAACACAGAACAGCTGAGCCTTCATTGCTTAGTTGTTCTGTGCTACCTTTCCTGTTACTTTACTGTATTCTACTTGCTCTCCTGGAAATTGCTCTTTGGCTTGTCTATCGTTTGTGAACCTTGATGTCTGAATATTGACTTTGGATTGCCTGATCTTGTCTTCACCTTGCCCCTTATCAGACTCTGTTTGCATTGGACTTTGTTTGTTATTTTCTGCTTATTTTTCAAGTACTGCATTTTGGGTTCCATAACCCCAAAACGTGACACAAGCACTGAACTAAATGAGTGCTTGATTGTTCTTGTTCCTGATCCGTGTGTCATGATCCTGGTTCCCAGATACTGCTCAGCTTCTGATCTTTGGCTTTGACCCTGACCACGCTACTTGTCTCCGACCCTTGGCTTCTGACGTTCCACTCTCTATTTGTAGATCTCTGGGCTTCTGACCTTCAGCTTGACTCCTGACCTCACCCCATTGCTGCCAGCCCTGAGCATCAGACCACCTGACTCCGCCTCCTGTCAGCTTCTTTGATTCCTCTGTAAGTAAAGGCACTCGTGCCCTAATAGATATTCAGGTTCCAGGCACCAGACAAGGTTGTGTTTGCACCTGAAGTGAACTGCAACCGAGTTCCTCTTAAAACAAACCAACCAGTAGGTTGTCACAGAAACATACAAAGCTCTTTTGTGAATGGAGGTTACTGGTTGAGCATGATCTATACACCAAAACTGCTTTGTTATGCTAAAGTTGTGTTGGTGCCTACAGTGTCCCTTTAAAGAGTACCTGTAATGCCCATAACAACTTAAGCTCTGTTTAAAGCACATACAATTCAGATTTGCTAGTAAATATATAGATTGGGAGAAAATCTGTATTCAAATAGGTTTTTCTTCCACCAGACAGTCAATCACAGAAGACTACAGAAGGCGGACCTGAAGACTTCAGAAGCCAGAAGGCGGACCAGAGGTGGGTGTTACAAGAAGACTAACACCCACAAAGCTCAGATTACGGCAGGGCTGGAATGGAGTTGAGGTGAGCACATCTCATTGAATACATTATGTATCTCAGATTCGATTTGAGGTCAAAATAACTTAACTGAAAAAAATCTCTCAAAGTCAACTACACTTTAGATAATCCTGTAAAAGTAAAGAAAATGCGGAGATTGAATTAAAGATCTCAGATAGTTCCTGTTTTGATGAGCTGTCAGTAGCCTTAAAGGGGCATGTACTTGACAAGCTTTTGCAAAGAGAGAGAGAAAAAAAAAAAAAGCACATTAAAAGAAAACCTATATTCCCATGGAGGCTGTGAGGTTCACAGCCAGGGGAGATGTGGCTGGGGCTGCATAAACAAGGTTATTTAAATGGCAAAGAATTGAGCAGTGAGACTGCAGAGGTGATGAGCTATACACTAAAACTGCTTTATAAAAGGGACACTATAGTCACCATAACAACTACAGCTTAATGTTCTGGTGAGTATAATAGCTCCCTTCAGGCATATCCATGCAAACTCTGCCTTTTCAGAGAAAAGACAGCGTTTACATTGCCCCTCGGGACACCTCCAAGTGGCCACTCCTCAGATGGCCACTGGAGGGGCTTCCTGGCTCAGGGCTGCACAGTAAGCAGCTCTGCTGTTCAGCGTCCCCACTGAATTTTCCTCATAGACATGCATTGATTCAATGCTTCTCTATGAGGAGGTTCTGATTGGCCAAAACAGTGTTTGGTCCGCCCCTTGTCGATTTTAGCCAATCCAATGCTTTCCCCATGTGAATTTTGATGATGTCACCAAGGGGGCGGGGCCAGCGCACCCGTTGAGAGCTGGAAATAAGGTACGTTTTAACCCATTCTGGGGGGGCTAATGGAGGGGGTGGCAAGCCACCTAAATGGTGGGTTTTCAATGTAGGGTCAGGAATACATGTTTGTGTTCCTGACTCTATAGTAATCCTTTAAGCTAAAAGTTGTTTTGGTGCTTAATGCATTCTTATGCATTATCTAAATCAGAGGTGCCAAAAACAAAGACCCCTAGATGTTTCAGAAATACAGCTTCCATGATTTGCCATTCACCATGTGAGGATCTATATTTTGGGCACCCCAGATCAACATAATGGATAAAAATGGGTGTCACCCAACAATTAAGGGACTGGTGCATGAGAATAACTTTACATTTATATGCAAGTCTCTTAACACTTGCAGTTAGATAAAAAGTTTTCAATCCCTTTTAAGAAAACAACCAAGGGACTAAAATCATTTTGTAACTAATAATTACTGTCATTATACAATGAATTGTATTTTGTTTTAAAGAGACAAAATAACAGCTTGCAACATAAGTATATCTATAAATAAAGCCATAAAAAGGCTAAAAATCACACAGATGGTTTCAGTTGCCAAGGCTCAAGAGGAACTATATTTCATAAAGGAGAAGTCATGAGTCAGTACGTTATATACTCTGAAACAGAGATATTTATTTCTTCAAAAAAGTCAAACATTAAACATAGATTAACTCTTTGGTATACAAGTTCAAGCTGGAAAAATAACGTGTTATGAGAAAGTGTACTATTCAAAATTCTGCACTTCCCCAACATGAAACCGTACATAGATCATTAAAACCAAAAAAAAAAAAAAAAAACAGCATATGAGAACTCAAAGAACAGGGAAGAGCTCAGAGAAACCTCAATATCTTACCCTACAGTTACACTCTGTTCAGGTCTCCAAGAAGTTTTTGCTTACTGGTGTCATTACAGAGAGAACCTCACCTTATTTCTTAGGGGAAGGACTAGTGGCGAGTAGAAATAGCGAAGAATAGGTAATCAAGGTAATTAAGGGATGAAAAATAAAGATCTTTTGTCTTAGATGAAATTAAAGGGACACTCCAGGCACCCAGACCACTTCTGCCTATTGGAGTGATCTGGGTACCAACTCTCATCACCCTTAACCCTGCAAGTGTAATTATTGCAGTTTTTATAAACTGCAATAATTACCTTGCTGGGTTAAGTCCCCTTAGAACATGAAAAGTGTTTTAAACGACGCTGGACATCATCACGCTATGCATGAGGACCTCCAGCATCGCCGGAATCCCCATAGAAAAGCATTGAATAATGCTTTCCTATGGGGAGGTCTAATGCGCACATGCGCATTAGGTCTCTCCCGCAGGCGGAATTCGGCGGGGGAGGGGCGTGGACGGAGCCTGACCCAGCACAGTGGGACATCGGTGATGGATTCAGGTAAGTCACTGAAGGTGTTTTAACCCCTTCAACAACATGGGATGTGTTTTCCTAGCACTGGAGAGTCCCTTTAACCATATAGCCGTAACTTAATATGTGTTTGTTGGTTTGTTTTTTTCCATTTCAAAGTATGCATTATTGAATGAACATGTGTTTTGCTTTCTTTTTATCTATGCTTTGCAGTTAAAAATATATGGAGGCCAATTGTCAAAAAAGGATAAAAAAAAAAAAAATACAAAATACAGCGAGAACCTCTACCACGTGAATTGCAGTTTATCCCACCCATAAGACATATCCAGGTCTAAAATACTGTCATGAAATGCTTTTAGAAGTTGTTATGGTGTCATCTGTATGTGCAGTGTTTCACCTAATTTGGGCCGGAATGTAGTTACACCTTCAGCACACATGGCTCTCTGTTCTGGACTGTTAGTTCTGTGACACTATGTGCTGTGAGCGTGCCTCAATGACATATTCACCTTCCATTCTTGATGCCCTCCTAATCGCCCTACTTTATATTTAATAGATTTTCCCATCCCCTTGTCAGCTTTCTACACCACCCTCTGTACAGCCCACACAAGGTGGAAGGTGGGTGGCTGTGAGGGAGCAGGGAAGAGCCATCTATCTAGAGGAAGCTGATGGCGGATCAGATCACTCAATGCAAGTGCACCCAAATCCAACAATCCAACAATATTTATCATGGCCTAGTGCTGGATAAGATAAGTATTGACCATATTCTACATGTTTTTATAAAATAATGTTTTTTTAAATTTAAAAATAAAAACAAAAACAAATATGGAAAGTTTAAAAATAGTTGGAGAAACACTTTAAATTTGAAATTAAATTGGATTCCTAATGCTCACTTTAGTGAATAAACCAAACAATAGAAAAAAAAAAAAAATTTAAACAAAAAGCATTAATGCCCCCTCCACAAAACATACTGTACATTTCGAACAGGGGTGGATTTCTTATCCAACTCTTTACTTTGCATTAGGTTTATTCACTATTGCAGCAAAATGAAACTCTAACTGCATAAAATAGTGAATAGATGAACTTTTCCAATTCAGCTGGGAAAAAGTAAAACAGAAAAAATATTAAAGATCTATAATCACTACTACATCTCAACATCTTCTCTAGTTAACCCAGTTTATGAGCAACATCAGGGTTCATTTTGGCACTCTGAAACGGTACCCTTGTAAGCAGCACTTCTAATGTGATGATTATACTTTTATTTAATCATTCTCAGTTCTGTCCAATTTGGATGGCAATAATAAGCAGGTTGGGGAGGAATTGCTTACTTTGTACATTATGATTGAGGCTCCAGGAGGGGCACACCAAGGTTGTAGAGGACAGCTCATGTCTTCTCCAAACTGCTCCAAAAAGTACAATATTAGTAGTTATGGTAGTTAGAGTGCCCCTTTAAGTCCATCAAGTTTAACCTGTCACACATCTACATTTCTTCTGCTGATCCAAAAGAAGTCGATAAACCCAATTTGAGGAATTGATTTGCCACTTTGGATTCCTAAGTGGCAAATCAATTCCTCCTTGGATCAGCTAATTAAAGAGACACTATAGTCACCCAGACCACTTCAGGTCATTGAAGTGGTCTGGGTGCAGTATCCCTATCCCCCAATTACATTACAGGACTAAGACTGCCTCTAGCGGCTGACAATCAGACTGCCATTAGAGGCACTGTCTGATGGCTAACTGACTTTTGGCCGCCTAACTGATGGTGGATATCCTCACTCTCTGCACGAGGACACGTAGTGTCAGTAAATCCCCATACAGAAGCATTGAATTGAAAGTATGCATTCCTATGGATAGGGCCTCATGCACTCTCCGCGCATGTGTATTAGCCCCCCGTCAGATGAGGCAAAGCTTTTTAATACCCTGCATATTAACAGTTGCACGGAATGTCCAGCTTCGCTCTATACAGCAATCTGGATTCTCTTGCAGGAGAAAACCTAATACAAGCGGTGCACTTGTGGGATCGAGGCAGGACCCGGATAAGTTGTCAAACCGTACAAGAACATTTCATGTCAACATAATGTGCACTGTCAACGCAAAAGAGTATTTATCTGATGTGAGACAAATGTCCAAAACTGCTGTGGTAATGTGGCAATATGAGGAGAAAAATATATTGGAGGAACCTAAGCCCACAGGAACACAGAAATATAAATATTCAGTATATAAACAGCCAAGGAAGACATGCATTCATTTATTGATGCATTTTTTCGACTTTGTGGGTATATCTAAAACCGTTTGAAAAAGCTGAAGTTCCCTGGTCTGCAGCCTTTACAAGCCCTCACCCTTTTCCTCAGACCAGACTTCCTGTGGCTGTCCAATCACAGACTTCTCAATGCAGCTCAATGAGATGTATTTGCAAGGCAAATGCGCTGAGCTATTGCTGCCTCTTGAGTTTAGCTTTCTCTGAGCTAACCAGACCAGGAAGTAACAGGATAGGTTGTGTGATTGACAGCCAGAGAGGTGTAACAAGGTTAATTTTCTAAAAGTGTAAATTTATGCAGTTTTTGTAATAATAATAATAATAATAATAATTAAAATATATATATATATATATATATATATATATATTGCAGATACACATGGATGGGGTACAGCCAGTGACACAGCTCACATCACTGAGCACACCCATAATTGCCATCCACTCCCGCCCACTGATAGGACCTGCCTGGCCATCCACCAACCTACAGGACCTTGCAGAGAGCTCTGCTGAAGCCCTCTACAGGTCCTAGTACCCCTTCACAGCGTGGACATCTAATCACAAACTCGCCATAGCTGCCAAACTACAGTACCCTGGTGTCCCCAAATGCAGGACACCAGGGAACAAAATGAAGACTGCATGACAGGACCCTGAAATCATGACTGTTGTGGGGGCCTGGATCTACTGCAAAATGAAATGACAATATTAGTGCAGATTACCAGTAGTACATGGGCAATTTCTGCAAACTCCAACACCAAAACCACAGTGTAAATACAAAGTACAGGTCGATGTGCAGATTGCATACACTAGATATAAAAACATCAGACACTCAAATTAGACAGTGTCAAAAAACTGCTGGACTGAAAAAAATATGTAGCAATTATTGCGGCCTAAGCTTTTCTTATTGTTTCTGTGGAATAAAATATATTGTGAAAACACAGCAATCCACTGTTTACTCAATAATTTGTTACCAAGACTCTCAAAATAAATACAAAAAAAATATATATTGTTATTGGCAAAAAAAAAGTAAATTTGCGTGGCGCAAATAAAATATTTTAAAACTTAAATAAAATCACGTTACTTATAGTAATATGAAATCTGCCCTAATTTAGGTTAATGATTTAATAGACAGTAAGTTGCTAACTTCAAACCAAGACTATTTATAATATTGACTTCATTTCTCATACATTAAAATAAATACATAGAACAATAAAATCAAGAGCAAAACTTGGTAGCAAGCTAAAAACACACACACACACATATATATATATTTTACACACACACACACACACACACACACACACACACACACACACATTTTATGATCATAAAGTGGCAGAACAGAGCAAAGCAAAGTGCAGCTGGAAAAAAAAAAAATCAAGAATGAAATATAGAGATATGATATACCTCACATAAACAAACATGTACCTACATACAGACACTGACAATAAATGTGCAAGGAGCTATTGCATCTAGGAGTGAATATTTTTAGTTTAGCAAAACACTGATTACCAGCATTCTATTAATAGAGACATTAGGAAACCTGAGAATCGCAGTCTTACTGTCAGACTGAAGGCCTTCTATAGCCTTTAACCTCCCCCCCTCATAGAAACAGTGCACAAGTCAAATCACAACATACCCCCTCCTGGGCTCCCCCTTTGCCCCCATTGACCCCCCCTTTTGACAGCGCCTATGCTGCTGCTGCCTTCCCTACCTTAAAGAGATGCTGCCTGCGTAAGATGAGATTTAACTCCAGAGTGCAGAGTAGAAGGCAAAAAATAGATTTCAATGAAAAAAAAAAAAAGATTATAAAAAAAAATAATAATAATAATAAATAGGAAGTTGCTGTGACGTTGGGATGAATAGACGTTTATTGCAAAGCAGAGCTTGAACACCAGTGGAAAGGCTCCTCTCAGCAGGAAAGGAGGAGAGAGGAAAAAAAAAAAAGAGCAGGGGAAGGGGGGTGATGGGGAGGGAATGAGAGGAGAATATGGGAGGGGTGAGATGACAGCTACCCATTTAGACAGCCGGTCTAGCAGGCCTTCCTAATGCACAGCAAAGACACAGCTGTGGATTAAATCAGACAGCCAGACCTGCTTCTCATCCCTTCCTATGTCTATTCTACAGACCCATGTTTTAATTCGGAATCCTAACAGTGGGATTATTATAGCTAGCAGTAACCATCCTGCCCTTTTAATTAAAAAAAAAATGTTTATAATAATATGCATTTTACAAGGCAGGGATTAAAGCAGTGCTGCTGCAGGCATGATTTAGAATATGTTTCTTAAAGGGAACAATGTGAGGTGTATTCACTAGACTTGGAGTTTTATTTCGTTACCAACTGCAATTTGTGCCCATTGGGGCGCCTGAATTCCCAAATTCTAAATGGTCATTTAGACTAATCGCTGATCAAACGACTCACGCAATGGGCGAGCATTTCGTTTTGGTTCGAGGTTCGGAATTACACCAGTTGGGGCCAAAAAATGAGATGACTGGGGAAAAATAAGATGATTGATGGCTAGGGGACATCACTGATCAAGTGAGAAATGAAATCAAAACAACTGAGGTAAAGTATAAAGGGTAATCCTGAAAAAGTTTTAAAACTGGAGCAATCAGCAGGAACATTCAGTTGGTCCCCATGGTGACGTCTCCACTTTTAGAACTTTGTCTCTGAATTACTCTCTCTTTATATACCCATTGTACAGCGCTACAGAACTTGTTGGCACTTTATAAATAAAAATAATATATAACCTTCAACGTTTCAATTTCTCCTTATTTGCAGTGTATGCTCCGGCTCTTGTGATGTCACTTGCTATATCCTTTAGTATACAATTAAAAATGCAACTTTTCTTTGTACCTAAAAATTTTTTTGCAATTCTCTTATCAGTTTTTCACAATGTGCTGATTTGTTAAAAATAATCACCAAAAGAGATTTGGCAGACGGACCAGCGTCCCAATGAGCAGTATCATGCAGTTTCATAGGGAATTTGTGTGTTAAATGTTAATAGTGGGAAGAAGAGATTTTCTTATTTTAATACATTCTGCCGTACATGTTGTCATTCCTGAATTGTTTGCAGTCTTGCTCTAACATGTAGAAGCTGGAATGTTTTGATGTCTCCTCTGGCTAACGTTTACTAAACACCAGTAGTTTAATGGGTCAGTCCTTCCCTGAAGCACTGACCTCCCAAGCGTCCCTATTTAGGAGGGACAGTCCCTGTTTTGGATCCAAATCCCTCTTTTCTGTCCTATTGTCCTTCGTCTCTAGGAGCTCCATATTGATGTTGTGGCTGAGTGTATAACAGAGCTCCACAGCAATAATGCTCACAGCAATGTGCCTTTGAACTCCAATACATTGTTAAATTTTAGATCAATAAATTATTAGTAAGTCACCTAATATTTCTCAGAATAGATCCACCCCTGTCCACACCTCCACTCATTACCCTAACATGAAAGTGTCCCTCTTTGTCCATTCGAAATGGTGGGGGCTATGCTATAGACTTAGAGCAGCGTTTCCCAAACTGTGGTAAGCGTACACCCAGGGGTACAATCCAGTTCCCCTTGGCCTGTGTAAAAAATAAATAAATAAGCAAACAGTAATGCGGGTTCTAAAGCCACTGCAGCCGCACCTTACAGGTTGGTAAAAGCAGGATAAGGGTGTATGCATGTCAGTGTGTGTACCTGTATCTGTGTGTGTGTCATTGTTTGTATTTGTGTGTGTGTGTACCTGCATTTGTGGCAGTGTGTATCTGTTTGTCTCTGTATCTAGATGTGTCTCACTGTTTGTATCTGTGCAACTGAATGTATGTCAGTGTGTGTATCTATGTATCTATATCTGAATGTGTGTCAGTGTTTTTATCTATGTTCCTGTGTTTCTACATGTGTGTCAGTGTTTATATCTATGTGTCTATGTCTAAACGTGAGTGTGTTTGTATCTGTGTGTCTATGTATCTGCATGTGTATCAGTGTGCATATCTGTATGTCTGTATCTGTGTATTTGCATGTGTGGCAGTGCTTGTATCTGTACGTGTGTCAGTGTTTATATCTGCATGTGTGTCAGTGTGTGTATCAAGGTGTCTGTGCAACTGTGTGTCAGTGTGTGTATCAGTGTCTGTATCTGTGCATCTGCATGTGTGTCAGTGTTTGTATATGTGTCTTTGTGTGATTTTGTGTGTCTGTATCTCTATGTATGTGCATCTGCATGTGTGTTAGTATTTGTATCTGGTGTCGGTGTTTGTATCTGCCTATACATACTTTAGATATATATGCCTGAGGTACAGGTGAAGCAAGGGGAGCCTGGGCAGATGGGGAGCCTGGGCAGACAAGAAGCAGGGGAGCCTGAGGCAGAGGAGAAGCAGGGGAGCCTACGGCAGATAAAAATGTATACATTTGAATTAACAACAACTATATTAATTTCAAACATTTAGCATATATGAGGGGGTACAATTTATAGAAACTGGATGCCAAGGGGTACAGAAGTGAGAAAAGATTTGGAACAACTGACTTAGAGCAATGATAAGCCAGAAAATACATTGAAAATAGTTAACCATTTTAAAGCTATGAATCATTTGGTTTTGGAGGATAAGTAGCATATATGACCAAAGAGCAGCAGCATGCCAAACTGGGGTCGTATACACACAGAGACAAAAACCACATGTTAACTTTTATTGTATTGTACAATACAGATTTCTACTTTCATCCCTGCTTTCTCCTAATTACAATTAGGAAGATCAATAAGAGGATTAAGATCTCACATGGCTCTAGGCAGGTTATCAGATTTTATTATACAGAGTTGTAACAAGAGGTAAGATACAACCAATCTCTTAGAATTAATAAAAATGAGAAGTGAGGGAGGATGGGAAGAGAATTTACATACAGACCTATGTACTAAAGTGAATTTCAAATTTAAAAAGGGACACTGTAGGCACTCAGACCACTTCATTTCATTGAAGTGGCCTGGGTGCCAACTCCCATCACCCTTAACTCTGAACATGTAATTATTGCAATTTTTATAAACTGCAATAATTACCTTGCAGGGATGTCCCATTTCTTAAACAACTCTTGGTCGTCTAAATGACGCTGGACGTCCTCACGCTATGCATGCTATTGAATAATGCTTTCCTATGGGGAGGTCATTGGAGGCCATTGCCACACATGCGCATGGAGCGTGGGTGGAGCCTGACACAGCGCCGAGGGAAATCAGCGATGGATTCAGGTACGTATTTAAAGGGGTTTTAACCCCTTTAGCGACGTGGTATGGGGGCACTCTAGGATTATCTAGTTTTGTTTGGTTTTCCTGGCACTAGAGAATCCCTTAAAGGCCAATGTAGCTGAACTGGTAGCACAGATGACAGAGAACTTTTCCTGTTTAGCTAATTTGGCCTTAAAATTGAAAGTCACTTTAAATACCTAATTGGAGATGATTTAATTTGTTGGAGTAGAAATTGAAAATTTAGCAAAAATACAGTATATGAGCAGGGAATTTGTGTAAGAAGGTTGCTTATCACTGTGCCCCTGCATTCAGTGTCAAAACAAACTATGTACAAAAAATGCTGCACTTATAAATGAGAGGTTAATCTATGACATGTGAAAATATACCTCCCCCACCGAATATCAGAATTCTTCACATCTTTCTCTGAAAGAGCTACAGGTAGCTCCATTTATAACAATATGGCAATGCCTCTGCTGCTGTCAGCTTGAATATCAGTGCCATTCACATTTTCTAATTAATGGAACTGCTGCTTAATTACTGAGCACACCCAATAAACAATATGAAGTAGACGACTGATTGATAGGTGTCCGCTACCTCCTAGTCCATGCAGATTTTAAAGCAGGAAGATGAAAATACGGAGAAATTATAGCAAATGCAAGAACTTTTAATTATGCATTAAAAACAGGTCCTATTATCATTAGAAAACCTGGACTGAATTAAGATCTGGTGTTTTGGGCACTCTTTACTTTGGTGAAACTCTTATTTTGGAAACAAATTGGCCTATTCATCTTACACTGCTCCAGATCTATATATTACCTAGTAGAGTAACACTCACGGACATGGTGAATTTCAAAAGCAGGCAGTAAATCCAGATTATGTAGAAACAAAGTTAGGATTAGCAAAATATGATGAGAAACAAATTGTCCCTTTAAAGTATGTAATCATTAGCTAACCAATTATTAAAGGGACATTCCACTGCCCAAATAAAATGCAAAGCACTGTTTAGTAGATATACCCCCAATGAAAACATGCATGAATTTAATTATGCATCTTTTCATTTGGACTATGTATAAAAACAGTTTGCAAAAGCAGAAGACCTCAAGTCTACAGCCTTTGCAAATCCTCCATTTCTAACTCCACCCAGACTTTCTGCGGCTGTCCAATCACAGACTTCCCAATATAGATCAATAAGAAATCTTTGCAAGGCAGGTGCTCTGGGCAATTGTTGCCTCCTGAGTTTAACTCCACTGAGCCAAACAAACCAAGATGTAACAGGACCAGTTGTCCGATTGACAAGTGGGTGGGTATTAACTTCTAAAAGTGCCAGTTTCTATTGCAATCTGTACTTTTATAAATTTAAAAAAAAAGAGGGTGCACTCTTCACACATAAAGCACTATATGGGTCTATTG